CTCTCTTGAACAAAAGGTTAATTTTAAACCAAGCTTATCAGTGGTCCCAACTATCATGCAGTCTCTAAAATAAACTGGCTGTATTGGGACTCATACAGAAGATACTAGCTGCTCGAACATAGTCAGTATGAGATGTAAACACAGTAATGTCATGTCTTGTAGCCTCCAGCATAGCTTTAACCCACTCATTTTGGCAAAGCTTTAAACCGATAAAATGAGTAACACCACAAATATCAAATTTATGCAAAGATGAGTAACACACACTTGTACTGAGGAGTGGATCTAGTTTTAGGAAATGGGTATTGATACGAAGGGGGACAGAGTAAAGTGAAAACTTGCCCTGCTGGGGAGTGCCGAACATTTTAAAATCTATGCTGCTGTCATATATCTGCATTCTAGGGCAATTTGAGAATAAATATAGTAACTTTAGCATTTCATTTATCCTTTTTGGCCTCAATTCACTAGTATAACATTCGTCTACGACTTAAAGGGGTCCATCTGCCACTGCTTCTAGTTGATTTTTGTTGGAAAAAAATCAATGATTTTTGTTTTACTGAACTACAGGAGATATAAATTACCACAACTCATGGTCAGTGTTGGTCAATTCAAAAACTATAACAATTATAGAAATAATAAAAAAGATGACGTTCTACCTGTTAGCAACAATATGTAACCTACTGAGGCAAAATGAGGAATGTCCCCCAAACCTTGTTTTAAGTAATCGATGCCTGAAGTCGGATATATCTGAAGGGCCTAACCCCTGCCCCCTGCACACATTCCTGAATCCTGTTTTCCATGAAATGAGTTTGCATCAATTGTTTTAATGTGCAATATTTTGTTAAGACCAAGATCAGCTTCATTCTGAATCTAGACTTAGCAGCATTGACTTCAAATTCAACAATTTTCTTCCCACCCTCCCTCCCTTTAGTTTATGAATTTTATCCACAAATTTGTTACAGTTTTGGCTTTTCCATTTTTGTTTTTAATGTTTTAACGTGTTTATGAGGATTCTCCTGTGTTTCTTTGTTACTTATATATCGTAGTGTATCTGGTTTGGCCTTGGAGAATTTCTTAATTCAATTTGGTCCAGCCTAGTAGCCCTTTTAGAATAAATGTTTCCATATTATGTACCCCAAAACAGCTTGGCCATTTGTCTCCTAAATTTGTTTGCGTGTTTCATAAAATTATTGAACTACCACTTTTAGGCAACACTCAGGGCATATTATTTTAAAACATTTATCATTCCCTTTCACGGTAATCAACATCCAAAGCAAGTTTAGTAGATGCTGTAGTTTGGAGGCACCTCACATGACCAAAAACGTCATGTCCCACCTCTGGGCATATGCAAAATTAGCCTTGGTCAATGCTCTCGTCGTTATTCGTCCCGTACGCAGTCAATCGTCGGCATATATCCTCATGCGCTAGCACATGCATGTAAAAATACAGCGCGAACAGCGACCTCACGCGGCCACTATTTTTATGCAAATCAGTTGGAGACGATGTCGAGCCTTGGTTCAATCGTCCATGTGAATTTTTGGGGGTGGTGCTCATTATGTTAATAGCCTTAGCTGACCTTAAATGTCGTTTTCTTATTGGTCGATCGTTGCGTGGAAACTTGCATAGTGAAACGTGGCACCGTACATAATCCATACACGAACACATTGTGTGTCTCTGCACACGGCACCAATGCACAAAAACTGTGGTTCCTGTCACGTCCGCAAAAGGCGGAATAGCTGCAAATAATTTGATGACGTCCGGATTTACCAAGGTGTGATTGGACACTCCACATATTAGCCCTGCCTACATTATCTGTATTCGCATACGAGGTCGTGCGCTGGAAATCTAGCGCAAAGTTAAGAAAAACATAAGCTTTGGCCGACGATTGAACCAAGGCTCGACATCGTCTCCAACTGATTTGCATAAAAAATAGTGGCCGCGTGAGGTCGCTGTTCGCGCTGTATTTTTACATGCATGTGCATAGCGCGTGAGGATATATGCCGACGATTGACCGCGTACGGGACGAATAACGACGAGAGCATTGACCAAGGCTAATGCAAAATGCGACAAATGTGATGAATGAAGCTATGAACTCATTGAACATTATTATCGTTTTATCATAAACTAGGGGCAGTATGCTTTCCCTTGATCTCTTGGAAGCATTTCTCTGGTCATGCATCACTGAGTTCCATTGGTTTGAAAATGGCATGTCCAAATTCTCTAGGGATAGTCTGGGGTAATACATGTACAGTGTGAACAAAACCAGACATAAGACAAGTACATGTTGCTTCAAGTGATATTCAACTTTGTGTTGAAAGGGCAGGTGTGTGTGTGCTAGGTGATATGTGCAAGGTATTATGTTCATGTTTTCATGAAGTCCTCAGCAGTGGTGCATATACATGTCCCATCTCAACATTGCAGTTTGGATCGCATGCTAGCATGCAGACCTGCAAATCCTGAAGATTGGGAGGTGGACTGCTGAAAATGTTGTTCTTTATATAAATACCCCTCCATCAAAAAACAAACAAACACTCCAACAAACAAACAAACAAACTAGAAAGTCAAATCCAGTGACCTGGGAGGTCATTTGTTCCACAGCATGATTCAGTGTCACCCTGTTCCAAAAAAGTCATGAAAGTAATTTCTGACAGCACTGTGTCTGTGGGCTAGGCACTGTTTTAATCCCGCCCATTTCCTCAATGTTTGAAATGCAACTCGCGCTGCGGCACAAGATTTTTAGTAATTGTGCAAAGTAATTGTGGAAATCCTGTTCATGTTTTCCTGACTATATCCCTATATCTCACCAGCATTTAGCTCTATATTCTAGTCATGGACTCTTTATGTTTTTATCAAAGAAATTTCCAGTGTGAAAGTTTTAATATGCATAACTGATTGGAACTTGATGTCAACATTTTCATTTATTATAGTAATCAAATTGCAATGTTTTCAAAAGTTTTTTTTTGGCCTGTTTTTTTTTGGCTTCAAATGTCGGCTGATGACTGCAAATGGTGCCCGACTAAACTTAGTGCAAATATATGGGAGTCCAGAGAGGCCACATAAAGCTTATTCTCGATCATAACCCCATCTAAAAACACGTTAAAATTGGGCAGCAGCAGGATTCCAGTCAAACCAGTGAGTTTGGCGGTTTTGAGACATCTTTTATTGAAAAAAAAACTTTTTCATTTTGCCGACGCGCATGGCTACGGCGATGGGCGCGCAAACCAGAAACGGAGACTTTTTTTTTTGGCCTAATAGGTTCTTACTAGCTGGGGGTAAATCAACACCACCACTACTACCACAATGCCAAGGGTCATACATGAATGACCCTTGAATGAATCGTTGTGATGGGTTCACACAAGGGCTTTAGCAAATCTCACTTGCGAAAACTCGATGTTGACATTGGCGGCTGGCTGGATGATGTGCCGACACATCACAACGACAACCACCGATTTCTGTCCATGTTTCAGACTGATGGTGGCCCAATCTACATTGTAACCAACGTTCTCATACTGAGAAGTTGTGCAAGGATCCCCCCCATCAGCACTGTGTCTTGCTAGCACTTTCTCAACCTTAACCACAAGTCTTTATTGGCATTATTCAACTCATTAGGCCAATTGAAGTCCTGTTCATTGGGCCTAGGTTTAATGGACCTTTCCCTACCCCACTATGAGCCTATGCTGTACAAACTTTCATAAGCCTATGTGTCCAAATAGTTGCATGCATCCAAATTGTTACTTCTGCCTTGACGTTTCACCAGGTATGTAGGGACAGCTCTGGCAGCTCCAGTTGAACTTCTTGCATTTAGACCTGCAGTTGTCACATCCATGACGCGTTCAGGACTTGTATATTACCAAATTAGCCTTTGTCGATTTCTTCATGCCTCGTAGGTCCGACGCCTCATAGCTCTGATGCCTAGTAGGTCTGACAATTAAATTAACTTTTATTTCAGTCCATAAGTCCAATGCCTCATAAGTCCGGCTGACGCCTCATAAGTCCAACAGCCATGATTAATACAAACATTGCGTAAAATGTCAGAATGTTAGCGCCTCTAATTGTTAAGAGATAGCGATAACACATTGACATAAGGGATGCACAAGGCCCCCCCCCCCCATTTACGCCTGTAGCATCAACCTTGCAACGAAATTAAAACATCACTTTTTAAAAAAATATCGTTCTTGCCTTGACGGACAAATGAACCTTTTCTGGTGGTAACGGTCCATAGCTCCGACGCCTCAAAGGTCTGACGCCTCATAGGTCCGACGTCAGATGTATGAGGCGTTGGACCTATGAGGCAGACGCGTCCCACCTGGCTCTCATAGGAAAGCACACATGTAAACAAAGTATGACGTCATTACATCTTAGATCTATTTTGTCTTCCCACTCAAGGGGTTGAGCACTGCATCCAACTTTCATCATAATCCATGAAGGTATGAAGAAGATATATATTTTTAAAAACATACAGACAGGTGTCAGGTTACCTGACATTCCAACTGATGGGATTCCTGGGGTACTTGCATTGTTGTCTTTTTATCCCTTTTACTAAAGATTTCACTTGTGGGGTGCTGTTTCCTTTGTACGAGTACCCCACAAGTGCTTCTGGTATGTGTGGACATACATGTACACCCTTACGGACAACGGTCCTTCGCCACATACAGAATTTAGGACTGGTTAAGTGTCTCCGGAAACAATCGTTTGGACGACACAAAAAAGGGAGCTTGCTTGAAAAAATAGGGCAATTTCTACAAATATTGGGGGGGGGGGGGGGGGAGGGTGTGTTAAATAATAGAAAAGGGCCGTCTTTATCAAATATTGAGAGGGCAAATCCCAATCCCGCCACAGAATTGTCAAAAAAGTCATGTAATTATCATGTCATACAAAAAGTGATAAGAATGTCATATTAAAAGAATAAGATGTCATATTGTAATTGAGCTTTGTTTGAACATGAAATTCATCATTTACATGACTGCACATGGACGAAAGAAGTGTGAACTCATGAAAGAAAATGGTTTTGCAGAAAGCCCTCCATTCAGACATAGACCTCAAATTTTCAATTGACTTGGCTTTTCTTTATTAAATAAAATGCTCTTTATCTAATGGGCATTAACTTCATTATTATACATACTTTTTAAATATAAATGCTGTTTGTGTACTCGGTTTTGAAACACAAGACATGGTCATCGATATAAAGGATGCAAGTTTTTATCCAGATATTTAACAAAATGTTGATTTGGGATATTCATAGAGACAAAGTAATTGACAATTTCACAACTACTTGTACACATTACACTTATCCTTGAGTCAGTATTGACAATTGATAGTTTGTCCCTTGATCCTTCCAGTTTACTCTTTGGTGTTTCATATCAACCCTGCATGCTTGCGTGTCCCCTACATGTTTGTTTCTTGTACCACTGTCATTTGCCTCCGAGGATCTTGCTAAGACCAACACCTCATGCCCTCCTAAAATGTTTGTATTCAATATTTTTCTGCTTAAATAGTATACTCCATTTCCAAGGACACAATGCATGGCATTTAAACCACATAATGTCCTCCTTTCTGCCCTGACTTAACGTGTTCATAACAGTTAAACGATAAATTGCTTCATATGTTCATTTTCAATATGGAAAAGTTGTAAATGTATCTGACAGCCTGTATAAGAAGTTTTGGAAGTAAAAAAAAAAAGTACAATCACGCAAAATAGAAAATAAAAATGAATGCAAGTAAAATGGAATTGAGCACCATATTTAATGAAATTACCTGTTGACCTGTTGACAATAAATCACTTACGAAAAGCAACACAAAGCATAGAAATATATATCTCATGCAAACAATAACCGATCACATGTTTGAGAAATAATGAGATGAGTTTGTAAGTAGACAGCTTTACTGTAAACCAAAGTACTGATTGTCAAATGATTTGCATTTAGTGTGTGTTTTTTTTTTAACAATGTGGAACTACAAAGTATCACTTTGCATCCCTTCTTTTAGATACTTAAGTAATTCTTGGTGTGGCTATGATTTTAGCATGTTCATGATTTGTGTGTCACTACATTTTCTGTCTGATTGGCACGTATGTTTTTTTTGTCAACAACTGAATTATTTTCAGCTCTAAAAACATTCAGCACCTTCTTAAAATGCTCAAGGATTACCAGCCATGTTTTCAAGCCACAGTGAGTCAGGTTCATGTTTAGCACATTTTAATGGCTGAGATTGCAAGTGATTGATTATTGCAAATGATTATATGCAATGTGTTAGCCTCTTTGCAAATGATGAGTACATCTGAGTGAGAGCACGCAGCAGAAATAGCCCTAAAGGGTCAATATATGAAAACAATTTATAAAAGAACGAGTCCGTACCACTTTCCTGAAATATTTCGAATAAAAAAAAATATCATACTCCAGAGCAACTGTGCCGCAGAATTACCCACTTGGGCAGAATTAGAAAGCAGAGGGTATGCAACCAAAGTTCCAACGTGGGCATTCATATGCAGAACTTACAAATGCAAAAAAGGAGCACCTGTAGATATCCAACCTTGATGTACGGACGTCCTACCATCAGGAATATTACTATTAAAGTCCATATTAAACTTCCCCCAGATTTCCTGTAAACAGGTTAAAAAAAGCAACAATCACCACCACCACACTTTTGTTGTGTGCAGGAATTTCATAACCTTTCATATTCAACAGCAAGAACTCAACTAGTTCAAGAAGAATGATTCACAACGACTGCTCTAAACATTTGATCAGCTGCTCAATGCTCCTAGCCAACACATCTACACAATGTTGTTGTCTTGCAGATGAGGATAATGATGAACCCCTTTTCAGTGTTCTAGACAGACTGCTTACAGTACTGCTGGGTGATACGTCATCATGTAAAGGTTGACAGGTTGGGGGGTTGGCTTTAGGCAGGATTGATGATTCTGCCATCTCTGTAGTTTTACTACCAGACTCTGATGAGTCCCCACCACATTTGTCTTCTTCAGTATCAGACGATGGCAATGTGTTCTCTAGTGTTGCATCTCTTACTATATCTGCTGGTACGTCCGCATGATAAATAGAATCCATTGTGATTACTTCCTGTTTGTTTTGAGTGATCTTTGGGAATTGTGCTTTGGGTTCTACAGTTTGTTGGTCTTTGGTTGTGGTTGGAGGAGGTGGAGGAGGTGGAGGTGGTGGTGAGGAATTGCCCTCAGTGCTTTCCTTGATATCTGGGCTTGATCTCCTCTTCTTTTTGGGAACTGCTTCAGTATCTGAAGGGCAAAAGAAATAAGATTACTTTTTATAATCGGTTGAAATGAATATGTGACTGAAAATTAGAACATTAAAAGATAACAAATTAAAATTCATTACGTGCATACATACATGAACTAACTATAGAGTTCAGCAAAGAAATTGACAGAAGCGGCACTCTACCAACTCAGCTCTCCAACCCAAATGGGTGGTTCCCAACACATGTGCGTCAAATTCTTTGTTCAACATCATTACATTAAAAAAATGCATATTTTTGAATCATCCCCAATGTATTTTTCATGTTATACACTAATTAAAGGGAATATACAACATTTGCAAACATCGAAAAATAAAACTACCAAGTTTTTACGAATTACTTTACTAGGATGTTGGTAAATGACAGTCTCAAGCATCTTGGAAAATTATGGCACCTGGTGTGAAGTCATTTTCAAGAAAATGGTATTTTTGTACACATTTCCAACGGTGGTCGGCCGACCAGCGTTGGAAAAACACAACCATTTTTCAACTACTGCTCCAAATTTACCATTTTTTTCAGTCCAAATTTTGTTTGCTATTGGTTACATGTTCATGAACGGGTGCAGGCCAGCTAGACTGGTTCCCTTGCCTTACAATTTTCCATCATCTATAAATTGATCCATTTTATCTTTTGTGGAGTCAGGGAACCAGACTACTTAAAATCTTGTGTTTTTCTTGGTTTTTCCAACCTTTTCGAACTCAAAACTTCAAAAATGTCAGTGTAACAATATTTGATCTATAATACTAACCCCCTCAAATAGTTCATTTCTGAAAATTACAGCAAAAGCCAATGATGTACATTCCCTTTAAGTTGTCACTGTTGTCAAATATGGTTTCAGATGAATAACGATGCTTGATCACTACATTTCTATAATAAGCTCTCTTTCCTTCATAATTCAAATTGTGTAATTGATGCTTGTTTATAAACTGACCAGTCAGTTATAAAATATAAAAAAAAAACATATCAACATCCTTGACTGAAGGAATGATATAACGAAATGAAAGGAACTGCCGGTTACATCATACTCAACATGAGTGACAGCCAGAGAGAGAGAAACTTACCAGTCAGTTATAAAATATAAAAAACACATATCAACATCCTTGACTGAAGGAATGATATAATGAAATATGAAAGACTGCATGACAAGTTAGCATAGAGCTCTGTAAACAATTGTTTAACATTTGTGTTTATTTCCATAGTCTTTTTAATATGATTATAGTGCTGTGAATTCCCAGAAAAATGACAAACCCGTGATTTCAAATTATGCATTAAATTGAATCAATTCATCAATGCTTCACTGAATCAGTAAAGTGAACGTGACCTATCCCAACGTGAATGTGATTTACCATCCGCACTTATCTTTGGACCTAAGGAAAAATTCTAGGTCATGCTGTATTCAAACCCCAAATCATTCATGTACATCTTTGAAACTTTCAGATATGAAACGAGCATGTTGATGTACACACAAATTTTCTCATCTATAATAAAAGGTCAAATTTGTGTTTGAACGAACCTATCTTAAACGAACCTACCGGTACCTCATTTGTCCAACATGAGATTTAATGAACAAGCTGGATAAAGAAACACCAATGTTACATAAGCTCACATCCATCTCTACAGCTGTTACATTTACCTTGCTCACTCTGGTCAACACAGCGTCTCTTATCAATCTCTTTGTCTGCAACTTCTGCTGACTGACCTCTCAAGACCACAGTCATTCTGGCCTCTCGGTCATTCTTACATGTAGTAAGAATATGGTGTAGGGCTGGCAAAAAATTGGGGTTGATTGCCCTGGGTGGCACCACAGAGAACATCAGAAGGAGAGTACGAATATCCTGGTAAGAGAAGACACATCATTTTATTGTTTGTTTACAAATCAACAACTAACTTTTACTCTGCCCTGTACAGAGGACCAAAACTGGACAACCCATTTTCTCAAAATCTTCAAGAACAAAAACAGAATTATGGTTGAAATGGAATACTCTCTCTGAATTTTAATTTTTCTATTATAAAAAATAAATAAATTCTCTTTTAGGGCTTATTTTTAGCTACATTTTGACCATGCTCTACTTTTTAAAATTATTTTATCATCGCATTGGTGATATCACAGGGAGAAAGTGTTGCCTAAATGTTAATATCATAAGTGTGAGTCAATGTCAAATGGATAAACAGCATTACTGATTGTCAATATAAAGTGCAAATTCCGAAGATGGAACAAGCACGACTCCAACTGGAGAACACTTCCTGTAAACTTTTGGCAAAAATCGGATGTGCTGCAAAAATCAATTGATGATAACTTGAAAGCAGATAACAACTACAGAGGACTTGGTGTACCTGAATGGCTTAGAACAACTTCAAAATGGGAGCAAAATAGGCTGGAACGGTATTTCGGTATTACCGGATAGTCACGGTTATTTTCTAAAACCGATTATCACCAACTAATGATTCATGAATACCGAAACACCGGTGAACTCGGTATGGAATTTCAATACCGCGGTACTCTTCCTTTAGTGTTCAGAATCTTCGCAAAAGTAATTTAAACAGAAAGTTTGATTCCATTCTTTGTGGTTCCAGGCATCCAGTTTCATGTCTGCATTGTCAATTACCGTTGACAGTATACAAATAAACATGGTTTGAGGGTGGACAGTCGATATTGGCTCCCCGAGGTATTGGAAGTTGACGCCGAGGGAACTAGTTTGTCAACTTCCAATACCGAGGGGAGCTAATATCGACTGTCCACCCGAAATAAACCATGTTATATTTGTTTTACTATACCTCATTCATATACTGTTGCCGAGTTTTGTTTTATTATTATGCACCAAAAACAGAAGTCGGTTAAACTTGTACAGCTCACTAAAAGAATATTGTTGCTCAACTTCAATTACTAGTTCGGTTCGTTTGCAATATAATACAGTTACTACAGTTGTAAATACAGTACTTGTTTGCAATGTGTACACCTTTCTTTTGTACAGGAGACATCTTTACACGGTCTATAAATTTTCTCCAGTACAGCATCATTGAGCTCTGGAAATTAACATTTACGCGAACCGTGCAACCATGCATCTCTCCTGGGCGATCTTCGCGCGTGCGTACTGCACCCGTGCGACAGTTCCTTGATTGCTCTGTAAAGCGCATGCGTAGTAGACTGTCGCACGGGTAACCCATGCGACCTTCTACTACGCATGCGTATTTACAATGTGCGTGAATCCTCGCGCGCGCATTTGGTAAACAGCAAGAATAACATCTGGCAGGTGATGGTGAATTGACCAGTGAAAGTTCGGCTCTCGATCATGAATATGTATGAGGTATAGTAAATAAAACCCAATTGTCAAGCTTGACTAGAAAACCTGATACTTCAGCTGGAATACCACAAAGGCCTTTGAAGTTCTGCTAACGCCGCTGTTTTCTTTGTGTGTATTGTGTCTGGACGGAAAGTTCGAACATAGTTTTACACAGGGAATGTTTTGACGGTCGTGACAAAACCTGATTGTGTTAGTTTCTTCGTGGTTGTTTTGGAGATTCGAATTCTACATCATCATGTGTAATTTTGAAGGCAAAACATAGTTCCTAAAGAATATTTAAGCAACAAGAAAAAAAGTTTCAATCTTGGTTATGACCCCCAAAACTTACAGGCTTCAGTCATGGAGCAAGATTCCGTGTTTTGCGTGCAAGGTGCATGTGCAAAGGGAAGGGACTCGCCTTGATTCATATGCAATGCTGAGCCGTCCGATCCGGGGAAATTGAGAAAAAAATATTTCAAAGAAAGCGCAATATCAAAGCCATCATGATGTCTCATCATGGGCCTTGGGAATAAATGTACAATCAAGCAGTGTCAGCACCGACGCGCAAAAGAAAAAAATCTGGACTCGCCTGAAATCGTATATACGATGCAGCGAGTGTGAACCGTCCGGGAAAATTAGGAAAAGAAAATATTCCAACGAAAGTGCAGTATAAAAGCCATAATTTCTCATCGTGGGTAAAAACTCTTGTACGATCTGTAAGCGTAAACTTTAGTGTTTACGAAAGTCCCCGATACGCATGTACACGCTGTCCCACACTGGTTCCGCGATCCGCACAGAGAGAGTCGAAACACATGCTTTTCCCCACCCACTGCATTCATCGATCTAAAAGAATCTGATTGGCCATCTAAATCTACACACGGAACATTTTTTTTCCATTCATGTACGATTGGTGCGTTATTCATCGGTACCGATGTTCAATGGGAAGGGACTCGCCTGTAAATCATACGATGTCGAGCCGTCCAGATAAAAATCAAGAAAAGAAAATATTCAAAAAGAAAGCGTAATACAAGAGCCATGATTTCTCATCGTGAAAAAACCCCTCGTATGATCACACGTTACCCCAAAAAACCTACGCCCGTCCTGCTGGGTCCACCAAGCACAATGACACGTGCTTTTTCCCACGCACTGCGTAGATCAAGCTGATTGGCCATCTAACGGCGCTCGAAACATTTTCCATTCATGTTTTGGTACGATTGGTCTGTTCGTTATGAAGGTTGCTGCACCGACAACTTCATATTACAGCATCCACAATTGCGCATGCCAACATTGTGATGATTACCAGAATCGATCACGGACTGATCATGTGAGAAGGAGTACGATTATTTTTTATAGAAGTCTGATTTTTACATGACACCGGCGAAGCACGTAAGGAATCGCTGGTGGCCGACATAAATTACATGAGCCTATTGAATCACTCACAATGGATACCAACTGAAAAGCATACGTTCGCTAGGATATGGGGATCGTCGCATGGTCGGCCTCTGGCATCGGTCGACGATCTGCATTATTTTTTAGTGGACCTTGTCATGTCAATGACTTACAAATTCAAACAATACAATACCACAAAAAGTAAGCTTTCCATGTTTTAATATTCTGTTACAATGATATATTGTTTTTACAAACAAATGGACTGATAATGAAACCAGGACACTTTTAGTGTAGGAGATTTGCAGCGTGAAGCATTTGCGTGATTTATGCTGCGCCAGTGGCTTATCAACTCGGCACGTGGTGCTTATTTTTTCCCCTGATAATGATGTAATACCCCACTTAACATAATACTGCGGTTTTAGTAAATACCGTGTCTTTTTTGTCACTGGATACCGCGGTATAGTAAATGCAATACTGTCCCAAGCCTAGAGCAAAATCTTCAACAAAAGCATGAATACAGAGGACTTGTCTTGGCGGCAGGCAACAAGGTACTCTGGGAAATGAATCTTAGCAAATGCCTTAGACCTCTGGGGAATACTGCATATGTAGCAATTTTCTACAGGTAAGATGACTACACCAGAAGAAATTACTTTGTATGGATAAAAAACAAAACAAACAAACAAACTCTCTGAAAACGGCTGCTATTATTGGTTGCTTTTGTACCTATACAGGTAGCATCCAAAAAGATAACTCTGAATTATTGTTGGACCATGAACATTTGAAAAGTAATTATTCCATATTTGGATATGAGTATAATTTTTTCATCTGATATCCCATTAAATGTATTGAATTTCTAGAGGGAAACTTCAATATTCAAATATTTAAAAAGACTACGTCCACTGTCTGTGCTTGCATTGAAATAATACATCTTTATAGTAAAAACTGACACTCAAAGACAGCTTTCCTCAAACAGAGATGCCACAGGGTCTGCTTGAAAAAAAAAACACACCAGAACTAGGTCTGCTTGAAAAAACCGGAACAGCTGCTTGAAAAAAAAAGGGACTTTTTGTGTGTGAAAAAGCCACTCCGAGTCTGACACAAATTCCCCGTTATCATCTTTATCTTGTAGCCAAGCCCACTTTTTTTTTTTTTTTTATAATTTTGCTTCTATGGCCTTTAAGCTGTCAGTTCGTTTAATCACTTTGACTTTTTCCATAATCCCAATATTTATTCTGCCTACCCGAATTTCCAACGTAATATTCGACACAAAACATGCATGATTCCACAACACGGCTGTCAGTGTACATGTCGGGAAACATGGTTGGTACCCGGCATATTTTTGTATTCACATAAATCACTGCAATCGGAAACCACCGATAACTGAAATGATAGACTTGATTTCCAGGCTGAATGCTATGTGTGCTTAGCGCACAACACCACCGCACGCGGTGAAGCACGCGTGAGGCACCATTGTATACTACGTGCAAATACGTTTGCAGCCTGTATCGCATGCAGGCTCGGCAACAACAAAGACTGTTTTTAAGACTACTTCAACGAACGTTGTTAAGTGCGTGCGCCTAAATCAAGAGCGCTAACAAGGTAAAAATTAATGCATTTCCACAGTATTTCTTCTCTTTTTCCGGTTTTTTTTGACAGCCGGAAAAACCAGAATTTTGTGAGATTTAAAAAAACCCCGCAGAATTCCGTTTAAAACCGGAAAAGTGTCATCTCTGTTCAAAACGTTTCTTAAAATTGATGGATGATTGTTGGGAAAAAAAAAAGTTTGAACCTACCCCATTCACTTTATAGGCAGTGCGTTTGAGTTCATCCTGTCTGAAATGCTCCAGATTATCTGTGTCTCCAAGGATGCCGCATATGAATGAATCCACCACTGACTCCCAGTTATTGCACAGAATGTGCTTGTACACCTGCAATATTCAACAAAACAGCAAATGTTTGAAAACAAAAATTAGTTATTCAAAAACTGGTCAGAAAGAAATTGGAACTTTACAGTGCTGTGCTGTCCATATCCCAGGTCATTTCTTCTTGTGGATGTGCTGTTGTTTGCTCTTTGGAAAATTAGACTGAGATAACTCATTACAAATCTTGCATAATAAATCTGATCTGTTATGATGTGGGAACACATACTTTACTGAGTGGAATAACCTCTCTGCATGTATTTTAAGTTTTTCACTATTTTACCAGGTATAGTTTTTGAGCTATAATGAAGAATGTGCAATTGAATACCCATTTTCCTTGGCCTTTTTGTGGGCGGGGCACCCATTTAGAAAAGTTGGCAAAACAAACTGAAAAGGAGAGTCAGTTATCAAGAATTTGGGCAGCAGATGAAGAATTTTAGTTTAGAATAGTGAGAGCATAGAATTTAGAAATGTGAGTGCATATGGCTCCACAAGCCCACTGACTAGTATGTCTTTTCCATTTTCACGTATTTATAGTCCAAGAGCCAGGGGTCACAGTCCTTCATTTTTAAGGAGCACAATCGCGCAGGCGCTCCTACTGCGCTCCTCGACTGTCTCGAAGGAGCGCAAAAAATAGCGCTCCTCAAAAATCCAAAAGAGGGCTCATCAAACACGGGAAGTTTAAAAAATAAGAAGTGATAAAAACAGCAAGGATTAAAAGTCTTTAGCTACACGCATTATTCGTTTGTATTAATGCCCAAACTCACGTTTATTCCGTCGGATTTTGCTTTTTTTGAACGAACACCGAGCTCGTACCGTCAAAGATCATGCGTGCACAGCGGCTGTATACGTGTGCATATCGCTGCATAGAGCTGTATCGATGTACCGGTATGAAAACATGTGGGCCCGTACGTGCTAGTGCAGCAGTGACTGGTTCCCGCTGCGCCGCGCACCAAGGGCCAAAGAAGGCATGATGGAAATGCGGTAACCAGTCAATGCAATAGTCACGCGCGCGGTGCGTGCACTGTAGTACATTGTTTTGCATGCAGGCCGGTCGGAATAAAGATTGTAAAAATGCCAAGAAAACATCGATGGAGAAAGACGATCTTTGCAAGCTTATTTACAGAACATGAAATTTCTTGTCTGTGTATGTATTTCCTGTGTTCATGAATTTATTTCGAGGAAGTACTACTGGTATATGAAGTGAAATGATGCAGCATGTTTCACCGAAATCTCTATACCGTAAAACGAGGCTCATTGCCGGCCCACCACATACAGTGCATAACGCTCGCTCCTACCAAGCGAAGTTCAGACATTGTTAGCCAGTTTCTCGTCGTGACTAGCATTGTGCATATGGTATACTTGACCTGCATTTTCCATTATTTTTAAGATTATCGACGGCAAATATTTTCGATAATACTTAAGGCAAGTTTTTGTCATTTTTGAGGCTCTTTTTGTATAGCTTTCGTTGTGCAATGGAAAAAGTTCAGGCTGAAAATTTTCGTATAATTTTAACGAATCTGAAAACAAATATTCAGTTGCTTTATGTGCTGTTTACTAACTCCATTTTCTAAGAATAATTAAGTGATGAACCAACTGACAACTGTATTACAAAAAATGAAAGCGTAAGCAGTAGTGAAACCTTTTATTAGTCTCCATTTAGGCCTAGTTAGTTTTTTAAAATAATTTTTTACCTTGTCTTACAGTTACAGAAACAAAAGAAGTAACGGCACTTGAGCATATTATTATGCAAAAACTAATAATAATGCAGACCCTTGAATAAACCCCGATATTCAAAACAAAACAAAAACAACGTTAATCCGTTGTTTCACTGCTGTTTATCCATGGATTTTAAGGAGAGTGATTTGCTCTCCTCAAAGATTTGAGGAGAGCGATTTATAGCTCTCCTGGATTTTCTTTAAATGAAGGACTGGGGTCATTAATTTTTTTGGAAATGACCAAGTGTTTAGTGGGTATTTTTGGGGAATTCAAATTGGCTAGTCGTATGGTTCCTTGGCGGTGGACCTGGATACCAGGAGCAGATAAGTGACGTCACATAAGCAGTGTTTAGGACATGCAACAGCCGTCGGGTCAGTAATGGACCATGTACGCAGAACGTACGTGCTACTGACCCAGCGGCTATTGGATGTCATACTCAACGAAGCGCAGCACTGAGAAGAATACAGGCCATTATGTTTACCTTTTATTACCTTTTTAAATGATTTCATATCAATAGATGAGCATTTAGCGGAGATAATAATAATACTAATAATTTGGAAGGCTAATCATCCTTACTCGCAGCTGGTATGCGGCTACAACGTGGTCGGCCGCTGGCACGTAAAGGCGCCTATGGCTGCCGGCCACATCGACCCATATTATGACCACGGAGCACAGCCTGAGATCGAAAGTGTTTGATTTTTCCGGAGGGAGGAAAACCGGAGGGCCCGGAGAAAAACCCTCGTGGCACAGGAGAGAACCAACGCACAACTCTACTCACATGCGATCCGCGGCCAGGATTCGAACCGTGTTCACCTTGGTGAGAGGCGAGCGCTTTACGCACAAGCCACCCATATGTCTGAATACTGATGTCTGAATACTATGAACAGCATATTCAAACATTTGATCACGCTAATGTAGGTGTTGGTTGCCTTTTTTTAGACCACCGATAAATCATAGACACCAAAATGCTTCAATTTTAAGACACACTTAACTTGGTAATTTAATTTTCAACCTACAAACACAAAATGTCAAAAGTTTATTCGGTGACCAAATTGGGTTGGCTTTCACTTCGGAATCTTGTACACGCGGACTCATTGAACTTGCTTGATGGATCGAGTTCTGTAGAACTTGTTGGTTGTCTCTGTGATTTGGTAACATCCCCTCCAAGATGGTCTTCAATGTTACTTTAGAGGACCTGGGAAGTCACTGCACAGCCCTCCTCACCAGCTGATGGCAAAACTAGTGCCTGCTGAGCCTTCAACAAAGATGCTGGGGCACATGGAGGGACGGGGTGCAGAAACATCTCATGAATGTAGATGATAAAGAGACCAAAAACCTCCCTTGCGGAAGGGATGTCTTCATCTAGGAACAGAGATGGTTGAGATTCTGGCACTACACCAAAAATATCCTGCTTTGAGGACTATGTTATTTGTGTGTGTCTCTGGAGTCGCAGCTGCTTCAATCGCTGGGGTAGGAGAGGTCATCTATACTGTCATTTGCCCTCAGTTTGACATTGACTCAGAGTTGCTGGCGCACTCAAGGTCTGGGGCAAGATGCGAAAGTTACCGTACGTACGGAAGTCCAAATCCTGTCAATGCTTAAGTTCAATCATTGTGGCTGTATAGGATTTTGTGGAACATCCTAATAACTCCATCCCATGTGGGTTATACATGTATGGAGTGTTTCTTGTTTTGCCCTAGATTCTATATATGCCCAAAATATTACATACTTAAATGGAGCGAGTGTTCAACTGAGTTCAAGGTGGCCTCATTTTGTATCCAAGGGTGGATCCGAGGATACAAAATAATTTGGTTAATGTTGTCACAAAATTATTGTTTCAGATCGCACCACAGAACATCTAGAATCCACAGAAATTTTGGGCGGCCCTGAACCCCATTCCGTAATCTTTGGACCCCTTCTTTTGGGTGACCAAAATTATTTTGGGCCCCCCCCCTAATGTGTTCTGGATCCGCCCTCGTTTGTATCAAAGCGTACAACAAGTTGAACTCGGAACCAAAATACAGAACAGAGGATTGAGGAAACAATCTTTAAACTTCGGAGAAGCATACGTGGTATGTTGTTTACTCATGTCATGGGTCCTTTGCTAAGGACCTTTTGTTTTGCTTCCCTGACAAATTACTAGGCAGGTTTAGGATTATATAGCAAACCTAGTGCCATTATTGAAATAATTCTGTTTGACTTAGCTCGTGTAGATTCGTGTCAATTATTAAAGTTTAGGTTCTGAAGAGTTATGCTAAGGAATATGCGGCAGCCGCTGCTAGACAACATACAAATGAAATTAGCCTGATTATAATGATCCCGGAGGTGAGATATCCTATTCATATGACCCCAATAGCTTCTCTTTCTGTTCATCTATTGATTCTAAAAGAAAATAATTCTTAAACATGGCCCATATTCTTTTCAGTGCTGCTCATCGGCTGTATTTTTATCTCCTTATGTGACGTCACTTATCTGCTCCTGGTATCCAGGTCCACCGCCAGGGAACCATAAGACTAGCCAATTCAAATTCCCCAAGGTGTAATCTTTCTAAAAAATACCCACTAAACATTTGGTCATTTCTTTTGTAGATTCATTTCAAGTAAGTTAATCAGGTTGTGAAGAGTTGTTGCTAAGGATGATGCGATTGTTGGGCAACAAACATCTTAATTATAATGATCATGTGGTCCTGGAGGTGAGATATCTTATTACAATTATTACTCAGAGATCTCTTCTTGAAGTTCGTTTATTTATGTAAACTCAAATAAAAGGAAATAATCCTTAGGCCTTAACATTGGCAGTTTTTTTCAGTGCTGAAACATCGGCCATATTTTTCATTTTCTTGTGTGATGTCACATATTTGCTTCATGTATCAAGGCCCACCACCAGACTAGCCAATTTGAATAGACTAGTATGTAATACGCAGAGATGAAACTGGCATATGGCAAAAAAAATCAGAAAGTAGGCAGAACAAAAATACGTGTCAGAAATCTGGGCCGCGCTGCAGTTACACCCATGTACATGCATGTACAATACACTTCATGCCCAATTTCCGGACACCAACTCCTGCTTTATTTTCGATTCTAACAAAATTTTACGATGAAAAAAAATGGTCAGTGTTTTCATTGCATAAAACACCTGAATTACGGTTAGAGTAACGGAGTCATCAACAAAGAAGTTCACTTCTTACTTGAGAAAGTCGAGGGAAAAGTCCGAAAGACAAGGGCACCGTTTATGGTGCTTCAATCAAATATCATGTCCATGATTCAACCATACAACTCCACTACTCCACTTGCATTCGTACGTGGGGAAAAATCAAGCATTATCGTCTTTCTCTTCCAACAAATGCCAGTGAAATGTTTCGCTTATGCTCTCTTTGCTATCCTCGAGATAATCATCATGATTTTTAAAGCATTGCATTTTGTACAACTAAATCTGAAACCTCCGAAAATCGCACAACATAATGATTTTATCGACTGGATCGTTCACAAGGATACCCGTTCCCGACCGGCCATGTGCTGGCGGACGGTACAGTGCAGTACGTACGCTGGTACCATTGCATATCATCTTCGCACGTACGCATGTGCGACACAGTGATTTTTCCATGTCACCTGTCAATGTTTAACCTTTTGTCCAGCTGGAAAAGGCTCCGATCAGTGTTATGGCTTGTGTTTCTACCGTCAATGAAACACTCCAATAACGACTGGTGAAAGAGATTAAAACTACCTTCGCGATGATTTTAACATGCCATTTCCATCGACTTTTCATCGACTTTTCTTCGAAATTATGATTGAAATAAAATGACATTTTGTGAAAAAATCGTTACAAAATCAAATTTTGTGGGACACATGGTAAGAAAATCAGAAATTTCGTTAAAAAATTCAAAAAGTCGGATTTCTGATTAAAATCGGAAAAGTTTCATCTCTGAATACGTTCTGCGTACACAGTCCATTTCGGACCCGATGGCTGTTGCATGTCCTAATCACTCCTTATGTGACGTCACTTATCTGCTCCTGGTATCCAGGTCCACCGCCAGGTAACCATAAGACTGGCCAATTCGAATTCCCCAAGGTGTAAACTTTCAAAAATACCCACTAATCACTTGGTCATTTCAAAAAAATAATTAACCCCAACTCTTGGACTATTACTTACAAACGTGCACATATCGTATTTGAAACATTAAGTAATCTGAAGCAGAGCATTTTGCTCTTGGCCTTTATCAACATTATGAAATTCTCCGTTCTCCGAATCAATTCATACACGATTCACGGAGAGACGAGATGTATAAGATTTAGGTATAATACACACGCACACATTACATGTACTTCTGCATTGCACTGCGCGCAATCTCTTCAAAAGCTGTAGGTGCTCAGCTCAGCTTGGTTATACATGTATTGCTTTGGACCACATTGTTTTTGAGCGAAGGGTGTGAGTCCTCGGGATAGTTGAGTGGTGTTTGTGAGATTGAAATTGCAATCGTTGGGGTAAATACTTTCTCTTATAATACATTTTTGTTTTCAAAATTGTTTTTTAATATTTTCAAAAGAATTTCACATAACAAAAATAGCTTAAACTATGCTCTTGAGCCATACAAAAATGTCAAACCCAGAAAAATTTGAATTGTTCACACAACAATAATGTTGATGTCTTCAGACGCGGATAAGTGGACATTGCGATAAATATATGTAATATATATGTTGCGATATATATATTTCCTCATGCAGACACACACTGGGTAACTTTTTTCCCCCCAGATATATTCTCACCGATATCATATTGATATCGAGTAATTGTGAAATAATGATTAACCCTTAGAGATAGAACATCTATGGATGGAAAGTAGAAGACTGGAAAATAGGATACTGATAGAATGAGACTGATAGGCCAATAGTTGGAAGGACCAGATTTCTGGGGAAAAAAAACGACTTCATTGAAAATAACAGGAATCATATAATGGCTAAGATTACAGATTCTATTTGCAATTCTCCCAAACTCCCAAAGCCAAGGCATTAGGAAGAAACAGAGTCCTGAACTGATGAACCAAACATATTATACTGATAAAGTTAACATTACCTGAAAAAAACCTTAAAACTGAAGTTATGATAAACAAAAGAGAAGTATCAAGCAATTATGAAAACACATGTTCATGTATTTATATTAAGATAAAATTGTTTAAATCATGTAAATAATTGCAATTATATTTTACACTTCACTCACCTTCGGGAAGAATATACAGAAGAATGAGTTGATAGCTGGGTTGTTGAAGGAGGTACGTTCATCTAATATGATTCCTTCTACATAGTCATGGAATGTATGATGACTGCACAGCATCTGAACACCTGCCCTGTCACTACCCTGAAAACAAACAATCAAGAAGATGACATCAATAAGCAATTTTATATTTGAATAATATATCATAAAGTACAAACATGCATTCACACTGCTGTTTTCCAGTTTTATCCCCCAAAAGATTCCTTTTCTGAACTGCTATTTACAAAAGATATTAAGGAAACATCAACTGAAAGAAAATGTTGGTGCCAGACAAGAATTCCCATTCTCGCAGGTAGGCTGGTTTCCGCCCCACAATATATTTCAGCTGCTATTTTATTTAGCATTCATCAATACCTAACACATGGTTGCCACATTTTAAATGGAATAATGAAATGCAAAAGGAATATCCAAAATGAAACTTTTAACCTATTTAAGACAAATATGTTGAAAATCAACCATAACCCTCTAAGATTCCCCCCACCCCCTTTGTCAGCATATTTTGCATACCTTTGGCGCTGTTAGTGGCCCGCTGAGTGTGCAATGCATTAAAATCATTAATAACATTGCTTTTTCAATTGTGCAGAATGATAGGAATGTGAGTGCACTAATGTGGTAAGGAATGTGAGTGCACTAATGCAGTATGGGTAAATGTTTCTGTTGCTGACCCTACAGAAATGTAGTGTACCTCAGACTGGTACATGATCCTCCAGAGCTTGGCAAACCAGTCCAGTTGTAAAGGAACTCCCTCCAATGCAACTAATACACCTGAAACCGCACAAATAAAAAAGAAAGAAAATGTATTTTTGGAGCAAACCATTTATAATCAATAGTGGGAAATTCATGCAAAACATGAGTGGATTATCGTACTCAAAGATTTTACAAGAGGGATCCACAAATTTGCTCTGTAATGGGGAAATGCTTTGTAAAGGAATGATTATTGCTAGTGCTTTTGTTTCTTCTGCCATTTTTGGTGTGTGTTTGAGACTGATATGAAAGGTTGGGCGGGCCAGGAGGGTGCTACAACAGGGTCATAGGTGGTGTGTAGTCACAGAAATAGGAGACCTATTTGGACATATAGGTCCAACAAACTTCTTGTCATGGAGAATTAGGAGGCAACCTAATATCTTTTTTTAAAATTATTTTTAAAATATTTTTTTTATCCAATGATTCAAAAGTGCTTTGCAAGATGAAAACAAGTTATTTTGAAGTTGATTAAAAACCTTAAACTTAAAGGCAAGCATACAGCACATCAACATGAACAATGAGCTATATTTTACATAGACATGAATACAAAGCAATGGTAGTTACAGCTACTACTCACTAAGGTTGATGGTATCCTCAGTGAATAGGTTGATGTTCAACGCTGTATAACAGAGGGTCTCAACAAACTGATGATACGGAAGAAAGAATTCACGGAGCGCAGCATCATATACTGGATCAGAACCCTGCAATCAACATTAACGAGTTGAAAATCATGTACACAACGTATCAGTTAAGAAAAGAAATACTGCATGTAAGAAAGTGACTCTTAGAGACATAGAATCTCTTCCAATAATAGTCTGGCAAAGTTGCGTTGGTGTATGGCTCGCCACTTAAAATTGAAAATGCCACAGAAAACCACCAAACTCGTGACTTTTTTTGCGGTCAATCCCTATATGTTTTGTGTTCTTATTCTTGTAGAAGCTGTTCATTTTCAGTTGAAGAAATGATTGGCTCCTGGAATGTAGTCTATGAAGCCATAGCATTTTCACATTTTTTCCCATCATGAGTTATGACCTTAATCGACCCCTGCATGACCTTTGACATTACATTGTCAAAACAACACATCAGCAGCCCCAAACCTTTATTCTCAGCAATGTTAGCAAATACCCATTCATTTCAACCTAAAATATTCAAATTCTAAAACGACCTGAAAGGACCCCTAGATGACCTTCGACCTTCAATTTTTGATCACTCCATCCAAGTTGCATTAAACTCCATTAAATTCTGTAGACAAAGAAACATCTGAGGATATTTGAACAATGACCCCTACATGACCTTTGACGTCAGTAATCTGATGAATTTTGTGTCTTCCAATCCAAGGGTCACTGCATCTAAGATTTACCAAAATCATACATACAGGATACGGGTACAGAATTTAGGACTGGTTAAGTGTACCCTAAAACATTTGTTTAGGCGACACAAAAATGTTGCATGTACATTTATACATAATTCTAATAAATTATGAAAACATTTTCAAATTCAAGTATAGAATTGTAACCAAGAATTGGAAAAACTGTGATCGGTCAAAGCAAATGGCAAAGGTCCCTTTAGGCTCTATTGGGCTCTCCTATCATGGCTAGCATCAACTGACCTTGTTGGCACCTATCATTTGAAGGCTTGGCTCCTTACAATAGACCAAAGACATAATGATGTCAGGCTTTGTTTACATGCTTGGCAGATCTCGTCCCCACCTGGCTCCCAACTGACTCCAAAGGAAAGTGCAAATGTAACTATCTTAGGTCTGTTAATGGATGGGACACCCACAGGGAATGCTGCTGAAGTCAAGGACAGCCAACTTGACATGAGACTGCAGAGCTCCATAGCAAGGACACTGCAAGATATTCCACAATGGAAAGTAAGACACTGAGCTTGAGAAAAACTTCAAGGTCTTACATGTGACGTTTCAAGCTGGCTTGGATGAAGAAACATTTGTAGCTCTGGCCTAGGAGGTCGAATGCTGGCCTTGTTGGGGGCAGGCTTTGGCATACGTCTTGGAAAATATGGACCTGTGGCTACTGAAACAATGATAAGAACACTCAGATGGATGACCAGCAAATTATGAAAACATTTACAATTATATGAAAATGCCCAAATCACTGGGGAAAATAAATGAGATTACAGGCTTCAAATATACTAACATGTAAAGTTCATACCACTTTGTGAAGCTATGCTTTGTGAAGGTTGCACTTTTCAAGTAACAGGAACTGTTAGTCAAAAATCAGTTCTAAATAGTTCTGCTGTAAAGATACATAATTTCTGACATTCAGCAATGACAACTGTCATCAATTGACCAAAGATAAAAAGTTATGTATATGTAGGTTTAACAACAGATGATTCAATGTGTAGTTTATACTACAGTCAACTTCAAAATTCACAATCACAACATTGACTACGGTTGCAGGACTTTTTCTGAGAAAGTTGAGTTCATAGTGAACTTACTGTGTCATCAGAACAGTCTCTTTTTTTTGCTAAAATAGTTGCAATTGTTATAACTTTTTATTAAACAGTGCGGAAATAATGTCATGCTGAATGATAAAAATGGGATTAGGGGAAAGTGGACTATTATTCAGAGTTTCTGACATGTGCTTTTTATACTTGACCACAAACACACCACAAAATCTATACTCTTTTAGAATGCTAAGTGTATTGATGACAGGTGCAGGACACACAATTTCTGTGGAACCACATTGGAATACATTTGGAAACATGAATAATACCAAACAATGACACTCAATCTGAAACAACAGCTGTACTTACAAGGGATGTTGTTCTTTTGAAACTGATGATGTACATGGAGGATGATGGGCACCAGTCTCTGTACACACTCCCTTGGGTACAGGATTACCAACTCATTTAGAAGGGCTTAAAAAAAAAAAAAAAAAAAAACATGTTCTAGTAAAAGATGCACACAATACCAACTTAAAGGCTATTTTGGGGGCCAAAATTCCTGGTCATTGCCTAACCCGAGTCCCAGAATGACAATTTCTGAGACAGGAACCAACTGATGGGCAAAGTATATGTTGCTAAGCATGTTTCAACACAAAACACACATTCAACTATACATGCATTTAATGTCCATGAGGGTCCATCTATATATTGGGATAGCAGGTTGCATTATCAGGCAACTGATCTGCAATGCATGGATCAACCACATGCTTGCCAGCAACATGGAAGTCTTCATTGACTTTTTTTTTCCATCTTTTCAATTCTGACAGCAGGAAAGGAAGTTTCTTTGGTACAATCTGCTTTTTGTTGTAACTTTTAAGATTGTCAAACATTCTATTCAGTAGTAATCACAAGTATCACAATAAGCATTCAGAAAAAGCAGGTGTTTTTATTTCACAATGATATCACACATCTTTCTCTACTCAGTAAACATCATGATACCATGCCATTGATGTAAACATCATGATACCATGCCATTGATGTAAACATCATTGTACCATGCCATTGATGTAAACATCATTGTACCATGCCATTGATGTAAACATCATTGTACCATGCCATTGATGTAAACATCATTGTACCATGCCATTGATGTAAACATCATTGTACCATGCCATTGATGTAAACATCATTGTACCATGCCATTGATGTAAACATCATTGTACCATGCCATTGATGTAAACATCATTATACCATGCCATGGATGTTATTAAAAAGAATGTAGTATCTGACCTCATGGAACCTGATTAAATTGATCAGATTTATACAGTGGGGTGTAGATAAAACATGTACCATGTATTAAATCAGACATACCAAGGCTTTCCTTCCTAACATTGTCTGGTGTGTAACAGTTAAGCAATGTCAGCAATTTCTGTGCAAACTCCATACGCTCCTGCCACTGTAGTAAGGACTGCTTGACTTCTATAAGGGAATAAGAGCATATATTTCAACTCATGTCAGGTTTGAAAGTTCATCATGTGTAGAATTCAAATATCAGAATCAACTATATGCTTCAATGTCTGACAAGGGGGGGTCCTTTACTCAATAATCAACAACCCTGATCTCTTCGTCCCGCCAGTACAAAAACTGAATTACCATTTGATGTATATTTCACTCAAATAATGATTATAATATAGCACTTTATACCGTACTCTCAAAGCACTTCACAAACTAGACAATTCCTGATGAAATGCACTATTTAGTAGTAAGTCAAGAAACAAAAGCTCAACATTGCAAAGGATGTACCACTGACAGACTTCATAACTGTAACCTTGCTGAATCACGAGAATAAAAATGTGTTTGAAGCCTGCTTATTCCCATGAATTTCTAAACCTGATACGTATTGGAAGGTAAATCTAGTCTGGTTTCCTAACAATGTTTCATCTGATGATAAGTAATGAAAATCAGGCATCTTCTCTGATAAAAATGACAAAAAAACTTGGTGGTTCTCACGACTGTTTATACCAGTTAGTACCTTTTCTCTCTCTATATTTACTGGCACACTCCAATGTTAGCAGGGTGATTGATAACAGTTCTACCAGATCACCTGTGACATGGCATGCTGTTGCTTCGTGGTACATCATATGAAGTGTGTTGAACGCCTACAATCCAAAATCACAAGTATGCAGATTCATATCAAATGGCAGTGTAAATGTATGATCTGTATATAAACAATGAAACAAAGGTCCACTGATTTTCACTCCACCGGAAAGCAGAACCAAATTTCAATTTACCTCATGAACCAAAATTCAGCTACTAGAACAAATCTGAATGTGTATGCATATAACAGGATGCCATACATCGGAATTAAATCATTCCTGTAAAACTGTAATTTCACTTGTAATTTTAAGCACATAATGTAAGACTTTCGGCAATTTGTTTATTTCAATACTTCAGCAAACTTGAAGAAAGCTTTGTTTAGTTCTTTTTCAGAGTACATCTTCCAAACAATATAAATATAACAATATGAAGTATAAAACAGTTTAAGTTTTATCATTGAAGCAGAATTTATGAAAACAGATATTTTTGAATGGGAACATCATTGATCCTACTAGATCCTGTAAAATCTAATGCACTTCCCTAGAGCAAATGAATACTATGTATCTTCCAATTTCTACTTTTGTGAACTGTAAAAAAAAAAAAATATCTGGAAAATAATAGAAAAGTTATGATGGGAAGAAAATGCAGTGGAATTACATTGAAAACTTGTTAACATTAAAGGGAATATACAACATTTGCAAACATCGAAAAATAAAACTACCAAGTTTTTGCGAAATACCTTAACAGGATGTTGGTAAATGACAGTCTAAAGCATCCTGTAAAATTATGGCACCTGGTATACTGTCATTTTCAAGAAAAGTGGTATTTTTGTATCAATTTCCAACGCTGATCGGCCGATCAGCGTTGGAAACAACTGGCTTTTTTTCAAATACTGGCCCCAATTGACCATTGCACTTGTTTGCAATCGATTACAAACCTATGAACGGGTACGAGCAAGCTAGACTGGTTCCCTGACCTTACAATTCCCCAATGTATGTAAACTGCTCTGTTTCTTCTTATATGGAGTCAGGGAACCAGACTACAGGAAAATGATCGTTTTTCTTGGTTTTTATAGCATTTTCGAACCCAAAATCTCCAAAAAGTCAGTGTAGCTATATTTGCTTTATATTTCCAACCCCCCAATTCCATCCATTTCTGAAAATTACAGCAAAAACAAATGATGTATATTCCCTTTAATATGCTGAAAAATTGCAGCCTAGAAAAAAAATGTTAAAATACAAGTATAATGTCTCCCCTTTCTCCCTTGCTATTACTTACATCTGCTAGTCTACTGAGTCCATGGTAGGTAATGACTCCCAATCTATCTTCATCATTCTCCAGTAAGACACGAAAAGCGCTGCAAGATTCAAACAAATCAATCAAACTTAATCAGTGAAGCAGTTAAAAAGACTTGCAGTTTGAAACAAAAAAATGTATCAATTCAAAAACCGTCTGTCCCCTGAATTGTGCACTTTTAAAGCAAAAGTTATACCCCATCCAAGAATATACTTTGCAATCAGTGAACAATCTGATTGCTGTGAAATTTGTGCAGTCTGAAAGAACAGATAAGACTCAACAAATACCCCAATAGTGGTTGGGTCTTGAAGTGCTTAAGGATGATGTTCCATTCAGGTAAGTTCAGTGAGTGATTAGTGAGAACCAGTGGGATGTGGTTCTGATTTCTGTGTCGGGCACTGGACATCAATTTTTCCCCGAGAGGATACTTGATCAATACAGAGCTGACATATGGGAGATGTGTAGCGACGTTGGAGGAAAAATTATTGATAGCCAGTTGCATGTTGAGGAATAAAAGTGAAACCTCTGATATGTCTGAGGTTGGGTAGAAGCTGTCGGCAGGACTTCAACATCCTCCTTTGAGCCAGCAGTAGCAACAATGATGTCATCAAAATAGCACCTGTGCTAGGACCCATGCAGGTCTGAAGGTAATGCCTGTACTCGAAAGTAACATTGTCAAGGATGGGTACCAACTGTGTCAGCCTAAGAAGGATTATAGGTAGGGGGGGGGGGGGGTAGCAGTAAGAACCAAGTTCAGTGAGTCTAAGGGGTGTGAGGTTTACAGAGTCTTAACATCAATACTAAACAGGTAGATAGAAGAACCAGGGAACTCAATGGTGTCAAAAATACAGAGGGTGTCATTGGTCTCTGTCAGATCCAGTTAACCTTCCTCTTAAAATGTTCAAAGACAATGGCAAATAAAACAATGTCCACAAATTCTTCTGTTCTCTGAATTAGTTTATTAACTTAAAAATCACTCCTACTTACAACAATACCTCAAGCTTGAGTTAATTACTCTCAAATACACCACTTGTGAGTTGTAATCAAATATATAAATAGAAAATATTACAGCTGTGATGGACTATCACATCCAAAGTCCGAATGAATACGGGATTAATCACACTGGTCAAATATACAATAAAAATGTTGGACTATCACGGACGGTTGAATCTACCCAAGATTCACCACTGTCTGCAAACTATGAATTTAAACCTTCCCAAAATATATGAAAACAAAACTCCTTAAACTTCACTGTATAAGTGGAATTAAACTTCTCTCCGCAAGTATCACCAAATTACTAAGTTCTCTGTAACTCCACTCCCCGCAGGGTCCGTGTGAACAACGTCACCAATTTAAATTCAATAATTTATCCAACTTTTGGTGATGTTTCACGTCCTCACGTTACTACAAATTCAAAATACACTCTTCAGTAGCAGGTTCAGTAAGTTATCTAGCACATCAAAATTATTATTACAATACTACCAATGAACAATTACATAAATACGGCATAAAAACAACTGACTTCTTCCTGGTAGTTCTCCCCACCCACTCCACGGAGACACTGGAAATACTGTAAGCTTAAGCTGCCTTCAGTCCTTCTGCTGACTTCAGTGCCGGTGGCGTCACCTTTGTGCGTCCATCCTCGTCTGAGTTAGGATCAGAGTAGGCCGTCTGTAAATTTATAATTTTAATAAACTCTCACAATAATTTTGAGTCACTATACAAAATACAGGCCGAATCACCAATCAAATGTTCTTCAAAGCTAATCCTAAAAATGATATCAACTGTACTACTCTATACTTCGATCTCATGTCACTTGGACTTTTCTAATTCTTAAATTAACACAATTAAATCAACATCTGATATATACATCAGGTATGCAACAATCCTTATATAGCCAATCTACATTATCTCAAACGGTTCAAATTCTAGATTCAATCCTCAACCCCGGTGAATCTCACAACAATAAACAGTTAAATATAATGAATGGAAAACAATATCTTCTTCTCTTTTATTTAATCATGTAAATAATTAAAGCTTCAACTTACGGTTGCTGGTCGATGTTGCTGAACTGTCTCCCTCACGCCAAAGTTAAAAAAACATTCAAGCACAAATTTGCTTGAAAAGCACTCTGAAGATTTTAAAATGTTGGCTGCACTGCAATTTCACAAGCCAGATTGCTTGGAAAAGAAAATATCTCAGGGCCTGGATTGCCCCAAAGAATCAAAATATATCGCTAGCAGCAGAGCAGAGTGATGGCGCATATACATATACATGTACACAGCTCAGAATCCTGGAGACAACTCCCTCACTTTCCCTTCAAATTCCAGCAACCTTCCACCAATAACCATCTCAATAAGCCACTTGCGTGTAACCTATACCCTTTGGGATTTACATTTGAAAAACGTCTGGTACAATGACTTGCTCAGAATGCTTGGCACATTTTAACTGTGAATTCTCCAGACCAAAGACACTGTTGCTAATCACATGATTCGGGGCAAGCTCTTGCATAGTTACGTAAGAGACGCTCAGCACCAATACATCGTTCACAATGGGTGAGAATGGCACAAAGACACCAGACCATGCCGGGGCTGGGGGTTGCTAGCATAAGGCTTGCCCCGAATCACGTGATATAGTAACAGTCTCTTTGGTCGGGAGAATGCTAGGTTAAAACGTGCAAAGCATTGTATTAGGCAAAATAAAAAAAAACATGTTTAGCGTCCTGCCTCTTTGACAAAAAGGAAGGAGGAGGCCCTTTTTTTTTTTTTTTTTTTTTTTCAAAATGGCCGCCCGACACATTTTTCAAGACAACGCGGCCGGGCTATTTTTCAAAATGGCCGCCACCTGGACTCATTGACTATTTCCACAGCTTTATACACGATATAAAAGTCTAAAAATACGATTTCTTTCGTCAGAGATCGTTAAAATTTATCAATTTTTGTCTTAAAAAAAAAAAAAAAAAAAAAAAAAAAAAAGGAGGCGGCCTTTAAAAAGAAGCGGGCGGGGACGCTAAACATGTTTTTTTTTTTACTTCGCCTTAAGTCAGCGTTCCAGATTTTATTCAAATTTAACACGCAAGTGGCTTATTCCTCACACTCATTCAAACTTAACTTCATTCCCAATCTTATTTAAACCAAGCTCATGAATATGCAAAATATCTACCTTACCAGAGTGGAGATACCAGGGATGTGTATTGTGTGCATGTGGGTACATGGAAGATGCTCCTAGAGGTATTGTGTGTGGAATGTGTTCTTATTGTTATCTTGATCAGTCAACCACGGCTGGCTAGGTTTGGGCTCTGATCCACTCATGCATAGTTATACAAGGGTTAAAAAAAACCAGAATTATTCACACTACCTATTAAATAGTCACAGATACAAGAGAAGGGTGGTTTTATTGTGACAGTCTCTCCATGTGGGAGGGTAGCTATTGGATGTTTCTGACAGGAAAGAGTCCAAGTAATCAGAAATAAGTTCAGCAGGTCAACAAATACATAGAATTGGTTTTGACGAATTGCTCATGTAGGAAATGTAACAGCTAGCCTGAATAGGGACCTGGACAGAATGAGGATCTGGGCACACAAGTGCAAGGCCTTCACAGTTTCCACAAAGAGGAGCTCATAGAGGTTACCCCTCTTTTGGGGGAACACAAAACTAGCTGAGGAAGATGAGCTGGAAGTCTTGGGTAGCACATTTGAAAGGAAACTCACCTGAGCAAAGCACAAGATTTCAGCTAGAGCTAGACAGAAGCTAGGAGCTTTTAGGAGATTAGCTAACAAGCTGAATGTAGGAGGAAGAGCAACTGTCTATATAAGGTACAGGTTCGCAGTGTTATGGAGTGCACATCTCTATCTTGGATGAGTGCTTCGATCACCACATGTAGACTCCTTGGAAATATCCAGAGCAAAACTCTCCATATCATCGGTGTGGATAAACAGAAGGCAAGTGCAAATCCTAACATTCAATCTCTTCATAATAGATGTCAAGTGGCAGCTACAAGAATTCTCTACAAGATGCATAGCAGTATTTGTCCAATTTGAAGGCTGTGCTCCTGCAGCCAGACGAGATACGACGTGCAACGCGCTTGAGCTTGTCGATGCAGAGACACGCAATCGTTAAGCCAGTCTCTAGGACCTATTCCATTGGCAGAACTTTCATCCACATGGCAGTCCATGTCTGGAACAGACTCCCAGAATGTGTAGTTGGAGACATTAAAGACAACGGCGGTCTCTCCTTCAACAGTAGGGTGCAATCAACATCTTCAATGCCTTGATGTGTAGCAAACTCCTTACCACTCTAAGCTGCTGTGAACCACAACTTGGCCCACCGAGACTTCATTTATAGAGCTCTGTTGCCTATATCTGTGCATGACCATGGTCATACTCCAAACTGGAATGGTGTTGAAGCTCATATTGGACTGATAATGTAGCGATGAAAATTCATTGTAGCACCCTCATTATGTGAAACATTGATGGTATGAAGGTAGAGTTCTTCTCTTTCATTTCTGCCTGGATGAAGGTGCAGTTACACACGAAACATTGGCTATTTTAGTTGGACAATTCAGATGAATTTAAAAGGCAAAATATTGACAAAGTACAAGACTCCTTCATCATTTTGTTTTTCTCCTGTTATCTTCTGTTGTTTTGCTGTGATTCTTCAATGATTACTAGTCACTATTAATAAAGCTGGAGAAACATAATCCGTTGGCTACATTCAAATAGTCCTTGCCAAAAATGCATGAATACTGATTACTGTTTTCTGAGTTGTTCTTTAAAGGGAATATACAACATTTGCAAACATCGAAAAATAAAACTACCAAGTTTTTGCGAAATACCTTAATAGGATGTTGGTAAATGACAGTCTAAAGCATCCTGTAAAATTATGGCACCTGGTATACTGTCATTTTCAAGAAAAGTGGTATTTTTGTATCAATTTCCAACGCTGATCGGCCGATCAGCGTTGGAAACAACTGGCTTTTTTTTTCAAATGCTGGCCCCAATTGACCATTGCACTTGTTTGCAATCGATTACAAACCTATGAACGGGTACGAGCCAGCTAGACTGGTTCCCTGACCTTACAATTCCCCAATGTATGTAAACTGCTCTGTTTCTTCTTATATGGAGTCAGGGAACCAGACTACAGGAAAATGATCGTTTTTCTTGGTTTTTATAGCATTTTCGAACCCAAAACCTCCAAAAAGTCAGTGTAACTATATTTGCTTTATATTTCCAACCCCCCAATTCCATCCATTTCTGAAAATTACAGCAAAAGCAAATGATGTATATTCCCTTTAACATCAGTGAAGTAGTTCTTTTATGTCAGTTGGAATAGTGGCAGAGTCCTAGCTATGGGTTGTTACAAGTCTAAAGAACAATTGAGTGGTTAATGAATAAAAGCATTTGTAACAGTTTGATTCTTTCTGTCTCTCTTTCTGGTCAATTCAGAATCAGAGTGATCTAGAACAGCATCTTGATAGCCAATGGGCTATGCACACAAGTAACTCCCTTCGTGCTGCAGCTGAACCGCCAAACCGAACTAAAAATAGCCGAACTTGGCCTTCAGAACCTAACCCGAACCAATACGAACCCAAATGTCAGTTCGGAAAGTTTGGCAAGTATTTGTTGACAGCGCTAGGAATGCTAAAGCTTGCAATGAAAGGGCAAAATTAAAGCGCACGGATGATTGAATTTACCGTGTTGACAAGTCACTGCATTCATCTTCATTATTTGCGATGTTCTAGCAAGGCATACAATGGGATATCGGGCCAATAAGCATTGAAAACAATGTACGCACCTCAGCACCTACAATTCTCTCAATGAAAAGCGTGCTCTGTTTGGACCAAACCATTTGTGGTGAAAGGTGTACTTTCCTCTGCACAATTTTACCAGCATTTCCATATTTTCAAAATTACAATTAATACTTTTTATGGAGTCAGAAACCTCTCCCTAGTTCAGAATAAGTTCTTAATCATCGCAATATATATTTTTTTGGAAAATACTTCATACGAAAAACAATGTTATCTCCCAAAAGAGGGTGGAGCAACCCTTTAAAAAATTAATGGATCCGTCCACAGAATGAGAATTCGGTGAAAGTAGTCGCAAATCGAAAACTTGATTTTTTTTTTACGGTAGCTATTTATCAGCTTGTTGCTAAAAATAATTATGATTTCATAAGTTTAGTACAGTAAAAGGACCTGTTTGTTCTTATAACAAAACTACAGGGCGTCCTGAAAAAAAAAGTGCATGTAAACCCCTCCATTTTTGCTAAGTTACAACCAAAATTTTCTGCGGATGTTTACACCATCTTCAAGGTAATAGATTTAGCTTGAGAATACCGTTTGTTTCATTGAGATTGCTTTTGTAAATCCATAGATATGTTTGAATAACGGCAAAGCCAAGAAACCCATTTTGTGCCACTTTCTGTGAAGCAGTTAAAGTCAGTATAGTCCTAGTCTAAAACCAAATCACTTTACTGTTAGTGATTTTAATTTTTTTTCAAGCAGAGTGTGGAATATTTATTTATATTTAATTGAACTCTTTAATTGAAGTTTTAAAGAAGTGAACCTGTCTGTACTATTAAATTGTTTCAACATAAGAACAAAACCCTATATTGTCGTGTGAATGGAATGTTTGTCTTACACCCATAGGGATAATCTTATCAAAAGAGCCACACTGGCATTGTCTGATCTTTGAAGCACTCGCTTCTTAATAGCTCCTTCATACCAAAGTAGTTCTCAAAAGTCCTACCTCATCCTAAAAAAATCATGAAACGGGCTGTGTGGTCAGGGTTGAACGTATAACTTTGGCCAAATAATGTCTAAAATACGATACTAGTTCGTTCATAAACAGTCCTCAATACGTCCATCTCGTCTTTATCCCGTCTGCAGTCCGTTGGTATCAAGTTCAGATCGGGTAAAATTGCCCGTTCACCTCATGCGGAAAACGTTTCCAAGCAGTCCAAGCCCCTCCATAGTCAGTTTAAACCCGTTCTGAACTGGTTCTACCTTGTTCCCCAATAAGTCCAAACCCGTTCTAACTAGTTCTTAACTCGACCACCTCGTTCCCAGACAGTTCACCTTGTTCTCACCACCTCCTCATCTCGTCCCTATTGCGTGCGGAACGTAATTGCATTCACGTCCTAGCCCGACTGCTATAAACTGCCAGTCCTCATTCGAGTTCACCGCTTCAAGATGTAAACATGCACACGTACTGCAATTGATGCCCGACTGGACCACGTTGTAACACGTCCCTAGTAGGATCGAAGTACGGCAATTCCATTCCTAGTACGTCCATCTCGTTTTGAGTACGTTGTCACTCCGTCTAATTGCCGAACGGGATGGCCGCCAGAAAATTTTGAGCAGGCTTGAAGTTTTGGAGCACCCTTTCCGTCCGAGCCCGTCCATGAAGTTCGTAAAAAAAACGTAATAAGTTGCTACTACGTCCACTCGGTTTGCACACAGTTTGAGCCCGTTCGGCAACATTTTTAAGAACGTAGTGAGAACTAGTTTGGTGTGATGGGGGTATAAAAGTGGCACAGACTTTTTTTTGGCTTTGGGTTATTCAAACATATCTCTGGATTACAAAAGCAATCTTAATTAAACAAATGGTATTCTCAAGCTAAATCTGTATCCTTGAAGATCGTGTAAACATTTGCAGTAAATTCAAGCTGTAAATTGGTGAAAATGACGGGGCTTACATGCACTATTATTTTCAGGACACCCTGTAATCAGCAATTATTGCCACAAACCACGGTTTTAGTGCTCAGGGCATGCTCGGACCATGGAGCTATCTCGGACGGAACTCGTCGGGAAAACAAATTGAAATCAGCATGTGTGGGAATTGGGAAACTAATTTTGATCATAGTTCGCCGGGCCGGGCCGGGCTAGCCTGTGGGCCGCGATAGGTGCCGGTAACATGTAGCAATTTAAGCTGTTCATTTCTCAATGTCATAAACTCAAATTATTATTGTATTTTGTTTACACAACAAAAATGAGATTCCTTCTTCGACTTGGGTTGTATAGCTTGTGGAAATTGCGGTGCCTATTTCTGTCAGACGTGCGCGGTACACACGTGTTTGTTCAAACAGGGGAACGGCCTATATGCTTTTCATTGTAGCCCTATACATTGTACCCTGGACATGTACATTATGAATGGACTTTCGAAGTCGAACCGAACTGAAGTTCGGAGAAAAAAAATCGAACCGCAACTGAACCGAACTGAACTTTGAGGATCAACAGTGGGAATATAGACATGGGGGAGAACACTGGCCATTTGATAACACTGCTGACGACACCTGACATTTTGGGTTTGTGCACATTCAGAATATTAGTCGTGCATACTTCACACCAGTCTGTGCATGCCATGTGTTCCTTCTTCTCGGGCTTCTTTAAGTGGTTACAAAGTACTGACACCAACATTTTAGACTTTGAAAAACATCCAATAACAAATCACCGATCCAAATACACTGACAAAGTTTCTCCTGCTCTGAAACTCCAACTACTTTGTGCTAACCTGATGAGTGTAGTCCAGCAGGAGCTTCTTTCCAGGCATTCTAGGTAGCATCTGAGTGTCATGCGCTTGAACTCCTGTATCTGAGCTGATTCCTCTGTTCTCATGTCTGGTTGACGAGATACGAATAGCTTCATCATGCGGAATAACTCATCAACCACCTGTACGGTACAAGAACGTCAGTTGTTTCTGAACGAATATCAAAATGTCTCTGAATGATTTTTTTAACTTTTGCCTTTTTTTTCACTTCACTCTCTATTGGATCAAAACATCTAACCTTTCAACCTCATAAACTCAAACTGACTATGGCACCTAAAGTACAATTTTAAATTAAGATCCCTTTTCATATTCAGGAGGATAGGGGTAATCCCATGGTCGAGGAATTAAATAGAATTGGGTGACCCTATATTAACTCTAATGGGCTCCTGTGAAATAATTCTGGCTCACAATACTAACCAACTAGTAATGTGGTAATCTTAATGGAAGGGGAACAATACCTGAGAGCTTCAATGACTTCCTTGATTAATCCAGCATTACTTGTGTGTACCTGCTCAGGTTAAACTACCAGCATTGAGGTTTGTATTTGGGGTCCATTTTTTAAGATCAATGAAATCAATAAAACATTGATGTTAGACATGGATGAGTGAACACATGTCAGTGATGTTCTGGGTTGGTTGTTGAATAAACTGGTCCAATTTTTAACACAAATTTTGTTTAAAAAAAAGAGATTAAAACTACACTCGCAATAATTTTACGTGCCGTTTTCATAGACTTTTCGTCTTTTCTTATGTAAATAAAATCACATATTGTGGACAAAATTTTTCCTGTGCCACTGCCGGCCAATGCCTTCAAGGTCATTAATTCAAACTTAAGACCTCGTGACATGATAAAAAGGAGATTGTGATAGGGCCCTCTTTATTTTTGGTCAAGTACGTGTAGACAAAGTCAATTTTAATCATCCCAGAACAACTTCTACCACCAACACTTGACTTCTGTTAAATCTACCAACAATAATAAACATTTAAATAATATTTTTTGGTAGAAAATGTGATTTTCGTATGCATTTTACAGTTCATGCAATGTGAATCAAAACGGTTTTGTGCATTCACCGTGCATCAAAGTGTTCGGCATATTTATAGTGGTGTTGGCTCTTGTCGTCCTCATGATCGTTTGACCCCAACATATCCGAAACAAAATCAAAACTATTTGCTTTACCCACGACACTCTTCTTGGTTTCAATCTGCAACCCCTCCCTCCCCCCAAAAAGAAGCAAAACACCCCCCCCCCCCGGCATATTATACTTTAATTCACACTATTCTTAGAGATTATGTTTTGTTCCCTAAAAGTCTGAAATCCAAACATCTATGAAGAATTCTGATGCTTGCACAATTCACGTGATCACGTCCGATCAATCTTACCATAGGATACTGGCTTGCATATGGGGTTAGAAATCTAAACGCCCATTGCATATTCTGGTGGACTGCCAGTGCCCTTGAAAACTGTGGTGATTGTTGGCAGCACAGACGTAGTAGGCCATAGTAGGCTGGCAGCATGATACGATTAAACATCACTACCTCTTGATCATCATGGTCAGCTCTGAAGGTGAAGGCAAATATAACGGGTAAGCCACCCCAAAAATAACTAAATATATCAATAAATAAATAAAACAAAAATCTTTGCATTCGGAGTTGTAAACACAAGCTTTTGACAAAAAAATTCAGAAAGGAATAATTGCTACATGGTCATTGCTCAATCGTATGTTATTAAGCCTGTTGCGGGTACCTGGGTACCCGCCCGCGGAGGCCCAGAACCGGTTCCATTTTATCGGGTCGGGTACCCGTAACCGAATTTATAAATTTCGACGCAACGTCTGAGACCAAAAAAACCCACAAGTACATGCATTCAAATATCACTAACAGAAGATTTACAAAGTTCAGAGTGAGTTTACCGACAATTCCAAAACTCCATTTTGCGGTTTATATTTTGTTTTCAGTTTTACTTAGACTATCTTTGATGCGTCTCCAGAAGCCCGAAAGTGGCGAAACACGATAGTATCAACCCATTGTTTGTGTTTGTAATAAAGCTTCTTGTAGCCGCTAGCCAGGAAATCATCTTCTCTGATGCACCGCAGATGGCGGGTAGTACCCGTAACAAGTCCGTAACCTAAGATTTACAAAGTTCAAAGTAAATTACCAACCATTCTAAAAGCTCCATCTTGCGGTTTTTAGTTTGTATTCAGTTTTGTTGACTATCTTTGAAGTTTGAATTGATGCGTCTCCAGAAGCACGAAAGTTGACCCATTGTATGTGTTTTTAATAAGTTTCTCGTAGCGGGCCGCCAGGAAATGATCTTCTTTGATGCACCGCAGATGGCGGAATAAACAAACGATACTAAGTGATTGGCGTTTTAATTGCAGTCACGCACAACATCAAAAGATGACAAAATGTAAGCCCAAGTTACTTTGCTGTGTCTGTGTGATTATTTCTTGTCCCTGACATTCCCTGTCTCATAACCTTAATGTCCGGTGATCATCATGCCACGTTCAGGAAGTAGCCACAAACCATGTTCCATCTCCGGTTTTTTTTCACAAAATTAATGTTAGTTTGGAAAGGGATTTTAGGCCACTGGTAGTCTCTCAGCCATTCGCTGCTGAAGGAGCGTGAAAACGGTTTGATCTTCATACGCATTGTACGCGGCAGTTGTCTGCGTGCAGTCTCATCATGACGTATGACGCGCTACAAAAAAACGCGAAAATGAGACTCCACTACAGTTTGTTTTACCTTGGTTTTATCCGCCTATCGTGCGGCCATCGTAACCCGTGCATAAAGTCTAAGGAGGTGCGTGAAAATTGCCACGCCTTTTCAGTCGCACCACAAACCTGCGTATCTCGATTTTTTGCCAAATTGAGTTTTGTCATTAACGTTATTATTTCATCAAAGTGCTCATTATCAGAAACTTTTATTCCGATTGGAGTTCTATTTAACTAAGAACGCTAATTAGACTGTGCGGCGTATCTCCGTATCTGGCAAACGGCCACTATTAAGCGCGTTGTATGACATACGATAAACATGATAAAAATCTGTTTCATGAAGTGACGAATAACTTTGGAGCTGAATTTCTCAAAAACTTAACAACTCAGATGCACACGGATTGCATACAATAAAGTTTAATCTATAATTTCCTAGCAACAACTTGAATTCTTACACAGGGAATATATGGAATGAGCCTACAAAATAATGACCAACTTTAAATCCGTTTTTCTCGAAACACACAAAAAAATGCGAAACGTCGGTTCGTGGTGCAACCGACAGATTGTTCTTCCTCAAACTCAAAACGCGTGGCCCGTCAGATCACCGTCCGTTTTTCACCGATAGTATACATTTTAAAATATTTGCCGGGGGGGCGTGCGGCCCCTGCACCCCCCGCTGGATCCGCCAATGACTCTAACATTTGTGCCTGAAATTTGAGGGTTCCAAGGAAACGTATACAAGTACATGCATGATGCCAATATGTTATTGACAATTTGAAAATGAAGCCTGAAAACGGGCAATTGCAAGAGGACTTAAATCCCTGCCTAGTTCATAAAGTTACTCACAGGATATAGTTGTAAGGGATGTGCTTGACAACGGTAGGATTGCTGATGATGAGTTCAACATTCTCTGGAACATCCACACATGCATTATACCAGAACTGTAGCAAAGCCTAATCATACGTCCAAAAATACAGGAAAAGAACAGCACAAAATTGCAGATCATTGCATGTGAATTTTGAAATAGTTCCATACTCGATTATTCCAATTACCCAGAAACAAACTGGTCACTTCAATAAGAAAAAAACATACTCAAAGGAAAGATGGGGCAAATATCCTGTAAATTATCACGCAAAAAATGTTTTTGATTTAAAGGAAACAGTCATTGAAGATTTTTTTTTAAAAGTGTGCTTGTTATATTTTTGACATGCATTAGTAAGGGAATTCAGTATGAGACACGAAATGTGCATACGGTTTTCTTTGTCTTCTAAATATGTGTAATAGCCACCGAGGGTTATTTGTCATGAACCCAACTTAGGATTTTGAGAAATGCTGTTGAAATGAACTATAATGCACAATGATCCTATAGACCTACATAGGATGCTATTGTTGGCAATAGGTAGTCAATTCATACTGCATAGACACACTGTGTAGTTGTATGTAATGATCAAGAATGAGTAAGGCAAAATAAAAAAAAAACATGTTTAGCATCCTGCCTTTTTGAAAAAAGGAAGCAGGAGGCCCTTTTTCCCCCCCTCCAAAATGGCCGCCCGACATTTTTGGGGGATTCAAAAAAAAGAAGAAAAAAAAAGGAGGCGGCCTCCAAAAAGGAAGCAGGCGGGGACGCTGAACATGTATTTTTTATTTCACCTAATGCATTAATAGTGTGGAGCACAAATTTAACAATCTCGAGGATTAATAATTTTACGATAAATGTTACAACTACAAAAAGTAAAACTTAAGAAGAATTGATATTTAAGAACTGGTTATCTAAAAATGCTACAGTATATGCCTTTCATGTTTCATCCCACTACTTCTTTAATTTATATAAGTATTTGCATTCAAAACTATACAGTGGTGATGCCGTGGCCTACACCGTGTTATGGGCCAATAGTTAATTTTTTTTTCTCTAGCACCTTGCCTGTGAAATTGTTTGCATTTAAATACACTTAACACATACCAAACAATGTTAGGCACATGGGTACATACCTGTTTGTTGTGATTGCAAGCTAGTGGTGGTTCAGATAACTTTGGCTGGTACAAGTTCCACAGGTCCATGAAGAACTGTGAAAACTATGACAATGATAGCACAAACTTTTGAACAAAGATGTCAACATGTATTGGGAACTAGGGGCAGCACCATGGATAATAACTGTAAAGCAACAGCCTGGCCGCAACAATTGGACATAAATAAATCCGACAGGCCTGTCAACCCCCCCCCCCCCAAAAAAATACTGGATCCACCCCTATAAACACTCTGAAACCTTATGCCAAACAAAATAAATGGTGTGCTTATGGTAACGGCCTGAAAAAAATCCAGGGAGATAGTTAGGGAAATAATTTGTGGATGGTGACTTTCTTCGAAAGAAATCAATAAGTTGCTAACTTTTACATTTATATCTTAAGGGGTGCTTCAATCCATTTTGGAACTTTTACACCATTTCTCGAATAAATTCTTTACAAAAATTTTATGGTGACATTAACAAAACTTATTTTCAAAAAAAGGGCATTTTCGGATTCCATAAAAATTTTTAAGCAGTGGAAATGCTGGTTCTTACGAAAGAACATCCCTAGACCGTAAACAGTGTGGCCAACAGAGCTCTGTGCGTGACACTTTGGTGATTGCGCTGGCACTACACTTCACAAAGAGCATGTGCTTTTCGTAATGAATGCATCGTACATATGTACGTTTGTATGAGTGGTATCAGCCAAGCTGGGATGACCGTATATTTCAAGGCTTGTCTCTCCACCTGCTCTGTGTCATACCATGGAGGTAGCTGCGCAATATTCAAATTGAAGTCACTGATCGATGCAGTAGTGTAGCAGTGCACTTCAGATTTAAGTGTAGCGCTTATTTCCGGAATCAGAGAGGGTGCTAGTGCTATGTAATGCCTGGCTAGAAATTTTCAAGTATGGAAAATGGTTATGTTTGTTGCAAATAACTGTAAGTATGCCTTGTGCTCATTTAATATAATCAACTACATATAGCAAGATGACAGTAAAAAGTTTGAGGTCGGCAATTCCAGGTCAGTTGGGTTACCATAAACACACCATTATTTTTTGTTTGGCCTTCGGTATAAAAAACACTATATAAGCACCACATTCCTATTATCTTATTATATTTAGGGTCAATGGGGCACATATTCCAAAATTTCAAGGAATGACATTATCGATGAGATTTAAAGGTTTGCATGGTGGAAAGATACTATAACGAGATAAGTGTGCGGTAGCACCATGTGAATAAATCTCTTTTGTGAGTATGTGTGGTTCTACATTTCAAACAGTATGCTCTGCCCTGCAAATAACTGTAAATATGTGTGGTTCTGAAAAGAACCGGAGGGACTCAATGTTTCAAACAGTATGCTCTGCCCTGCAAATAACTGTAAATATGTGTGGTTCTGAAAAGAACCGGAGGGACTCAACGTTTCAAACAGTACGCTCTGCCCTGCAAATAACTGTAAATATGTGTGGCTCTGAAAAGAACCGGAGGGACTCAACGTTTCAAACAGTACGCTCTGCCCTGCAAATAACTGTAAATATGTGTGGCTCTGAAAAGAACCGGAGGGACTCAACGTTTCAAACAGTATGCTCTGCCCTGCAAATAACTGTAAATATGTGTGGTTCTGAAAAGAACTGGAGGGACTCAACGTTTCAAACAGTACGCTCTGCCCTGCAAATAACTGTAAATATGTGTGGTTCTGAAAAGAACTGGAGGGACTCAACGTTTCAAACAGTACGCTCTGCCCTGACGACGGGCAGAGCATACTTTTTGAAACGTTGAGTCCCTCCGGTTCTTTACAGAACCACACATACTTACAAAAGAGATTTATTCACATGGTGCTACCGCAAAACTTATCTGTCTTAAAGACATTATCAGAGCCAATATTCACAAGACATGCACATATTACACTGAATGCATGCAGACATTACATGTCATTATGTCAATCGCTCAAGACAAATACTTCTAGTCATCCTATTTGTTGAACACATTTTTGAGACCAAAATGTCACATTATGATTTACAAAATACATTTCTGGCCAAATCATCTATTAAATTTTTGATCTTAACTAGACATTAAAGAGTAGGAACTTTGGTAAAATCCAAAGCAGTTTTTACCAAACCAAATTCCAGATTACAGTGCAAAACAAATCTTATCATGGGCCTATGCTCCACACTGATCAAGATAGCACAGCTTCTTGTTTGCATGTTGTTTTCCCTCTAGCACCTTGCATTAGAAATAATTATACACAAAACTGCATAAAGAGTGGAATTCTTGCAGGTTCAAGATATTCCTGTTCATTATAAATTTAAGAAAAATGTTATTTCATCACTGTTTCCCAATTTTTTGGGTGAAGTGCGCATGCTCACTTTTAAATGTGCCAAAATACAACAATTATGACAGATATGAAGTCAAATATGTGAATGGAAAAAAGTTAAGAAAATCATTGAAGCTTTCCAAAATGTCCAGCGTAAATAATCTAGCACATGCCAAATTTGAGGCCTTGATGTGTGACATTTGTCCTATCCCTGTTACATTGGTACTTTGCCGTTCAAGTGTACTTAATGACTTCAGGTTTGTTTGTTGGGTAGGTAGTTTGCTATTCATAATCACTCTTGAAGGACTGCATTAAGGAGTGCAACAGAATGATAAAATCATAGATACTGGGATGGGGAGAAAAATTTGACCCATATACGTTATATTCCCCCCCCCCCCCCTCCCCAAAAAAGAGAACAAAATAAAAGCGTGTGTCGATTCGGTGTAAGCTCTATGATTCTACTAGCGAGTACTTACCCATAGAGCATTACTTACCCATAGAGCATTACTACATATGCAATATTCCCTGGAGGGCACTACCCATTTGCTAAGATTTATTACCAACAGTACCTTGCGGCCCGCCTGCCAATATGTCCTCTTTTCTCTAGCGTAAAGGCACACAATTCCCCCTTTTTCGAAACGGCTGCCACACCTACAAATGGGTGAGTTCTTGTTCTTCCAATTGAGTGCTAACTTCATAATTGAAGACAACAACACTTGTGGTGGGGTGTGATGCGAAGGGAGGCTTGATGTTTAGTCATAGCCCCTATTAGTAGAGTTTCTGATGGCTCATCTGAAAATAGTTGTCTCATGAATATTAATGTCTGTGTGAAGTTTCATGCTTTTATGAAAAATTGTTTCATACATCTGCTGGACTAATTGAGCACAAAATGTGCTCGTGTATGTATGTTCAGGCGAAATTGGCCGCGTCTTGCCTGTGAAGTTACCTACCATGCTAAGTGGGCAAGGTAAAGCCTTGTCTTTGAATAGTGAAGGTAATGCCATATATTCACACACAACCACAAAGGTCTTTTACCATTCTCTTTTCTATTTTGCTGATGATGCAGTGGCTGAGAACAGAGAAGTAGGCAACCAGCTTGGTAGTACCATGAATTGATGCATCTGTGGATCAAGAAAAGTACTTATTATCACTGCTTACTAACCCCAGTCCTGAGTTTTCTTAATTCTTAATAAGTACTGCTGTGCACATAATCTGCTACACTGAAAATGTATGAACATTGACTCTCAAGCATGTCTTACAACCATATGAACTGAATCCAACAAATCCCATACATTTGCTTAGTCAATATTGATGAAGTTAGTATTAATGATAGGTGTTGGTTGATTTTATGAAATTTGGTACAAGGGTCTTTGCTTACAACTAGGAAGAATGAAAGTGCACATGCATGCTCCAGCGAATTTCCATACTCATGAGCAAAAGTGTCATTTCAGGCAGAAACCTCAATGTTACAGCTATCTCATCACCAAAGGGTGCCAGAATTTTGGTTATTTTGCTGTCGTCATTTGTTTTTTCTTTGGTTATTCATTGTGTCAGTACATGGCAGTAAACCAATGAGAAAACTTTCTCACAAGTATTTTAAATAAGCATATTTCTTGGTTCACATTTTGAACAGAAACCTCTAAATTGAACAGAGTCTTTCTGAAATGATATCACAGCTAAAATGCCCTTTCAACTGTCATAGAAAAAAAAGGGAAAATTTTCAATGTTGAAAGAAGTGATCTGTTTAGGTAAAAAGAACCAAAATGGGAATACCAAATTTTTCGTACATTTAAAGGAGTGGAAAATTGCACAAAATACGTTCCTAAGAAAAATTCACTTGGGGGAGGGGCTTGTGCTAAAGATTTACCTTCCACTTTCAAACTGTTAAAACAAAATACAAAGCTATACGTAACTGTATCAAGCACACCTCAAGATCAGTGTTGAGGCATGTTTTAAGTTTAAAGTTCATGCTGTTTAGAGTTAAAAGAAACCCCCCCCCCCAAAAAAAAACTATTAAAGGAATTGTACAACAAATATATTTTGCATGTATATCAATGACAAATTTACTTGGTGCCACAAAAGTTTAAATGGGAAGTAGTCGAGATGAGAACGATAATGACCCTCTATCTTGCACTGACGTAGCAAAATGACAAATAGTATTCTGCTGAAAACAAGTAGGGACTAAGCTTGTATACAGTGCTATTGTTTTCTCACACCACATCATTGTGACATTGTCTGCGGAATTTCAAACCAAACTACAGAAGCTGTAGTACAAAGGCACTCACTGGGGCAGCCCAAGCAGTATTCACTTAATGACTCTGAATGACAAAAGCATGATGCAATTACAATGTATAACTTCATTGACAATCAAGCTCATTCAAGCATATGTAATTGGGTTCCTATGACTATTCGCTCTTTGTTATAGATTTTCTAACACCTTTGGACACAAAACATGCAACATGTCAGTGGAATATCATATGAATTACGTGCCACCAAATCTGTCAATGTCATAAAAATTAAAATTCCAAATGTTGTCCACTACCTAAAACTCGAAATTTAATACATTTTCGTAAAGTAATTTGCATATTGAAATACATACTGGTGTGTCAGTGAAGTGGATACACAACCGAAATTCACAATAAGTAAACAACAAACATTCACATGTATGCGGATAACTGTACTTCCGTGATACATATAAAATGTGTTATTCAACATTTCAATATGTTCTACAAACAGAATCAATTTAAAATGTCTGAACCCAGACATTCTTTACAATGGAACATAATGCACTATGGCACAAGGACTTAACACTCTTAACATTTACCTCAGCCATTGGGAACAGTCCCTTTCCAAGCAAACCTTTTTGAGCGTACATTTTTGAATGTACAATGCTACTTAATAGAGGGACAGACATGTATTTGGTTTTACACAAAACTACAAGACCTTCTATAAAGAGATATTTACATACCAACATAGTGTCTGGCTCTTGGCAATAATCGTAGAAGAATGGAGTATATCTGTTGCAGTATTATCACAGCCTCAGGGCTCAACTGAAAAACAATATAGTAAATGGAAACCTGCTAACATTGCCAGCATCTTAGTTGGGTGATTTTAATACAGATAAGATATGGTAAAATTAAAGCCACACAACATGTCTTAGGTTCAATTGAATGCCATTTGCTTTGTTTCTGGAAAATCTTTGACACAATACAATTTTTGCCATCCAAAACATGTTCTATATCCATGCAAGCATTACGTGGAGTGCAACTATAAAACAGATTTCATTGATTTTAATTACTGTTTGCAGTAAAAAAAGAAAAAAAGAACAGAAAACATGATTTTATCCACTTTGGATTTAGAATGGATATTAAGTTTTAATTAAAAGTATTATTTGATACCATGTAACCCTATAGGATGATGCTGATTCATATGCAGAGGAGGTTTTGAAGTGTCTCTTTAGGCATGGTTGAGGGGTTCTGAGAAGGCTGGTATGCTCTGCATGTCATCAGGAGACTGAGGGATCCACCTTATGAGGGTGGTTATGAACTCATGACACAGATTTCTTGTCATTTACTGCAAACGCAAACTCACTCTTGTAAATTGGCAAAATGTTGACCTTATTTCTCTGGTCTTTTGAACCCTAAATCAAGTAACAACTTGAATTTATTTAAGATCCACACTTCATGTAATTTTCATTTTAACAAATCAATTAGAATATTCTCACTGCATTGATCTGGCCTTTTATATAACTAAACACACAAACAATGAAATAAGTGACTATAATGTACCTGTATCTCCTTCTGAGGACTATGAACAGATCGAGCAGATCGGAAAGACTGTCTGAAGTGAGGGTCTGGTACCAGAGATATCAGCAGAAATGCTGCAGCTGCACACGTCAAAGGAAGGCTCAAATTAAGCAAACTAATCGGTATGAAACCAAACGTTTCAAGTTAGAGTGTAAGTTTGCATACTGAAGCCCGGTTCATACTTCACGCAAAAGCAAGTGCGAAGCGAAATTCATGTCGTCAATAATGGTGGACGACATGGTTCACTTTCGCTTTCGCGTATGAACCGGGCTTGACTGTGTATAATGCATGCTGACTGGAAAGTCAGATAAAGCCTGAAATCTTCTATCCTTTCACTGCAGCATATATACACAATCAGCCATGTGATTGCGAAGGCAGATTTCTAAAGGTTACGTAAAACGTTCTTTTGAATGAAACAACATGCACACAGACATGTTCACACAGACTTGTTTCACATACCTAGTGTGGACTTTCCTTTCTTTTCGTGTAGTTAAGGAACACCAGTGGAAAAACTCATTTTTCTCAAACTGTGAAAACTCTTACAACCCAATTTTTTTTCAATGATTCCCTTTAGTGTTTCTCTTCATTCTGCTACAGATAAACCTAACCCAAAAATGCCTCTAAACCTGTTTTCCAGAAATGGGGAAACACTGTGTGGACGTGGGCAAGTCCACACTTCGTCGCTGCTACCTACATTATGTGGACGTCTTTTGTTCGGAAGTCCACACTGCGTATGTAAGACAAGCTCACGTTTGCGGGCGAACTCTTTGAACATTAATTTCTCCCGTTTAAAAGATTTTGTCTTCATGCAAATTTCAGGGTTTGTTTCCCTTATAATGATCCAACTATGTGCTAAAAATAATTTTGATATGTTCAGTACTTTTCGTTGAAATTGGAAAAATAGGCCTGGCTCCGTGCATTTTTTGAAGTTGTAACACTGGTGTTTGCAATATCTGACAATCTTTTCAAGTGTCACGAATATAAATAAGGTTCCTATTCATTATGGCGTGCAGTACAAATTTGCAGAATAGCATCCTACACGAGTTATTAAATAATAAATATCACCCTTTTTGCCGCTTCCATTGGTCGATACCGAGACCCACGCAAAGTCACGCCGAGTCATGCTAATATGTGCCTCGTCATTATTGCCCCAAAATCGGCCAACCTGAAAACCATGCATGTGAGCTCATTTGGTCGAAAAAAAACTCGTCCAAATTTACCTTGGAGATAGTTCAAGGTGAAACACAAGCATTTGCAACAACAGATTAAGCTGAAATTTGGAATATACTTAGATGATATAAGTGTTCAACTAGTTGTAAAATAACAACATGAGGAGATTCCTCTAAATTGACATAAGTACATAGATTTGGGGACGTTTTCAAACGATTTCTCCTCGAGTTGAAGGTCAGCTTTACCAGTAACCAGTATTGACGTTTCGGCATCAATGACGGCGATTTTGTCACCGACTTGAAATTTAGAATTTCTTCTTCCGTTATAATTTAACATTTCAATCATACTGAGCATCTTTTCTGGGAAACACAAAAGGCCATGTTTTTTGGGGGTGCATGAATTTCACTGCTCTGTTATAGCGTCTAAGTACGAAATCAGATTAACTTGTTTAACAACGGCAACACTTAAGCCTTCACAACCACACAGCTGCAATGGTCTAACATTCATATGAATACAAGCAAGTTTGGTTTTATTTTTTTAAATAAGTTTCATGCTTTGATCCTTGAACTTACCATTCCTGACTCTGACATTGTTGTGTGCTAGTAGGAAATGTTCCACCCATGTCTTAATTCCCTGTAACACCCAATGGTGGGCCATTTTATTCCTTGGAGTCTGGGCAGCCAACCAGTCAAGAACCTGAATGGGGTTGAACTCTGAAACCTATCAAACAGAATAGTCAAGAAATTATTGCAACAAACTGCCCTTAAAAATATGCATACTTGGGGTATAGACACAAACACAGGGGTTATGCACCAACAAAGACAAATGACAATGACAATTTTATTTAAATTTGGTTGAGTAAGCATGGAATGACCCTAAAATAAACATCTCCATAAATCAAGATACATACTAAACTTTTAAATACTTTAGACTCCACTATTAGCATATATGTGCTAAAACTCCAGCTCAATCTTGTTTGGCTACATGGCAGTCATGCTTGGTATACTTATCTTGGATAATAAATAATAGTTATGATACCCGATTTAGAAAGTACCATTCCATCTAGATCATGGAATATAAAAACAAAAAATGATGAAATAAAAATAGGAAACGGTTAAAGTTTTAGCATCCTTTTGAAGACCTACCTCCCATATTCTCTGTAGTATGATAGGTGTGAATGGGGGAACACCTGGTAGTCCTCCAACGGTTTCAACCAGCATGGACAGAATCTTAAAAAAAGGCTGACCAGCCTAAAACAACACAAAGTTTTGATGATGAAGGCCAATTCAACTATTAACTGGAGAACTGACATTTCAATTGAGTAACTAATCCTTCTCCCATGCTGCCTTTCACTATTTATCAGGACATTCCTGTGTAGACCAGCAACCGGTTTCAAGAAACCTTATGCAATGGCGTAACTCCACTTTTATTGCATAGGTTGCGCAACATTTCACGCTGCAAAACATTTCATTTACGACTATTTCACAAATGTTTCATAAGTACGTATGTCCACGACTTACACAACAAATTATGGCGTAACTTACGAATCACTTTAGGTGGCGTAATTTGTTATGCCATGGCAACTGAATATCAACTATTTTACTGGCAAACTGTTATCGTCGTAGAGCCTGCTGTTGCTCAACTTATCAACGTTGACACAAGACACTCACAGCTAAGTATTTGAAGTACAGGTAAACTGCTGTTCAGTCAAATCTCAGGGGAATGGATAAAAAAACTGAGGTATCTGGAGTTCCGAGTTATTAAGCAAGGTCTCTGATTTTTCAACAGTTATGTCATCTACACGTACACATACATGTATATCATTTTTGTGTATACGTGAGTGGCTTCCAGGGTAATTCTCTATGAAATGGACACGTTATCCTAGACATTTTCCTTCCTCTTTTTCCATTCCAATGTTGATTTTTTCTTTCTTTCTTTTTTAGTCAGAAAGCATCCTAGTACTCAGATTTCTATTTTTCTCAGCTAAAATATGACAATAAGCCACTCAAAATGTGTAGCAAATCTGTATTTTGTGAAATTGATTGTAAAGATATTGCACAGCTGCACTTGTTGCACAAGTCCTATGCATGGCGTAATCGGCTGCAGAGACAACCATACATTAGATTTACAAGTCAGTTGATCTCAATGTTGCCAATCTAAAGATGTAGATCTTTGCTTCATACTATCATAGACCAAAAACACTGCATATTGGATGGGCAGCTAAAGTACTTTGCCAATGTATTCTCCATTCTAGAAATGTCTTCTTTTCCATTTTTGGGACAATAAAACTGTTTTGTTCTTGGTTCTTGGTTGGTTCTTCTCCTAAATACTCCACGTGGGAGTTTATACAGGAGGCCAGAAACACCGGGGCAAACCCCTTCTCTTAGCGATAAGTGTTTACTGGGTTCTTTTACGTGCATTTATACAACACACGGGACCTACGACTTAACGTCCCATCCGAAGGACGAAGCAATAATGGTTAAGTGCCTTGCTTAAGAGCACAAGTGTCCGCCGGCGGGCTCGAACCCACGTCACTGTTGCCTCTGAAACACCAGAACATGAGTCCGGTGTTCTTAACAGCTAGGCCATGACACTCCACTGTATGGTGAATGTTCATAGGATACGACTGGACAATGTTTCTTGTGAAACAATTTTGCTACAGAAGTTAAATTTAGGAAACTGCCTAAAGCTGATGTACATTACGCATGAAATTCCATTGACAGAAAATATTTTATTTTCGAATCTCTTTTGCGCAATCACTACAAAGTTTCACACACACACAAATTTAATTAAAAAAAGTGAATTTTGCTTTTCAGAAGTAAGTGGCAGTACTAGTACTCACAATGAGAATTTCAATATTTTAGACATACCTCTTGATTAAGTTTGGCGATGGCATTGAAGATCATAGCTACAATCTGTTCAGCCAATCGAGGCTGGAACCTGGTCAGGCTGATGATCAGATTACGTGTTTGCTGGAGGTTGATGCAGTCTCGAATTTGTTGGAACAGGAAGGGGAATCCCTAGAAAAGAAACAGAACATAGATGTCTTTTCCAATTTTCACAACATTTGAACATGTCCACACATGACTTCTTTTCTAAATTAGTGGATAGGCAACACAAACTGTTGGGTGTTTTTTGGGTTTAATTTTGATTGTTTGAAAGTTTTAGATTAAATGCCATACAAAGGAATTGAAACATTGTTTGAAGGCTTGAAGGAAAAAAAGAGAACTTGTATGTGAATGGGAGCTGACCTTGCCAGCAACAAGCACTGCGTAGTCTGTCTGAGATAGCATAAGTTGCCGGTCAGTCCTTGATGAGTCTACCAGGTAGGCAATAAGAGAGATCATCTTCTCTAGGGATGTAGGTTTGTACTTTTCCTCTGTCAAGGAGATAATGTCATCCTCATCTTCATCATCTTCATTATCGTCATCCGATACAACCTCCACCTGGATGAATTAGTGCAAGAAGTAAGGTCAGACTCAATTTAAAGAAAATACAGTTTCAGATTGAATTAATATACCACTGATATGAAGACTACCCCCACCAGGCTGGCATTGTGTAGACTTCAACCAAAGTGTTTTGTACAAACTTTCAATTGAGAGAATTCCTGCCAGTATGAACTATTGGAAATTCAAAAAGCTGTCAATTTGAAATAAATGTCAAAGCATGGTAATCTCACATAATCAGCTGCCTTGGTACCCAAGTAGAAGTTTGTCATGATTGAGATGGCTTCAACAGATGTCAGGAACTGAGCCTGCAAACAGAGGAAGTACAAAAAGAGTGGTTCTTGCTCCATCAGAAGGATGAAAACTGAAGCATATCTAACTTTAAGAGGAAATTGTGATACTTGTAAAAACATTCATCTGTTATCAGTGTAAATATGACTGTCATCAAGAAATAGATTTTGAAGAGATCAATTATACAAAGAGGCTTGAATGTTGCAGTAAATATCACTACATTCTTAGAAAGAAGAAACATTCTTAGAAAGAAGAAACATTCTTAGAAAGAAGAAACATTCTTAGAAAGAAGAAACATTCTTAGAAAGAAGAAACATTCTTAGAAAGAAGAAACATTCTTAGAAGGAATAAAGAGGAAAGTTTCTCACCTCATCCTCATCAATTTTTGCAAAGTCATACAGGACTGAAAAGTATTCTGTAAGGTGCTTGCACTGTGGACGTACCCCATGTTCGATCTAAATGGGCAAAATATGACATGTTACTACAATACTTCATCAGGTAAAATACATAAAGAAAAAATGGAATCTGAGGCAAAAATGGCTGCAAATACATTTTGCTCAGTAGTGTACGGTATATGTACGGTGTATGCATTTTTTGTTGTATGATGAAGTGAATCATGCAATGTACACTATGACTACAACTGTAAAATTTTGTACAATCATAATATCATGTGAACACAAATGGAGATCACCCAAAACTTAGTGATTTTGCTATATCTTTAACCTTCAGAGAACATTTTCAAAAGTCACTTTGTTTACATCTGACATGGAAGAGCTATGTTTTGCTTTGCCTATAGATGCATATTTACAGCAGTGATTAAAGCCTACACATTGAGAGCAAGACTGCCTGCTCAAACATTACAAATCCAAATTTTATGCTTGGAAAAATACATGTGAACAGAAAAAAACTACATACACACAAAAGAAAACTTCCAGTTTTGTGTCATTACTAGCTGAAATCTTCAGTTTTACATCATTTACAAACGTTTGCTTGACACGTTTCTAACTGTTGATACATGATTGCCAACTCAGCTGATTCCCAGTCCTTATACCATTCCAGTTTATCATCTATATTTGGCGGGAACTAGTCTGTGCTAAGCAAGACATCTTGGAGGCAGCTAAACATTTGGAGTTGGTTTGACAATGCTTCCTGTGTCTCAATCACCATCGATGTGAAAGAAGAAATGGGAAGTTTCATGGGAAAGGTTGCACAAAAGTCGCACAGGGCTCAAAAACGAACATCATGAAAGGGACAATTGATGATTTTTATCAGAGATTGGACCTTGAGATAATTAGAAATGTCTACTTTGGGTCTTTTGAAAAGGATGACAAAAAGTTGTTTAAATGTTGAATTTCATTCATAAAATTTGATCATTATGTTGCACAATAACTATAAGTAGTGCCCGGCGCAATCTTTAGTGGAGTTTTTCATCACTTTATAAACATTCAATTTTCAGTGTTGTAGCATAGGGAAAAATGCCATTATTATCCATATGTTTATTACCATTATTGATTAAAGAAAATGTCAAGAAATCATCTCCGTCATGGTAAAACGTGACGGAGCTGGCAAAAATAAAAATGAAACTCGTATAGCGCCATCTACAGTTTGTTTGAAACAGGAATACCACATGTACTTGGAAGTTTACACAATTCTGATTGTATTCATAAATACTTTTTGTACAATACAAATATAAATAAGACATGTTTTAAAGCGTTCGGAGATGATGCAGAATAAACCTATTCTCGTGATTACTTTAAAGAGTCCACAATTCTTCAGTTATTTTGAGTTACACTGTACTGGAATGGATTGTTTCTTACTGTAAATAATCTAAGGCACCCAATAGACTGATCCAAGTCTAACTTACATCATGTCTCTACCAGATGTGGTGCTCATAAATATTGTGACGGAGATAACCAAAAATGCAGGGACACTTTTTTTTGCCCTAAAAAGCTCATATTTTATGCAAATATGGTTTGATTGATGCAACTTTTAATTTCACAGTTGGAAAAGACTAATACTACCTGGCTTTTGGTGGTATAATTACCCCTTCAAATTGCTTACATTTATATAAATTATGGCTGCAGGTACAATTTGAGAAATACATTGGGACATGCATTTTGAGGGGGTTTTAAGGGGGTACTGTAAAGAATGAGCATCTTGCCCATTATTTTTAAGAGTTTTCAACACTGCATGTAATCAGAATCATGTTAAAAAATTAATTTTACCGCTTAAAAAAATATATCAAATTTTCATCCTATATTTTTTCTATTTATAGCTCCTTAAAGTGTCGGAAATGAAAATAGACATTTACTGAAGAATGACCTAGCTACACCATGTCCTAATATGTTTTAACAGACGCAATTATCCATGCAGACCATGAATTTAGCTGTTTAAATTAGGTATCTCAACTGATGGTTTAACAATTTAATATTACTAGTTTGCGCTACAAATGCTATAAGACATTTAGTCTTGCCTTAGGTTAATTACAGTAACATTGAAATCTTCAAAAATGGTGGCAAAATGATCCCCAAATCATAAAAAGCATTATAATAATTATTTTATGCTCATGCAATCAGTAACCATGAAACTTTCATTTCCATTTCTCAGAAGATACAAGGACAATTCATTACCTATACTGCTTGTTCATTTCCAGTCCAAAAAGTAAGTATGCAACTACTTTTGGAATTACATTAACATATATACATGTAACTGCTTTAAAGGAAAGGACAAGATGTTTAGCATGGGTGTATCCTTACTGAAATGACACTTATTTAAACAAGCTAGATAAATCCAGGTTTGCAGTACAAGCCAACAAAAAAGGAAAACATTCTAAACTGGTGCATTTGGAAATTGTTTTTTTGCTCTTAGAAACTAATGAACTTACTGAGTATCAAGTTCAAATATTTCAGTTTTGCAAACTCTATGTTTCTGACATTTAGACGAGTGTAAGAAATAAAGTACAATATGAGCTCACAATTGACAAAAGCTTCTTGATGAATCTGGTAACACATGAATAGTTGCCTATCTCCTCTGGGGGAATATCAACCTCGTCCTCTCTGGTAAAAACAAAAGATAAAATTGCATTTATTTTAACACATCCTCCAAAATATCAGCTTTGTGATAGAGGTGTCAAATCTCAAGTATGAATGTACCCGTAAACATTGAAATAATTGCCACGTTCGGGTTATTAATTGAAAGGGAAGCATCTTTCGTGAATAGGAAACTCAATATCAGAGATGTATAAATTTGCAAAAATCAGACAAGACGAAGTACTCAATGTACGGAGGTACTGGAAAATCTGTCGTATCTGTACTGCCACTAAGAGAAAAGAGGAAGCCAAGATGGCGTACATGCCGCAGGGCAGTATGGGTAACATTATAGGGGCACTGTTGTGAAAAGTCGTAGTGAATGAAACCTACTGGTATTAAAGGGGAACATGCAAATGTAGCGGCTCTACTCGTAAGATGAGTGAAGTAGACTCCAGTCTTAGCTGTTATGGGTTTGTGTTACTGAATACAAAGTGTCCATATATGATAGCATGCACAGTTAATGAATACAATTGCTGATCTGATTTCAACAAGGACGACAATCACCTAGCACTAAATCTCTGGCATGTGTAGATGCCAGACATGACTTTCTTACCCATCCACAATGGGGTGGAGGTACAATGGTGCATGCTTGTCTCTCAGCTGCCTAATCACATGAATGCACAGCCTCTGGAATAACTGATTGAAATAAACACAAGTTTACATTACTTTGGGCAGTTTGTTAACACAGAAATTCAAGTAAAACAAAACGCAACAAAGACAACAATACAAACAATTTATATTCATATTCATATTCATATTTATTTCCACTTAATCATTTTGAAGGGAAATGGTTTAAACAATAATTTAGATAACAGGATAAGATTAAGCGGTGGGCAATCAAAGAAGAATAAGAACCAGTCTTCAACACTGGATCACTGGTATGATTGATATGAATGCACTGTTTGCTAATAAACATCAATGATTTAAAATGATGATATCGTTGAGTTAATTCAAGCAAGTATTATGTTCTACCTTTGGTACATACATTTTTCTATTTTCTGGTATTTAGCTACAAAGTTTTAATGCTATTATTTGTAACACGTAAAGCATTGTGACTTTCAGAAAGGCTACCAATAGTGTGTGCAAATGGCATTGGCTCTCCAAGCACGTTGAAACTGCTGTACCCATCATGGTGGGTCATTTCTATTACATGCCTTTATATTGAGTCAGTTAATGAAATTCAATGAAACACCTTTTGATGACAAATTTGCTTGCATTATTTCCCTATTGAACGGAAAGGCAAGTACATGTACACATGTATGAACATCTTGTCAACTTTTGAGTGTCATGCAAGTGTCATATGAAAATCAGACTCATATGAAAATCAGACTCTTTTTCCCTTTTATTGGTTAAACCCTCTCACGTGACCGATCCCTCTCCTAATTATCTATGCATGAGCATGCGCAATACCACCAATGCTGAAATTGCTGTAACGAAGGACCCATATAACAAACTTTCTTTTGTGAAATGTGGACCCATCATGTTTGTCATCTACAATGATATTCTATTGTAGTGTGTTTTTACCAGTTTTTGTCTAATTAATGAAAAAAATTGTTTTTGATTGAATAAATGTATACTCTTACCTGTCGACATGTTTGTATGGGGCACTTGATCAGTATCTGCTGAGGCCACCAGTCATCATTAGCCATGTAATCAAGGAACCACTGCAAACAAACAATCACAAGTATCTGATGAATGCACATGTGATGTCAATCTAATGTGTCATAACCAGGCAGATCTGGTTCAATCTATAAATCAGAGCTCTACTTTATTCCTGTTTTATTACATGTACATCTGACATGTATGAATTTGAAATTTCTCCTTAACCCTCCTGTATGCAAACATACATTCTGTGCCAATACTTCCCAGCATAAATAAAGCAGGATTGACTGGCTGGGACTGTTTAAGTAACTTGATAAAGCTATGTTTTGACTCCGGTTGAGTGATAAAACAGCTGTGACCACAACTAGCATGCTTTGTCTGTTGACTGAGTTTGACTAGGCACAGTGCTTGCTTGATTATGATCTGACTGCTGGTGACCAGCCTTTGTTAAAAGTACATAGCAGGGGAGTGGAAATGAATTTTGACTGTCCTTGACTGTTTAAATAGCAGGAGGGTTAAACGTTTCAGAATATTGTACTGTGTTTGCTGCCCTCTTTTGACTCATGTTTGCTACAATTGTCTAGCTTTATAGACTGGCTACGCAATGGTGTCATTTGTTTATGTATCAGAACGTTACATTCTCATAGGTGAAGTGAGAAAGATGCCAGACCTCTGTTGTTTATTGTGCGTGCTTTGAGATTTTGTGTACACTTTTTGTCACCTCTTTTGCCCTAATTCCTGCCGAAATCTGTCCGGGGAAACTCATACTAAAAACTATGGATAACAAAGAACAACTCAAGAGGAACTTGGCTGACAAAGATGTTTGACATTTTCTCCATTTGGGCAACAACAATGACGAGAAAGGAGATAGCAAGACAGCGATGCAGATCTTCTGAACGACATGTACTTGTAATTTGTATACATGCACATGTACATTGTACACTGACATGTTCACAATATTTTCCCAGCATTTTTCATTGGCATAAAAGCCGTAATGATCATAATACTACTCAAATAATATACTTAATGCTATGTCAGTATATATGCAATATATTGAGCAATATTTAGCATTAAATTAACCCAGTGGAAGGCATACTATATTTCTATAAAAATATCATTTTCGGTCTCACGGAATAACTGATTGCATAGATTGCTTGAAAATGAAATATCTAGTAAGTTCCTCATAATCATACATTTTTGCATCAAACCTGCACTATTTGTGTTATTTTTGGTCGGTTACTGTGACAACCATGAATGCATACAATTCCTTTTTGAGGGGTTTTCTCATGAAATGAGAATTGCACTTTGTAGTAATGTATTAAAAAGTCTCCCAGCCAAAAAAGGATTAAAACAACCGGAACCCACAATTTGGGTTTTTAAAATGGCCATCATTGAGACAAGGGGTCTTATTTGGATTGTTTTTTTTTTCAAAACATTTTATTGCCCAACGCACAAGCTTTCAGATGGTATATAAATTACCCAGATATTTTAAAGAATACTACTGAAAAGAGTGCAAGAATTTAACTTAGTCAAAAAAACTCCAAATTAGGGCCAAGTTTAAAGGGTTAATACGTTATCTTCACGACTGATAATAGCTGGCCATCCAACATGGAAGTTTACACTTCGGACAGCATTTTTGGTAATAGCAGGAAACAAGAACAACCTTCAACTTGCAGTTCTCCCAATTTTAACTCCACATCATGCCTAATCTGAAAGTAGACATGTTAAACTTTCTAATGATGTATGATGTAGGTGTGTGTGGTGTTGGGCAATTGACAAATAACAAATATTTTACCTTAGTGTTGCTCTTAGAAACACATTTTGAGAAAAATGCACATTTTCACTCAATATTGCCTATAGTTACTGTACATTTTGTAATCTTAATATGGTAATTGTGAATTTATAGATCGTCAGTTTGGTCTAAACCTTGCCTCGATGGTTCAGGCTGGTCCCACAGATATCAAAATACCAAATTTTTAAAATCATATTTTTGACCAAAAATGTAGCCTTTAGTCCAAAATGAGCCCAAAAAACCCACATTTCTCCCAATTTCCAAGCTCCACATCATGCCTAATCTGAAAGTAGACATATTAAGTTTTCTAATGATGTATGGTGTAGGTGTGTGTACAGTGGGGCAATTAAACTCCTAAAATAAGCCTCTTTTCAAAGCTTCGCCGCTCGCCTAGAGGGTCAGGGACCTCACTGTCTGTACAGGAAGGAAAGGCAGGAAGTGGATGCCCCTCGTCGTTGACTGTAGAATTTTAGAAAAATTGTTGGCAAAAAGGTTTGTCTTATCTGAAGGAGAAGTAAGGACTCTGGTCCATGAAAGAAGAGGAGGAATGGAGCACTTGTTGCGGTTAAGTACACTGTTAGCAAGCCACCAAAAGTCTCTAGATCCGAGCCGCTGTGTTGCAATGAAACCAGCAACACAGTTTGCATTTTGCTGTTTAGCATCCTCTAAAACTCTCTTGCAATGATTATGAGCTTCATGGAAAATGCTTACTATCTAAAGTTCCTAAACGATGATATGGTCCCGATGTGCAATTGCTCCATCACATGCCGGGGTGTATCGAGATTGAGAATGGGCTTTGATCTGGTAGGTACGTGAGGGGATGTATATCTCCATACCAAGGCCAATCCATTGGGATAGCTCCTCTCCTGCTAAATCAGGACCAACAATTAGAACCGATGACCAAGGCACCTCAGCACAAAAAGATAAAAACATCCCAGTCAGGCTTTCCAAACTGAAAAACAGTACCCGTGGAAAGGCTGAAATGTAGTTGGGGAGGAACAACATGAAATGGAAACAGAAACAATTAAAGGATCAGAGTTACCAATTTGAGGTAAGACCTTGGCAACACAATAGTGCAGGTTAGATCATAAGAATAGGTCAAGCAGGAACCTAACATGCGAAAGCACAATCCAGAATATGGGTAGGGGATGAAACGATCTGAGTAAGATCTCGAGAAATAAAAAAATGCTATAATGCAGTACCAGCTTTGTCGATGTTGCAGGAATGAATCAACAACTCCTTGTGGAGGGGATTGAAGTTACTAAGTACCATGACTTGAGCAGCAGAATGGTGGGAAATAGCACAATCATGCCATCAGAGATGGCTTCTATCACTGCATAGGATGATGACGGTAAACGTGGTAGAATGGAGGAGCAAGAGGCAAAAGCACATGTACTCTTGATTGTCACATTCCAAAGTGCTTTCACGCGCTACAGGCAGGGTTTCTTTAACATACACACCAAGACCATGATGTCAAGACAATGAAAGATGTACCCAGGTAATTTAAAGGAATCAGAGGATTTATCGATGTTCAATCTGCTCTCAGACAGAGCTTACAAGTCAGATGAGTTGTTGTGGACAAAAGACTGAACAGAAGTGAAGTTGGAACAAAAACCCCTGATGTTGGAAAAAGCAATACCAAGGGGCTTAGAACGCCGCGTATGGGGAAGTAGGTTTGTGCGAGCAGGTAAGGTTACTATATTATTTGTTCCTGTAGTCATGTTGGCATTTTTTTTTTCAGAAACAAAGAAAGAAAGAGTCACTGTTTGTCCGAAGTTTGAAACTGGCGCAAGACATTCAGATAATCAAGGAACATTGTCAGCCAGATGGCCTCAGGAATGCCACCGAAAGTGCACAGACCACCAATCCACGCATGTCCATGGCAGTACAACCACCTCAATATTTTTCACATTCACCTGTTGATGGATCAGCCTCTCAGAGCATTACCAATGAGTTCCGGATCCTATACTACCAGGCGGCCAGGCCACCTACAACATGTTTATTTCTGGTACCTTCGGAGATGTAGAGTGCAAGGAATCCAGGGAGGGCCTCAAACAAGTATCATGTGTCAGTAGGATCAGAACTAACTGAGACGAGACAGAAGGAAATCAAAGGAAGGAGAGGAAGGAGGAGGGAAGGAAGAAGACAAGAGAAGAGAAGGGAAGACTGGCAGGCCTTTGCCTGGTCCACAAACAAGGTAGAACCTCTTTACTGGACCACTGCAAAGGATGGGGTAATGACGCCAGGCAGAACTCACCTACCCCATTTACTGCTTGTAAAATTGCACAGTCTGTCAGTCTAAGACATTTTCAGCCTCCTAATAAAGACAGAATCTCCTTCAGATTCAATACACAATCATTAACACTTTGCAAACTGATTTATTGCCCAAATACATGTATGACATCTGCTAGAGGCGACGAGATGATTTATTTGCGCATACATCACAGCTCATTGTTTCAATTTTGTCTCAACGAGTTCGTGGGTTTGTTCAACTGGAGGAAACTCATTCTTATAAACTCAGCCCAATAAACTGAACAGACAATTGACATATTGGCAGGCAATATATAGAACAAGAACTAACCTCACAAGCAGCTTGGCAGGTATGGAACTGTTTGGTCATAAGTTCCATCCACTGCAACATGGTTGGTTTTTCTCGGGCATGCAATAATGTCTCAAGGACAAAGGTCGTAGTCAACTGTGGAAGAACAAAAATCTGATCATTAATTGTTACACTTATACATACATATTCACAGCAATAAAACATCTCACAATATGGAGGGGTGGCAGTGGATAGAATGACTGGAATTAAGAAGCTGGGTGGAAACTATATTGCTTAAGATGAAGTGGACATCTATATCCTCAACAGCACAAGTTCAATCCTATCGCATGATTTGAATAAAATCAAGCTGTACTTAACCTACAATTTCAGAGTAAAGATCATGTGTCAAAATGAGATTTTGATATCTCTGATTTTGATATCCCTATATTATAAACAAGATATAGCAAATTCATGATGTTTTATAGTTTCCCTTGTTGATGTAACTATTCGAGGGACCACCAATAAGGAAATGTCAACACATCGATCTAATTTAACAATTTCACCGCACTGAATCTGTTTACAGTTTCTCTCATCCTTGTCTCCACGTAACAATAGCCAGAAACATGTTGAAATGCAGTGAAAATGAATTGGTAAGTTCGACTTTCAAATTATTTTTCAAAAATCTATGGATTATTACTATGGACAAAGTCTAATGATTTTAGTTTGTGTGTGTGTACAAGCAATGCAGTCACTATGTAGACCTGTGAATGAAAGAGGTCCACACGACGCAGGAGCTTAAGACGTTAAGTGGACTTACACAGGTCCTCACAATGTTTTCCACTTTCTGAAAAACAACACATACACATGTACATGCAAGAGGCTTTTTTGGGTAAAGGTTATCTGTGGCAAGATGAAATACAACATTCAAAGGAAATCGCGGTCAAAAATTCAGTTTCAAGAAAGGGTTGACAGTGCAAGTGGAAACGCTTTGAAACATGTTTTCTCTTAACTGCACAAGAACAAGGCAATGTCCACACGAGGGTACTATGTCAATTTGCTATATCTTGTTTATAATATAGGGATATCAAAATCAGAGATATCAAAATCTCATTTGGACACATGATATTTACTCTATTTAAGTTAAATTGCTGTTTGTTTGTTTTTTTTTGCTCGTTTTCTTCTGTAAATTTTGTGTTTCTCCACGGGCATTTCAATACAAGCCTCCTTTTGGCTTCTGAAAATGCCTCCATATATGGAATAAATGTCAAATTGAAATAAAATAAAAAATTAGTCTGTCTGTGTGTACACGTACGTGGTTCCTTACAGAGTGGAAAACATAATAGAGCAATATAAGAAAGTGTAAATTAGAAATCAATCTGCCCCATAGGGGAAATGCTATGGAAATTTCAATACGAACAAAGGACAACAAAAGAAGGGAAACAAAGGTCTTCCCCACAAGTACACCTATGTACGCCAATGTGGGCGTGTTCATCTATTCAAACCGTGGACGAAAAATTCCAGAGAACAAAAGACAACAATATCATCCACGATTCCCAGCATATGTCCACGAAACCTATGGGAGACTTCCTAAAAAGTACAAACAAAAGAGGGACAATAAGGGGTTCCACAATTGAAGGTGTTTACACACTTGTGTGTGTGTGTGTGTGTCTGACAACCATTTGCAAAGTACCCTTTTTCCAATGCCATACCTTGGATGCCATAAGTTGTACATGTGAAGGATCAGGTAGCGTTGATGGAAGGTAGCTACAGACTTGCCACATGAAGTTCATGTAGGAGTGATCAAAAATAGACCGGTCTCTCAAGTAGTTTTTGTTGTCTTGCCAGATCCACTGCAGGTGAGAGGAATCCACGCCACAAAAACACGTTTATAAAGAAACATTCTTACCTATTACATTTCAAAACTACCATTTTTCTTTTAAATATTTGCATCTTAAACTGGATGACCTTTATCTGGTTTAGTAACAATGATAGAGAAAGTTTCATGTTCCAAAAACGTTCTGAATAATAAGTTTCAAAGGGCATGCAAGTTGACCTCAAAACCTGCGAGATTTGACAGGATAATGTACATCCGAGTACCATGTATAGGATCTACAACATGTAAAACGTCCCCTTTTTTTCATTGTGTGTCCTGACTGGGCTTATCCAGTCAAAGGCAATAATTGGGCCTTGTGAAAGACAAGAAAGCATTACAGTTTACAACACTGAAAATATTGTGAATTGATGACTATAATTACATGAAAATGTTCGACCTCAACTTCTGTGTAATCGCTCAGATAACAATAAGGTAAATTCTAAGACGGAAATCTGTGACTAGGCTGGTCAGTGTTTGGTACCAAGACATTCACATGAAGAGTGTACGTGAACTGGCGAGACTTGCATGCTCCATTGCCACACCAGAAGAGTGGATTTCACAGGTTATTATAGTTGCTTGTTTTAATAAACAGGATTGAAGTTTTATAAAAGTATGAAATTGAGTAAGTCAATTGTTACACTTGTTAGTTCAAGAAAAACAAAAACAAGCCTATTGTAACTGCTGAGAAAACAAACTCAACCAACTGTTGTATTAACAAAGTTGGAATTCAGGAATACATTTAACAAAGAACAAGGAATTTAGGAATACATTAAACATTAACAAAGTTGGAATTCAGGAATACATTTAACAAAGAGCAAGGAATTTAGGAATACATTTAACAAAGAACAAGGAATTTAGGAATACATTAAACAAAGAACAAGGAAAATCAAAAATTAATCACAGCAATAGTGTTGTTTATTGGCCTCTGTACTTTTTAATCCGCGGCGGAGTGTCTGGCTGAATACGCGGCTAGCTTTACGCTGGTGGCACTGCCGCTAAAACAAACCAAAAGAATGCAGTATCCAGACGGCACTTCAGCGGTTGTGTACAAAGTCTATGGAGAATGCAGCACTGTGCATGCAATTGCCTGTCAACGTGTAGCGGTCGGCCGTGCGGGCATGGATGACATCGTTTTTGAATGCCACACAACATCCACAGTATCGTGCGTGGTAGTTTGAAACCTTCCGGGAATTCCTATGTTTTTATATTGTTTTTACGTGCATTTAAAAAATGATAAACTTGAAATAACTCGACAACCAAATAAGTCAGGAATATGAAATTTGAGAATTAGAGAAAAAATACACTGAACAGGGCTGCAAAAATTTAAGTTGTAAAACCGCTTTTTAATTCTTTTCATAAAATGACCCCTACTGACCAATAGGTGACCACTGGCCAAATTCTGTGAACAAATTTTGTGAGGCTTGGTCCAATGATATAACTGACCAAGTTTAACATTAATTGGGTCAAGACTGTGGGAGAAGAAGCATTTTGTAAATATTCATTAAATGACCACTACTGACCAGTAGATGACCATTGGCCGGATTTTATGAACATGGCTAGGTAGGGCATGGGTCAAGGTTTAATTTGACCAAGTTTGTTTGAAATCGGCTAACTAGTTTAGGAGTTATGGCCATTTTTTCATTGGTCATGTGACCGTTTGCCCGAAGAAAGAAAGAAAGAAAACAAGTCAGGTGTGTTTACAAACACAAATGCCCCGCAACCGTGACTGTTTCCATGACATAACACCACTCTAACATTAACTTACATGTACCTTGGTCACATGGAACGTTCATTGACAGCATTAGTGTCTTCTGTAGGTTTTATATGAATTAATCCCTAATCCCTATGATCTCAGAATAAATACAAGATTTCTATTGTTTTAGCCACTGTGACCTTGACCCTTGACCTTTCGACCCCCAATGCGATAGGCTTCTCTGGATTGCCAAGGACAATCCACAAACCAAATTTGAAGTTGATATGTAAAGTATATCTCAAGTTATCGCGCTGATAAAATTTCTTTTGTTTTTGCCACTGTGACCTTGACCCTTGACCTTTTGGCCCCAAATGCAAAAGGCTTCTTAGGATTGCCAAGGACAATACACAAACCAAATTTGAAGTTCATATGTAAAGTATTTCTCAAGTTATCGCGCTGACAAAATTTCTTTTGTTTTAGTCACTGTGACCTTGACCCTTGACCTTTTAGCCCCAAATGCGAAAGGCTTCTTAGAATTGCCAAGGACAATCCACAAACCAAATTTGAAGTTCATTTGTAAAGTATTTCTCAAGTTATCGCGCTGACAAAATTTCTTTTGTTTCAGCCACTGTGACCTTGACCCTTGACCTTTCGGCCCCAAATGCAAAAGGCTTCTTAGGATTACCAAGGACAATCCACAAAACAAATTTGAAGTTCATATGTTAAGTATTTCTCAAGTTATCGCGCTGACAAGATTTTTCCGGACACACACACCCACCCACCCACCCCGACTTGTTTCACATACCTAGTGTGGACTTTCCTTTCTTTTCGTGTAGTTAAGGAACACCAGTGGAAAAACTCATTTTTCTCAAACTGTGAAAACTCTTACAACCCAATTTTTTTTCAATGATTCCCTTTAGTGTTTCTCTTCATTCTGCTACAGATAAACCTAACCCAAAAATGCCTCTAAACCTGTTTTCCAGAAATGGGGAAACACTGTGTGGACGTGGGCAAGTCCACACTTCGTCGCTGCTACCTACATTATGTGGACGTCTTTTGTTCGGAAGTCCACACTGCGTATGTAAGACAAGCTCACCCACCCACACACCCACCCACCCACACACACACCCACACACCCACCCACCCACGGAAGGACAAGGTGGAAACAGTATGCCCCTTCGGCTTCGCCGCGGGGCATAAAAAGACAGAAAGAAAGAAAGAAAGAAAGAAATTGGACGATCACAGTATATCAGCGTGCTTCGCACGGCTGATATAATAAAGTGTCATTTCCATATATCATAATATTTATAGCAAAAATGAAATTGATGTTTCTGACTGACTACCTCAGCTATTTCTTTTGGAAGCATGATGGTAGGCTGACTAGCAGGCTCTTGTTGATCAACCCCTGGGGTACATCTCTCATAGAAAAGCATATAGGCACTGTGGGTCTGAAATCAAACATAACCACTAGTGATTCTAATGGAAATGGAAACAGAGACACAGCATTTTGTATTGAAGGAACGTCTGCCCATACATTTGCTACATTTTGTAAAAAGGTAAAATTTAACCTTGTTCCCAACATCCTCCAATGGTCTCATCTTTCATCCACCCTCATGGTTCATTTAACACATGGCAAAAAAACCAAGGCAACTGATCTGCAGCAGTCCTATAGGAGGAAAATTTCAACTTTTTTACACTTCCCAAACTTCATACTTTGTCAGGTTTACAGCTCTCTTATGCAAGTCCTACACATGCACCCAACATGCACGTGCAAGACAGTGTATACAAGGTTATTCATATGCAACACAGTGTATAACAAACAGTCCCTTTTATAGGTGGACACATGGCCATTCTAGACCAATGAAAATAGGTAATAACAGTATCCAAGACATGAACAAGTAGTAATGTCTTACAGTTTCCATCATGATATTCAAATTTGACAAGAAAACTTTGATTACCTTTTCAAATGAAAAATCCATGTACTTGTCTGTTACAGAATCATACGTCTTGGTCTGAAAAACAAACATTACATAAACCACAACGGGATTAATTGAGTAAAACTTCATTCAATATGAGATTAAGAAGAAATCAACTGGAGAGGGACCTGAGCCTGTGATGACCGCCTGAACTCTATACTGGTGGTCTACCATCTGAGCTCTCAGCCATATGTTGGCCTCTCCACGTTCGTCAATGTCTGTGTTCACTAGTTTAGAAGCCATAACCAGTATGTGCCACGTAGCCAGGGGTCATGCAAAATGGGGATGCTAGCAACTTTAGCAATGCTGCTAGCAAACCTGGGAAATGGAACTTCTTACAATCTCCAGAATAGAGTACTTGCCCTTCACTCAATAAACTGTGAAGTCGTAAGATAAGGTATGCTGAAAGGTCGCAGGTTCAAGGTCAGTTAACTGGGAATAAATGATCTAATATACCAAATCTCAGCTTTTCTGTTTGACTTAACCCTTACCGTCATTTCACCTCCAAAGCACTCCCCAGCCAGCTGTGTGGAGTCAAATGGTTTGACTTCGGCATCATTGAACATGTACCACCTATCATCAGAACTCAGCATTCGGTCTTTGATAAAGCTGTAGTAATGACCACCATCCGCCGTACCCGTGTGAACTGTCACACCAATTAGATCATATGTGTAAGAGGCATCTTCTGTTGGGTTGTCTGTTGGTAAAAATTCAAGGCAGCGTCAGTGTGTCACTCAAACACAATCATGATGGAAATGTGAATGAACTCAGTACTTTTAATTGATACCAATTTGTAATCACGCATGAAAGGAACACGACAGTTCAATTTTTAAAAACTCATAATACTGGATGATTTTTTTTGTTTGATGATTTGCTATATTTCAAATACTTTAAATAAATTAAAGACATCTTGTATCCAGTGTTCAATCTAGGATTTAAGGTGTCTATCCTTCCTCCACGTTGATAATTGAAAAACTAGGTGGGAGGGGGATGTTTGTTAAATCAGGCTGGGAGCAAGTCTATGCCGTAGTGGCCAATCTGCAGCGGGATCATTGCTGCTAGGCGGGGCTTCTGCCCATGCTTTCGCCGTCACGCTCACGATATAAAAGAGCAGTGTGTGGGGCAATATTTCAGTCTGAGTCAGTCCGTCGATCAGCTCGTTTAATAGTCCGTTGGAAGTCAGTTCAGAATCAGTTCATTTTCAGATTCATTTTGCAGTCAGTTCGTATGTGTGTCTTCAGTGTGTCTTCAGTGTGTCTTCAGTGTGTCTTCAGTTGTGTCCCATTTGGTGGTTCACTGTTAGTGTCCGGAGTCACTGTTCAGTTGACAGTTCTCCGTGATTAGCCAGCCCGGCTGCAGCAATTGGCCGCCGTAGTTTCTCCACTGACCCAGCCATAGCTCCGAACTTGAATTCGACTCAAGGAAATTGTCACCACAATATCTACCAAACTAAAGTATAAATGTGGACAGTGTAGACCACATTCAGGTATAGATACTAGGAAGCAAAAGGCTGGTTGCTCGCATTATGGTTACCTGCATTACATTTTGTCTGCCCATCTTGGTACAAATTAAAACATATGAGAAACTAACAATCAAACAAAAAACTCTTTTGGCATAAAAAACGAACCTTTAAAGATACATGTATCACATGAGCTTTATCTGTCTGAGATTGACTGTGATACCAATCGCACCATGAAGTGCAAGGGAATTCCCCAGAATGAGTAATGAACGTGCTTTGGAACCCCAAACTCCATGTCTTTGTGGCATTGATGGACCACAGATACTAGGGTATCAGCCATGTACATACCAGTGCATACAGTACGCTGGTACCCTTGCTGCCATGCATGCACATCAGGTTAAAGGATGCATATTGCTGACCATGTGTGCAAACATGCTTGGTCAATCCCAAAGTGATTTTTTTCTGGATAATAAGTGCCTGAAAGTTTACCCCTGGTGGCAACTTCCTGAACCCTTGAATACAAAAATTAACATGTAAAAATTATAAAATTTGCAGTTACTTTTGATACACATTGTTCATTGATTTCTAAAGAAAATCACCCTTGAAAAAAGGCCTTGTAAAATGTTACTAGCATCTCAATTTATGGAAACTGAAGAATTGCTTGACATGAAAGAGAAATATCGTGCCAAAAATTGACCTCTCACTAAAATGCATGTGGACTAGTGGAACTTGGTGTACTCATGCAAAAATTTATGAAATAATTTTGTGGCGGTCATTGGGTGAAAACTGAAACTTAAATAGGAGACTAAAATATTTTTTTTTTATATACAACTTTTGTGAACAAACTTGAAGGTAAATAGATTTGTCACTGATTGGATTCTTGCTTATGAAATTACATAGGTAATACTGGTACTGTGTCAGTAAATCAGCTGTATCCATTGAAATATAAGTTGGGGCAAATGTCTTTTGCATGAAGTACAAAGGACTAGACCATAAAACAAAACCCCCAAACTACAAACCTTATATTCAAGGTACAAAGAAACTGCTGACATGTATTTTAGGTTTACCTGGCCTGTTTCTGTCTGTGCCCATAAGGGCAGCCTCTGTGTAGCCAGCCATGTCCAACTTGAGTGGAAAGGAGAAGTGTGTATTGACCTTTTCTTTCATCATCGTCACCATGTTGAAGGTGTAGCGCATGGTATTGAATGAAAGAATTTTGGGTAAAGTCTTGAAGCAGGCCCTGTCCAAATCACAAAATATGTGCAGATGTCATTGTAAATATTGTAAATTAAATATTAATTTAACTGACACACAAGAAATGTTTGAAAAAAAATAGGGAAATCTACCATGCAAGATACATTTAGCAATAAAGTGGATAGGCAACAGCAATGCATTAAATTAATAAGGTCTTTTGAGTCTGTCCAAAACTACAGCTTCGAAGTTACTTGTAGGAGGTAGGATCCTGTGTGCATAATGTAGTGTATATAAAACTAACCTTTTCTCCGCTCTGACTTTTTTGCCACATTGCGAGCATGTGTACATGTTATCTCCTTCCAGAGTGTCTTTGACAGTTACTTCATCCAATGATTCCTGCAGATCAGCAGAATGAGCAGAATAACAATGACCTAGCGCCTTGAGCACCAATACTGGTCGATACATGTGCACTTTATAAATACATATTATCATCATTATTTATATTAAATACTGGTATGTAATGTTGGAAAAACAATTTGGCATTGTCATCCAGTTAATATGGACAAGGATTACACACAGCTCAACACACACCATGCTGATGTGGAATAACACACACAGCCATACATACAAACATTCATGTCCAGCTGTACAATGCAAGCCTAGTCGTTTATTTATTTTATCTTTTTTTTGTTGAGGGGTTTGGTGGTTACTTTATTGAAATAATTTTAAAAGGCTAATCACATAAGCCAGTCAAGTGTATTCTTTTTTATTCCACCCTATTCTGCTCATAGAAATGACGAACCAACCAGGGCCGTGCCACTACAAAAACATACTTTGATAGTGTTTTGTTTATCTCAGCATTTGAAATTGACAAGAACCTTTATTTCAAATAATTAGGACCCACTGCTTAGAAAAGACTTACATGCTATTCTCCAGACAACTACTTACATAGAGGTTCTTCATATCAGCAACCTGGCAACGGACTGTGCAGAATTCTTCAGTTGTGCTGCTAACATGCGGGCAGTCCTGAAACATCATCAAGGAATAAGGTTTGATGTCAATATCTACTATATGTTTCGACACTGGATGCACATCTTTTGGGACAAGTTCAGACTACTTGTCCAAGTCCAGGGCAACGGCAACAAAAAAAGTGTACTGAAGTCAATTTCACTTCCAAACTATAAAATGGGCAGACACACATCTAGAACTGATTGGAGCCCTGAGGCCAGCTTAGAATCACCCTGGACTCAATCATACATTTTTAGTGTTATAATGGTTTTGGTCTTGGTCTTGAAGCCTGCAAGTACACAGTTATCAAGTCCAGATGTGATGTAATAACCAGTAACAGCCAACCTACAGGCACATCTAACAATTGAACTGTCCCAGGCATTTATGAAATTCACGTAGGCACCAATTCATTGACAAGCATCAGTAGTATCTAGTCTCCTAGTGAACTACTTTTCTTTACTTTTTTTAAAACTTTAAAAACACAAATGCCCCGCAACCGTGACTGTTCCCATGACATAACAACACTCTTTTAACATCAACTTACATGTACCTTGGTCACATGGAACGTTCATTGACAGCATTAGTGTTTCTGTAGGTTTTATATGAATTAATTCCTATGATCTCAGAATAAATGCAAGATTTCTATTGTTTTAGCCACTGTGACCTTGACCCTTGACCTTTCGGCCCCAAATGCAATAGGCTTCTTAGGATTGCAAAGGACAATCCACAAACCAAATTTGAAGTTCATATGTAATGTATTTCTCAAGTTATCGCGCGGACAAAATTTCTATTGTTTTAGCCACTGTGACCTTGACCCTTGACCTTTCGGCCCCAAATACAATAGGCTTCTTAGGATTGCCAAGGACAATCCACAAACCAAATTTGAAGTTCACATGTGTAAATTATTTCTCAAGTTATCGCGCTGACAAAATTTCTATTGTTTTAGCCACTGTGACCATGACCCTTGACCTTTCGGCCCCAAATGCAATAGGCTTCTTAGGATTACCAAGAACAATACACAAATTTGAAGTTCATATTTCTCAAGTTATCGCGCTGACAAGATTTATCCGGACACACACACCCACCCACGGAAGGACAAGGTGGAAACAGTATGCCCCTTCGGCTTTGCCGCGGGGCATAAAAAGTTAAAACAAGTGAAATCAAAGAATGGACTTAACTCACCAGTGAAACAACATTATTTGTGAGCTCTCCCTTGAACAGGTCGCATACCAAGTCATTCTACAAAACAAATCATAGAGGAGCAAAACTGTGTGTTGCTCTTCAGCAAGAATTTCCTAAGCACAATGCTGTTCATGGGCTTGTGAGAAAAATTCACAAGCTCACTCAGGTGGGCCTCAAACCCAGGGGCGGATCCGGGGGGTGGGGGAGGGGGGCACATGCCCCCTCCTTTTTTCTTCAGAAAAAAAAAAAGTTACACACGCTATTCTTAATTTCACCTAGACATGCTAAAAATCATGACGGAAAAAGCCTGTATTTCTGATGCACGTGTCATCAAAATGCACATTCACGACATCAAAGCCATGCCGCTGTACGATGTTCAGTACGGCATGCGGCAGTGCAGTGCAGTGCCATCGTCATTCACTGGTTCCCATCGCGTTCCCAACAGAATCAAAGCTATGATGTAGGACCAGAACCAGTGACTACGGGCTACATATATACGTTGCGTGCGTTGAATTTGGATCATAGAAAATACATCGCGTTCCCAACAGAATCAAAGCTATGATGTAGGACCAGAACCAGTGACTACGGGCTACATATATACGTTGCGTGCGTTGAATTTGGATCATAGAAAATACATCGCGTTCCCAACAGAATCAAAGCTATGATGTAGGACCAGAACCAGTGACTACGGGCTACACATATACGTTGCGTGCGTTGAATTTGGATCATAGAAAATACCAAACGAACATGGATGGAGAAAGAGAACTTCTTCAAATTAATTCCCAGAACGTGATCTCTCTTTTCTGTGTACGTATTTTCCATTAAAACAAATATTTATAACAAGATTGTTCTGCTCGTACGTGATACACCGTATCGTGTTTCTGCAAACTTTTCGGCCACAGCACAATGGGTTCATTTCCGGGTCCCACACAATACACAGTGCTGTTATATGCACACCGATAGTGTGCCGTGTGCGCGACGCAATATACGGCCAGTGCTGTGGCTGGCGGCTGACAGTAACTAACATTGTCATTGTTTGAGCATAGTGGCGTGGACGACTTAAATTCTCCATCATTTTAAAGAATAACCCACCTTAAATATATTTTCATATATTATTAGGTAAGGCAAATTTTTATCAAAAAGTTTTGATGGACAGTCTCGATAACTTTCGTGGCGCGATAGGAATGTGATAGGAATCAGATTTTTTTGTTCTTTCTCAACTTGAAACTCACTTTTAATCCATATACTTTTCAGTTTAGGAAGTTGTAATGTTTGTGAAATGATTATTCAGTGTTTGTTTTTAAAAATATTATAAATCTCCTCTGAATTTTGAGGAAAAATCTGCTGCAGAGACCCCCAGATTTGCTCTAAAATGCACCAGAGAGCTTCTAAAGTTCAAAATTCTTTGGGGCCCTTAGGCGGGCCCCGAACCCCATGCAGTGGCTTCGCAAGTTGGTGTGTCACAACAAAACTTCCCGCACAGGTTTGAAAAATTTCACGCCCCCCCCTTTGGAAAATCTTGGATCCGCCCCTGAAAACCATGATCTCATGTTTACTAGTGCAGATGTCTTTACCACTTGACCACCAAGCTTGCCAGAGTCAGCTGGCTGGTTCAAATATGATTGCCTACCAATTGCTATGGACTCCAATCACAAACAGCCAATAGGGCCTTTTGACCACTTTCAACAGCCCCGTGGACAGAATGCAATGCGTGTGCGTATTAGTTTGTGTGCGTATGGCACATAATATGCACAACTAAATTTATCCTGAATGTGCATAACCCATAGTGTCTATGCGTGAGTGTCAGGCATCGTCGGCAACGAGTTTAAATGTCACACCCAGTGGTCTTCCCCAGCTTTTCTTTTGTAACCATTGAGGGGGTACAGAGTCCATATCAGATTCCAAATGTCCAGTGGACCCCCTCAAGCTTGCTGATTGAGTGGTAAGACGTCTGCAAGGGGTCTGGGTTTGGAGTCCTGTCATGAGCCCTTGGAAAGCACTGGGTAAACAGAAATACTGGAATTGTGTTGGTGAAGGGTAGAACCCAATATTGAATTGTACATCTCCCCAATGCAAAATTGCAACATACAGAGACAAATAGGGAATTCATTATTGGTGCTTCTCAAATGTACAGTTTCCAATAGTATATGTTTAAGCTTAATATCAAAAGGACAGAAACTGTGTAAATACTTCAAATGACACTACCAAAAAACCCTTGAAAGATGTCCGTTTTGAAAATGGTTGTCTTAGATTTTGTGGATGTAGTAGTGTAAAAAAAAAATCATGTAAATTGATTTAAAAACAAATCTATTTATTTTAATTAATCAAAAGTTTCTATTTCTGGCAACCTAGACACACATTTAAGTAATCTTTAGTTGCAATAGACATAGTAGAATCGCGTCAATGCAGCTTGTAAAACACTGTCCAGTTACATGTTATACAAACGCGCAAACTCTGAGACAAACAAAACTCAGCGTACACAATTTCATAGGGTTGTCTAAGGGGCGTGGCTAACTTGCAAATGGCGATAGGTCAATTGCTTCGCAAGGTACATCTTAAACTATCAGTATTAATTTGCAGAAGCACCATGTAACCACAGTCTTTAGTACATTTCAACAGGTGATCAACAGGTGCTGTCAAGAGAACAATAACAAAAGCACAAATGTATTAAATATAGCACCTTAGCATATATGAACAGGATTTATTCTTCCCAACCTACCAACTGGGGAGTCATTTCCTCCATCTTGCTGATGAGATCAGTGAAGAACTCAGTCATATCTTTCTGTTCACCAGTGTTGAGAGGCTGCTTGTCCATTGTGTAAACCTTACAGAAGCTGCGAGGATTGTAAGCTTTTCTCTCACTATCTTGTAGAAAAGCAAACATCCGCTGCAGTTCCGTCAGGATGCTGGCATGGTGGGTATCTTCAGTAAGCTGATATGAATATTCAGTCCAGAAAACAACACACATTGTCGGAGGAATTATGACTAATTTAAGTGTGGGCAGCGATAATGATTTTTGTAACAAAATAGAGTAAAACTCTGGTGAGAAGGCTTAATGAAATTTGAAGCATAAAAAACAGCTTCCATGCCTTTGACCTTTTCATAAAACAAGTAATCCACTAGAAAGCATCAAATAGATTAATGTCCACCATGAAAACTATGACATCACCCCACAACATTCTGTTTAGAACTGATTGAATCATCCCACAACATGGGTTCCATCATCAGGGTGGATGAATGGATGGACCGGGGTTATGGTTTCTAGAAAGCCTCAGCCAATGTAAACATTACTCTTTGGTACAAGCTCAATCGGATATAAGCTGTGGGACAACGAATGCGTTTTCATGCATGAGTCACGTGATTGTGCCATGTAATTTCTGGAAGGAGTGTTGTTTTGAGTAAAAAAATTCAGCTTTTTAACCCCAGTGACCCCATGATGACTTTAGACCCCAGTTTGGTCATGTGACAGGGCTGGGCTACTGATACTTTTGATAAAGTTTAGTTGAAATCAGTCAAAATATGTTTATATGTGAATCTTATTGAAAAAATCTAGGACCTGCCTTGATATGAATTAATACACAACTGGTAAACGCACAATGCAATACCCACATCAAACACGGACACATGAATTTTCCGCCTAATGCACAACAAAAAAGAGTGCAATCAACTGTAAGCATAGTGGTGGATTTTGGAGAATTCAGGAGGTTACAAAGAACAAAATCTGGATGCACTTGTGTTGTCCTGCATTTAATTGTCAAAAACTGTGACGTCTGTTTTATCTTTGTTGAGTCTTATCCTGTAGTTCTGGATTTTGTTTTGTTTTCAAGCATAGAGACAGATCTAAAGTTTACTTTTTTTGCAATCTCTCATGGGTGCCCCTTATTTTTGTCTGATTTAATGTTCTGTGTGAGTGTTGTAAAGGTGAATCTTTGCACAGATATATGTTGCATTTCTGTATAATGTATTTAATTTGAAATGTTTTCCCCCTAAAGAAATGAAGAAATGAAGTGTTTCCTGTGGGTTTCACCATGGTTATTTGAATTTAAATGGTTTATGGCCGAGATGACACAGATTGAAAGAATTATATCTCAAATTAATACACCTCATACATTGTACATATTCATGATCACGAGCCAAACTCTCACTGATTTTTGCTTATTTTTGCTGTTTGCTAAGCACGCACGCGAGGATTCATGCACAGGGTAAATAGGCATGCGTAGCAGACTGTTGCACGGGTTACCCGTGCAACAGTCTACCACGCATGCGCTTTACAAAGCAATTGTGGAACTGTCGCATGGGTGTAGTAGTACGCACGCACAAACATCGCCCAAGCGAGCTATGCACGGTACGCGTAAATGTTAATTTTCCCAAGCTCAATGATGCCAAACTGGACTATTAATGGACAATAAAGATGCCTCCTGTACAAAAGAAAGTTGTCCACAAACTACTGTATTAACAATCTCCAAAAAATCGGCAACTGAATATGAATGAGGTATAGTAAAACAAATATAACATGGTTTTATGTCGGGTGGACAGTCGATATTAGCTCCCCTCGGTATTGGAAGTTGACGAACTAGTTTCGCCTCGGGAACTAGTTTGTCAACTTCCAATACCTCGGGGAGCGAATATCGACTGTCCACCCTCAAACCATGTTATATTTGTATAATATTCACTTCCTTTTGAATATTTCAAGTTTTTTTTAATATACATCAGTATGGTTACAAACTGTTTTTAATGAGAATACACACCCTTGCACTGAGAATTGGAGCACGTGCTTCTGGCATCATGAACAACTGCTGCATGCATGAAGCCATGTAACAGGTAGCACCAAGGTTGGTCAGTCCCACATAACCACATGATGACCGACCATCATCTTGTGGCCAGTACAACCATGGATATGCTCCATGGGTGCCTGAGAAATAAAGACAACAAATGTCACACTGATAACTATATGATCAATAACCTATGAAATTTCTGACAATAACGATTTAGATTTAACATGATCGATTGAGGTTGCAAAAGTCATTTATGGACTTAAGCCTAAAGGGGCAGGGGGAAGGAGGGGCTTAACCCCTCTCTCCCCCCCCCCCACCAAAACAAAATCTGATATCTTGTCGTACAATGTTTTTCATGCAGAGTTATTGACTGATGTTATGCTATCACGAAAATCAGATTTAGCACTGTATGTATTATGCGTGAATACTTCTTCAAATTTGATAATTAGGCATTGATTTCCAAGATCAAAGGAGCTGGCTATTTGGGTTTGAGCGAAAGTGGTGTTTAAAAAGATGAAAGGAAAACTGAAATAAAAACAACAATTAAAATAAAAATAAAACAAGATGTCAAAGCCTGCTGTGCAAATTTGAGAAAAAACTCATGTTATCAACAAAATTCCACTACCTCCAGATAAAACAACTCGTAAAGAATTATGGTTGGGCAGTGGTCCTACCCTGGTTATTCCATGTCACATTGAAAGGTTCAGCTATTCCCTCACTTTCAAGAATTTTAAAGTAGTATTTTTATTTAAACGTTTTGTGTGTTTAGCTACATGTAGTTTTAGATTTTATTTGATCTTATTGATTTCCAAATACCTGCCCTTTCTTACTCCCAAAAGCTTACTTGTAGACACCTCCCCCATTCCCCTTTTATAATTTTGTTAGTTCCAATTTCTTGGTGCATTTTAGGTATTCATAAATTGGACTGATAAGGGCTTTTAAATTTTACTTTTGTGATTTCTGAAACTTTGTTTTAAAAAAATCAAGTGTTTTTGATATATATATAGTGATAACTTTTGTGAGATGGTGGTTATTCAGCCCTTGCTGGCTGCCATGTGTCATTTTAAACCATGAATAAAAATGATAATAATAAAAACAAAAACACACGCACACACAAAAATGAAATATTTAAATCAAAGGCATATAGTATCATTTGCATTTATCCCCAAAGTAACCTATTAAATTATTGTCAAAATCCTACTTGGATTAAAGATTGTACTTGTACTAAACACCTCGTGAAATTATTCCGTCTGGCTTGCTGTCATTTAGAAGAAATCAGGAAATGTAGGTGATTTCCAATAATCAGTCAATTGACTGATTTTTCGAATAAAGAGGGCTATTGACGGATTCGTGTTTCGTGATTAAACGGTTGTGCATGGTTTTTCACTGTTTTCTCAAAATGTAAAATCAACCAGGCTAAAAGTTCAACAGGTCGGTTATGAAAATTTCTGTGGATTTTGAGTGGTGTTATTATTGGAAATGAACAAAATCCATGATAAACTAATGATCCTATATGCCTTTAAAGTTACGTTCACAGTGCTATTTTCGAGTTTCATCCCTCAAATATTGATTACGTTCCTAAATTGCTATTTTTTCTAGCAATACAAAAGTTGTTCACTTTTGAATGAAATATCCAGCAAAATTCAGCCCATGTATATTTATTCAATTATTACTTTACAATTTTGAACTATTTGCTGCCAGACAATAATTCTGTTCTTGCGGGGTAGGTTGGTTGCAGCTCCAAAAAATGTATGGATAATGTACGGTCAGGGAGCCAGTCTGATTGCAAAGTGTATTGCTTTTTGCCCATAACAAAAACCCATTGTCAGAGGGTTGCAGATGTCCCAAAAATGGGAAAAAGGAGACTTTTTGTTGGAATAAAACACACAATTTGAAAAGTTATTATCTGAAAAAAGAAACGAATTTGTTTAAGAGCACATGGAACGCAACTTTAACATTAGGGGTCAAATGATAATCAGATAAAAGTATACTTCCTCCATAAAGTATAAACCTAAGTGGACATACCTGGGGAATGTTGTTCAAGCATAAGCCTATGCAAGCAGGAGTAATTGTCCTGACATCCTCTTGCTAGTTCAATAAGGAGATCAAATCCTGCAAGACGACTGCCTTTGGATTTACACTTGGGAAGATTGCGCTCTTCCATGTTTGGCACCGCGAAAAGACACTCAAAAACACTGCTAAGAAAAACCTATATGTGGATGTGAACATAGAGAGACTTTATACTGTAAAAAGACAAGGCAAGCCTAATAAAACTGGTCCCAGAGTGCACACAATACTATCAAATCACTCAGAATTACTAAAGTTTGTAGAATAAATTGGATCCCTCAAAATGAGTCTGACAGATGTGTATTCACAGTTTTTCATATATGCGTTAGGATAAGGCCAAAAAAAATAATACTTCTGCTTCCGGTTACCCGACTGACCCTAATTTTAGGCTGCGACCCTAAAAATTTTATCGGCAATTCCAAAAAAATAAATAAATAAATGATTGAATAAATAAAAATAAAAGCTTGTTGTCTTTTCCGTCTTCACAAAATACCTCTCAACAACCCATTTGCGTCAAAAAATGCTTGTATTTATTTGTTTTCTTACTTACAATCGCTATTTTTTTCAAAAGAAACCAAATTCGCTTCTCGTTCTGTCATCATACCTCGCAATTCGATGTCACGGTGACTATAATCACGTGCGTAAACCTTGCTCAATGCAGTGACGACTGGTTCCCGCCGCGCCGCGCAGGGGCCAATTTAGAAGACATGATGAAAGTGCGGTAACCAGTCTGTCATGGCTATGCGATCGCCAGCGCTAGCTATGCATTAGGCACGTGCACTGACAGTGTCAACTGGTCGGATTCGACATCATAAAAATGCCAAGAAAACACCGATGGAGAAACAACATTTTTGCAAGTTAATTCACAGAATTGATCTATCTTGTCTGTGTATGTATTTTCCGTGTTCAAGAGTTCATTTTGAGATCGCACTACTCGTATTTGGAGTGATACATGCAGCGTGTTTCCCGAAATTTTCGACCGTAAAACGAGGTCTGTCGGCCCTGGGCCACACATGCACAGTGCATCACACACTTCGGAGTTTTGGCCAGCTTCCTGTCTTGACTAGCGTTGTGCATATGATGTGAACGGCCTGAATTTTCCATTATTTTTTAAGAATTATCAAACGCAAATATATTGACAATAATTAAGGTAGGTTTTATTCACTTGTTGTGGCCATTTTGTGTATAGCTTTCGTAGTGCAATGGAAATAGTTCAGGCTAAAACTTCGCATATAATTGAATACCCCATTCAATCTGCATAAACAAAATTGGCAAAAAAAAAAAAATTCTGACCGACCGACCCTATTTTTGAAAGGCATGTAATCGGAAGCAGAACTATTTTTTTTTTCGGCCTCAGCATATTTTGCTTTTCATCACCGCTATACTATAAAAAAGAAAGGGTGTATGTGTTTGTACAAAAAATGTGTGCTCTAAGTAGGCTAATTAATGACTCGGGACACATTGACCCTATATCAGGTTTTGTTTGTCATGCACATATCAATGAAGATCAAGTTTCATGACTATATACCAAGTTGCACATCAGGCCCCCATATTCTGCAAGACGGAGAGGGCTAATACAACTAACTATGCTAACTCAGTGTCTTATCTATTTTTCAGCAAAATCAGCATAGCTGTTAAAAACAAATTCACAATAACAAACTGAACATTATGATATTAACATGTTTACTTAGATGCTCAAAGCAGAAGTTGCTATAATTCTCGAAGTAATTCCTTTTCAAACGTATTTAATGACCCCTGAAGAAAAGATAAACTTTGATAATGGTACATGATAACAGCCAAAATAAACAATGTACCGTTTCAATTTGTTTTGGGTTTCATCTTACCATCGATACCGTTTATGACCCTTTTTCACATTTCCCCCACAAAATGTAAAGCTGTAAGTAATCACTCCTAACCAAAGACAGACGGTTTCAATTGATAAAAAGTTACTACCTGTCCCTCTTTGCTGAATTTGAATGGTGGGTTGTGCTTCATAACAGCTGTGCATAGCTTGAGCATACCAGTGAGAGCCACATCCTCTATGGTGTTGTGTCTTTCCTCTAAAACAAGCCGACTAAGAAGGGAGAAGCAACAATTGGTTCACATTTATGTTGGACAAAGACACAATCATTTCCTCCAAGGAACTCCTATTTAACTCTTTTTGTCACAGAGTTTGTTGGAGACTTTACTATTGTGATTGTGATGGTAACCTTTGTTCACAGAGACTGTGTTAGTTTTATATTGAAAACAAGTCAGGTGTGTTTACAAACACAAATGCCCCGCAACCGTGACTGTTTCCATGACATAACACCACTCTAACATCAACTTACATGTACCTTGGTCAAATGGAACGTTCATTGACAGCATTAGTGTCTTCTGTAGGTTTTATATGAATTAATCCCTAATCCCTATGATCTCAGAATAAATACAAGATTTCTATTGTTTTAGCAACTGTGACCTTGACCCTTGACCTTTCGACCCCCAATGCGATAGGCTCCTTAGGATTGCCAAGGACAATCCACAAACCAAATTTGAAGTTCATTGATATGTAAAGTATATCTCAAGTTATCACGCTGACAAAATTTCTTTTGTTTTTGCCAGTGACCTTGACGCTTGACCTTTTGGCCCCAAATGCAAAAGGCTTCTTAGGATTGCCAAGGACAATCCACAAACCAAATTTGAAGTTCATATGTAAAGTATATCTCAAGTTATCGCGCTGACAAAATTTCTATTGTTTCAGCCACTGTAACCTTGACCCTTGACCTTTTGGCCCCAAATGCAATAGGCTTCTTAGGATTACCAAGAACAAAACACAAACCAAATTTGAAGTTCATATGTAAAGTATTTCTCAAGTTATCGCGCTGACAAAATTTCTTTTGTTTTAGTCACTGTGACCTTGACCTTAGACCTTTCGGCCCCAAATGCAAAAGGCTTCTTAGAATTGCCAAGGACAATCCACAAACCAAATTTGAAGTTCATATGTAAAGTATTTCGCAAGTTATCGTGCTGACAAAATTTCTATTGTTTCAGCCACTGTGACCTTGACCCTTGACCTTTCGGCCCCAATGCAAAAGGCTTCTTAGGATTACCAAGGACAATCCACAAACCAAATTTGAAGTTCATATGTTAAGTATTTCTCAAGTTATCGCGCTGACAAGATTCGTCCGGACACACACACCCACACACCCACCCACCCACACACACACCCACACACCCACCCACCCAAGGACAAGGCGGAAACAGTATGCCCCTTCGGCTTCGCCGCGGGGCATAAAAAGAATTATGAAATACACATGATTACAAAAAGAATTATAACAGAAATGATTTGAATGGCCATCTATCAACATTACTCCTAACCAAATACACTAGACTAGAGAAGATATAAATATTATATATTCAAAATTGTACACAGTGCAGGTAAAGTGGCCCGCTAATTCAGACCATTGAAGCCATTAATATTACAACCCTTGTCTTAGAGCACATTTTCATGAGTCTGTCAATATAACTCATGATAACATTTAGCAAGGTCTGAATCAAAAGCTTTATAAAAGGTTAACTTTAGGAGAATGCAAATAGAGAATGCTTTTATAATTTCAAGCTGCACATGCCTGACTCACATGCCTGGCTGTTCTCAAAACAACATACAACTAAAAACAATGGTTGGCATTAACCAACCCCTCACCTCACCCCCAAACAATCTCTCTGATTTCAACATTTCTAGGTAAAATGAAACAGTGTCTAACAGATGAAAGCCATACCTCTGTATTCCCTCGGCTAGATGTCTGGCAATAGTGTTAACATTGATGACTTTTTTCTCCTGATCTAGGGCTGGAGAGTTATCAACGTCACTTCCAGAAGACCATTCATGCTTTCTGTCAATGTTATCCATGATAGAACATAACAGCCAGAAATAATTCCGGCAGCCAGGACCATAGTCTTCAATGTTCTTGCTATAATCCTAAAGTGAGAGACAACAAGAATAACTTCCTGTCGCTTGGGTCTTTCATCACAATTATGTGAAGTTACACAAAACAATGTATAAAGTGAAATAATTTTCTTTTACACAATGCCTGAATACATCCCCGTCATCTGATTGGTCGGTCTTTGATCATGTGTCATTGAATTATTCGTCCCAACGCATGGCACTGCTGCACCCGAAAAAGAGAACTTCCATTCCACAGTCACACTATTGGTTGTACTTTCACATACTGTAGCTATGATGGCTCTGATACTGTACATGTACATTATACATGTTATATAATAGTATCAGTTTGCAAGTTACCAATCAGATGACAAGATTTACTCAGGCATTGTATAAAACAATAATGAATGTTTCAAATTTGTGCAATGGAAAGAATCGTTTCATTTGGTGACAGATGTAATGTTCCATTTCATGTCACCTCATGAAATTATTGTTACCATTGCACTCAAAAATATGTATTGTTTGTATAATGGTGTTTGAAAGCAAATCTTGTCTGATGTGTCGTTTTGTTGATGGTGGCTGGCTGAAGAACGAGACCTGGGACATTTTTTCTCTGCAGACCATTTTTAACCATAGTTACACCCTCATAAAATAGTGATTATTCTTGTTTTGAAACATAGATTGCACAGATAATATCTCTCTAACAACCCTTAATGACTCTGAACTCTTAATAATGAAAGGTTTGCAGAACACTCTTAATGACTTCCACTGCCAAAAGAAATTGTAATGTTGAGGAATGAGAATTTTGAAACTTCAAAAACTTCGCTGATGCAACTTAGACTGAGAAAATGGATACTGGATTATATTTTCAGGATCTATATTATTAACATTTTTAGGGTTTTCCCGGGATTTTTTTCAAAACCATGGGGGCTTGTTTTTGCTGCTCAATAACTTGTTCAGGCGCATTTAAGGGCCCTTAAAAAATTGTCTTGTAAATCAGAGGAAATGTATTCTTTGTAAGCTCTGGCAGGAGCTTCTACATGTCACTTGGTGGTCGGTCGGTCGGTCTGTCTGTCCCCGAAAATTGACCAACAATATTTGACCAAACATTGACCATATGCCATGCCATCGTCAGTCAATGCACTCTTGACGAAAGTTATTGGAAAACGGGCTTTGTCTCGATCGATGCGCATGCGCGTCTATTTTGCATATGTCTGTCCCCGAAAAATTGACCAAAACGAGCCCCCTAAGTTTCCCATAAAATATAAATACCAAATTTTAATTTAAAGAAAGCAAACAAAAGAAATGCAATACTTAAACAATTATTTTTAACAATGATTACCGGGAATGGGTCATTTGGGAGACATTCCCATAGACTTGTGCACAAAATTTTTCAAACATAAATGTGCCCTAACCCAATATTCCCTTGTCCTTTTCCACGAATTTCGGTATTTTTTACTAATTAGACCACGAGCAACAAATATATAACCTGATTGCGACAGTAAAATTTTGCCTCTAAAGGGGGGCTGTGGAATTAGGAGACATAAAATGTCTCCCTAATGACCAGTGTCTCCCTATTGTTGAAGAAATTACGATAACGTGTCTCCCTAATGGTACATTTGTGAGAATAATAGTAATAATAATAATAATAATAATAATAGTTTTTGTCAGATATGCTAGATGCATATCTGACAAAAACTAAAAACCCACTCCTCCAAATAGTGACACAACATGATAGAAAGAAAAAGCTCTACTCCATCAAAAAAGATGCGACAAAATTCAAGAAAGAACTTGACTGTCCTGAAATCCACCCATCAGACAATGAAGTATCTACGCTGTACGCCAGACGAGTTAAGCAGAAAGCAAAAACCAAGGGTCAAGAACAACTTCTGAAAACCTGGGAAGACAAGGTGATGCACGGAAAGTATCCCAAAAGGACGAGAGATGCAGATGTAGACCAACAGAGGACATTCCAGTGGCTCAGAAATACTGGACTGAAAGCAGAACGGAGGGCCTAATCATTGCCGCCCAAGATCAGAGTCTTGCCACAAGATCATTTTACCATCACATTATCAAGGATGGAGTGGACCTACAATGCAGGATATGTGGTAAATACAAAGAAACAGTTGATCACATTGTTTCTGGTTGTCCGGAACTAGCGAAGACAGAGTACATACATCGACATAATAAAGCAGCAGCATACCTTCACGGGAAGATATGCAGCAATTACAATATTAAGACGACAGGGGAGTGGTACAAACACCAGCCGACAACAGTTACTGAAAATGATGACGTCACCATCCTCTGGGACATGCCAATTCACACCGACAGGGAGGTGAAAGCCAACAGACCTGATATCATCATCAAGGATAAGAAAGAACAGAGGTGTATACTCATAGACGTCTCAATACCGTCTGAACGAAACACCTCCGTAAAAGTAACTGAAAAACTCTCCAAGTATAAAGACCTTGAGATCGAGATTAACAGGATGTGGGGGATGAAAACAGAAAACAATACCGGTGGTCGTTGGAGCTCTAGGACTAGTGAAGAAGGGTCTGGATAAATTCATCGACCGTATCCCAGGCAACATTAACATCAACCTAGGCAACATTAACATCAACCTAGTCCAGAAGATTGCACTCCTCGGAACAGCCCACATCCTACGTAGAATACTGTCCATTAAATAACATCTTAGTTCCCTCTAGCGCCTCAATCCATAGTCTGGATCCGGCTCTATAGGACGTACATTAGATTGCATAAAGAAAAATTCGTATAATAATAATATATATAATAATACTAATGTGGTGCTTATATAGCGCCCTATACCAAAGGTGTCAAAGCGCTTTACAATTATTACCCCTGTTCATCAGGCCATGAGACCCCTTTTACAGCAGCTCAATATCAGCGCATATGGCCCGTACCTTTGCAGGTACCCATTTACATCTGGGTGGAGAGTGTAGAGAAGCAATGCGTGACAATGTGCCTTGCCCAAGGGCACACGCACCATAACCCCAGGCTGGACTCGAACCCACAACCCGCAGCTTTACCTGCAGACCACGAATCCAATGCCCTTAACCAGGAGGCCACAGCACTCCACAAACAATTTAACGAAACAATTTTTGTCTTCTATGATATAGTACATGGGCTTTGATAAGCCCTCGAAGCAAATGGCACTTTTGGCTTCCCCTTGGGTGCCATTTGCACCCCTTGGGCATACAAAATGTCATGGCCGCTGACATCACATCAGACAACTGTAGAATGCTCTTGGGTCTTTATAATTTGTATATATCTCACCTTCTTTGGATGTATACTCTGTGCAAGTGACAGAAAGCTGAGCAAACTAGCAAGGAGGGCCCATGAGAAGTGCTGACACGGCCGACTACTGCCTTCACACAGTCTGTACAATGCATCACATACCTCACGCCTGACATAAACCTTTGGCAACAATTGACAAAAGAGACATATTTGTGTCTTATCATGGAATAAATAATATATTACAAGAAGAAAAATTATATATGAAAAGTAAACCATAATGAACTTAGATGAAAATAAATTTTGCTTGAAAAGGAAAGGTTATAGAATAGTATCTTCTTTGCAGTATGTTTATAAAGCTTGAATATTAAATTGTGGTTTCAAAATTACTTTTTCTTTTCTGTGCAAAAGTCATTAGCTTGTATCTGAGTATTTAAAGGAATCCATTCTAAGTTTACGATTATTTCCAGAAAAAAGGAGAAAAAGTTTATTAATACCAAACATGTGCCAGTATTTGCTGCGTGTGCACATGCCCTTACTGCCAGGGTAGGTCCAGGAAAAAAGTTATATTGACAAATTTTTAGAAATCCATATTCATGTAAACGCATCTGTCCCGCCATATTTTGAGGACATTTCTGTAGGAAATACAGAAACTCCATACTGGCTGGCAGGTCTGCAAATCACGTCTCATTACATGTACATTTTGTACATAATCACACATAATCCAATATGCTTACCTCACTGGTTTGAAGAACAAGTCTTTGAAGCCACTTGTCAAAGAGTTTGTTCTGGCAAAGTGCTACCCTGACTTCTGGGTCACTGTATGCCCAGGAAACTAGCAGCTTCAATGCACAGTGAATGACTGTATAAAAAGAAATAGTACGCAAAATGTATAAACTCAAAACAACAAAAACCATGAAACTTTTTTCTTAAAAATAGTTGAAACACAAATCGGAAAGATTGAATAAATCTTATTTTCTCTTGAAAATAACATGGACTTCTGCAGCTATGGAAACCCTGCAGATGTTAATCCTGCAGATGTTTGACTGCAGTGTAAGGTCAAACTTTCTTTTCTGCTATAGTTTTTACAACCTTTGATATTTAAATCCTGAAACCAATACTTCAATTTTCATTTTTTTTTACAAGGAATGCAAATCTGTATTTTTCTGACTTTGTGACCTTGACCTTACTGCTGCAGCAAAACATGGCACTTCCAAACCAAATCAACTCAAACGTAACCAACTTCAGTTGTTCAGTTTGGCATGTTTGGCAAAAGCTAAATTATAATGGAACGTAAATATCGTTTGCCTGATTTCAGTTCAGATACACAACGTATTGGGTGATTTGGATATCTGATCTCTCGTTTGTTTTATGGCGAGAATGACTGGCATGGATTGGTGACTGACAGTAGGATTTACTATTAGGTGCCATTTTGTTCAATAAATTATAACTGAATTTCCGTACATACTTAATGAAGACATGCAACACAATTCAGACAGGGTCAGCGGTATGAAAAGTTGGGTTTTTCTTGGGTCGGGAATGAGAGCCAAAGATAAAAGAGGGATGCCCTTACAAAGTGAAGTTTGTTTAATATTGTTCCTGCTTACCCCAGTAACCAGCTCGAACCTTGACTGTGTCTGATGGAACAGCTGCTTCATACAACACAGTGATTAGTCTGTCTAACACTCCCTCTCCAGACATCAACTCCAAGAGTTGCTATACAGAGAAATTCAACACACTGTATTTTTCAATTGCATAGTTAATATTGGACATATTTCTCAATACACAACCATAAAGCATAAAACAAATATTCACTGATCAGTCATAAGTTGAAGCCAAAGCTTAGTTACATATGACATGGCAACGATGTAACAATGCTTTTTACTAGACTGCAGAAAGTATAAGTAGTCAGCCAACAAATACTGAATTTCCCCACACTTCAAAATTACCAATTTTGAACAAAAAAAAGATGAAAGCAGAAATTGTTGTCCTGATTCAGAGACCACGTTTGCTACTGGCTGGATTTAAACACTTCTCAGAGTGGTTTATTTACCACCCACACAAAAGGCTTTCACAAATACGAACTGTAAAATGTCCCAGGTATTAGCAAATTGAATTTTTTTGGGGTAACAAACACTGAATTAAAAAAAAAATCACTAACTCATCTACCAATATATTTTTCAGATGACCACACTCTTGAAAACAACTTAAGCTGGATGGCTTAAAGTTATGTTCAAAACATGCAAAAATTAAAAAGTAGGTATGTGTCATAACAATTTGTATAGGTTATTCCAAATGCAAATCTGAATAGGCAATAAATAAGGGCACAGGATATATGACCAACTTACCTTGGATACTTTAGTTGTGATTCCTCCTACTTCAGTGCTGTTGTGTTTTGTTCTGCGAGGGCATTTGCTGGTTACCTCCTCACTGGAGGAATGAGCTTCAAACACATCATCTTGCCCTTGGTCTAAGGCAGCCTGCTCGATGGCAAACTCATTGATCAGCTTTAGGATGCACGCCAAGCAGTCTTGTTGCCACTGTTAAGAGACAAATTGAAATTAGTTAAAGGGACTGTCAACATACTTGTCCACCTTTTTAATGTATTACAGAGAGTAGCCCCTTTTTAGGGCCATGCTTTTCTAAATAATAATCATCATCTCATAGTCAGTTCAACCTTGTTTGCAAAATAACTTACATGTTGCAATGAGCAGTGCACAAGTTTATGGTCAGAAATGAGACATTTTCTGACTAGAGTCGTAGTCAAGTCCAAACAAGCCCATCAGAAGTTCTCAAGTCTAGTGTGCCAAGCCATTCATGTCAACTGACACAATGTCTTTCCTGTTACTTGTACATGAGATTTGAAGGTTTGAATGGTGAAAGGGTAGTAATGAGATAAGTTGTTCTGTGGTTCTGAAAAGAATCGGAGGGTACTCAATGTTTCGGACAGTATGCTCTGCCCGTCGTCAGGGGACTGAGGGATTCCAACGGTGACCTTGTAACCTTGCATGTGATTTGACCTGTGATGGACTTTTGTCAGCCGACACAGCTCTTGTTTTCATCGGTCTTATAAGACCGAACGAAAATATTGGAAAGCTCATAACTAATGTAATGCTAGAAAATTATCAATTCAATTTGAAAATCCATTTTTCAGGGTGCCACACCCAAAAAGCATGTATATATCAGCTTTAAAAACAAACTCAATTAATTTCATCTACATGTAGTCAACCTCATTGATACAAGGTACATAAATAGTGAAGACACTTTAAAGGTGCATGGCTTGGTTGATATGGTCGAGATACGTTGTGTGTGGATATGAATGAAAAACGAGTTAGTTATGGTATATGGAATACCAAAAACTAGTAGCGCAGTTCTCCCTGGGCATGCGTATTTCATAAAAAAGCTTTAAATTAAAAAAAGACAGCACTGATCTTTATGAAACTTATAGAAAGAATGTTTGATTGAAAGTCCTTCATACAAGGTGGAGAACATCTTAATCTAGATGTTTATGGAGAAAAGTTAGGTAATTATGCAAAATCTACATGTAAGTTAGTCAATGCTTATGAAGTGGGGGGTTTGAATGTGTTAACAACATCTTATAATTTATAATTAAGTAGAATCAGTTGATTTAAATTATTAAAATGACCCTCAATCAATTTCTTTTGCCACAATTAAGATTTTTACCAAAAAGAAGGTGATTTAAATCAATGATTAAAAACAAAATCAGTTGATTTAAATCGCGATTTAAATCAGTGATTTATCAGCCAACCCTGCGTCACATTAAAGGTGCGTCACATTAAAGGTGCATTTTTTTAAAGGCCTATATATGTATCTATATAAATATAGATCTTATTTAGTTGTAACTTGGTGTATATACCTAGACCGGGGTGTCTTATTATACATGAAATTTGAAATGATTTCATAGGATGTTCTATTTGGTTGTAATTTGGTAGGTACCTAGACCGGCATGCATTATGGATGAAAATTGAAGTGATGTTATGATAACTACATCACATGTCATGTGAGGCACAGTAAAGATGCAATTTTAAATGCATATATCTACAGAACTATGTCCAATTTGGTTGCAACTTGGTATGTACCCAGACAAGAATGCATTATATATATTTGGGGTAACGTCATCATGACTTCTTTATGGTTGTGCGATTCCAGCATTTTTTTAAATCAATTCAGATTCTGTCTAGGAATTGCGATTCCATTCGGAATTGATTTCACATTTTGCAAATGCATTGCATGGAGGACGGTAATTTAGATGTGACTCAAACAAGACTTAAAGTGGTTTGAAAAAAAATGTCGAAAACAGCTGTGCTTGTCCACAGGGCAAACACACTTCTAGTTTCAACATGAATTTGGGCTCAACAAATACATTGTTATTATTATTATTATATTATTTCCAATCAAAAACTATGTTCTAAAATGTAACTTTTATCAGCCTATATGTTTTCAAACAAGGTTGAACATTATCGCCATCTTTTTTTCATGTCTTGTCAATGTAGTCATCGTTTGACCCAAAATTTGCAGCTTAGAGAAACGAGACAGAACATGGCTCAGAGGCTGACAGACTACAGGGCACTGCTGAACAGAAACATGTTATTTATAAACAGCACCTGCGCAAGTCCAATCATATCTATCCCTCAGGATTACCTATAATCGACATCAATGTGAGAGAAACTTACTAGATTCCAGTGCTGACCACTCCTGGCTTCAAGGTTTCCAGACATGAAGATATTAAAAAGGTGTCTTAGTCCTCCACTCTCTACAAACTGTAATGAACACATGAAATGAAAAGTGAATGATATAGATGCGCTATCTACTTTCTGTCAATTTGCTGTCAACAAAAAGAGCACCTTGGCTACCTTGATTCATTGATTATACATTTTAATCTAAATTCATAAGATTCTATAAAAAATATATTAAAAAAATAAATGATCGGTAGGTCAGAACAAAACTGTTTCTCCAACTTTGCTTGTATTAATTAAAACAAACCATGATTGAATTTTATCATCTTGATTTCAATTTGACAGGCAAATTACGAGTGTGGCCAGTGTGCCAAAACAGTGAACATGCACACTGACTGAAAGACTGAAAGTATGGAGTGAAAACGCTGGCACAAAAAAAAAGAACACGCTTAAGAACCTAGATTAGTGAGTGATAGACACAACCCATACATGCTCACACATGACAAAAACAATGTATTCTTGGCATTTTAGACGCTTATGGTTCAAGAGATCACATGCTACATAAAACATGACATTCCCCCATAGGTTTCATAGGTTACTTCAACTATAACTAAATAACACATAGTTATTTATTTTATTATAAGGGAACAGTGTTCTAGCCAGGGTGAAATTATAGCATAGGGGTAATTTTGGTTCGGCGACAAATGCGAGCGCGGAGCGCAAAGCCCTTACGGCGTGGGGTCGGGGATTCTATATGCTCTGTGGTGCAATCTGAGGCGATTCCCTGCCACTTTCCCCTGATTTTTTTTTAACAGAAGTGTTTAAAATTATAAGAAATTTTGTTTTATTTGTTTCAATGATTGATACTCTTGCTCCTGTAAAGTTTCTTCTGTTTTCAAATTTAAGATTATGTTTTTTACAATGTATAAATTGTTCCAAGATCGATGCTTTTTGATGTTTAACCATTTTTAGTAGTCCCTCAATGTTTTATAAAAAATTGGGATTTACTTTGTCAATATTAAGTGTGAGAACAAATCGCATGAACATTTCATATTTCAAGAAGCCTTGTGTTGTGTAGCGCTGCCGTAGTAGCAGTAGTTCCGATTTTAAATTTGTAAATAAAACCATCCGATCATGCCGATCGGCAGGGAGAGAAATTGTAAAACCATGGAGGTCTCAGACAGAAAAAGTCGTCGGCGATTGCAATTTCAATATGCTACAACACAATGTGAAGGAGAAATCTCATTTTTGTTATGTTAAAAAATATAATTGTAGATAATGACGATGAGAAATAATCACCGGGAATTGCTTCCTATCCCGGCCGCGGCCGGCCCCGGCCGGCCCGGCGTGCGGGCGCGGCGCGGGCCAGCCCACGACGGCTACGCCGGCGAACTACGCGACCAAATTTTCCCTCAGCATTTGAGAAAGCAACGCATTCGTGGAGCGCTAAAAAACTTGCTTTGTTGCAATACTTGCTGATTGGTTTTGTCCTAAGAACAAACAGATCCGTTTTTACTACCAAACTTATTGAACTGTTATTATCAGCAACGAGTAGTGTAGTCAAAAATCCAAATTTTCGACAGCGACATTCTTCGAGAAGAATTCTTCACATGCGGCCATCTTTGTGGACGGATCCATTGACATCGTAGGGGTGCTTAACCTTTCTTTGGACATCGTTTCTCGAATAAATCCTTTACGAAAATTATGTTCTGACGTTGAAGAACTTATTTACAAACAGTAACATGTTTCGGACTTGATAAAAAGTATTATTTATAATTTTAAAACTGTTGAAATGCTTGTAAATATTGACCTTAGGAAAGCACACCCGATAGCGCAAAATGGTGTGGTCCACAGAGCGCTCTGTACGTGAGTCATGTTGGTGACACGTACGTCCGTACGGAGTGCTGTATCTACGCAGCACAAAACAGCACGTGCTTATTGCTATCATAGCAAATGCGTGTGGCGCAGCATCACGGTAGGGGTATCGTACGGGCTACGTGCGGTGGGATCGTTGTTTATTTTTCGCTGTGCCGTACAGCCAGTGCGCAATGCTCAAAGTCGCTGCGCTTGTATACGAACAAACGGCAGATATATTTTTTTCGCAACCAAAATTTATAGCGTAGCGGTAGCGTACCGGTGCGATTTAAGCGTAGCGCTAATTTCCGAAAGCGTAGCGGGTGCTAGCGCTATTTGATGCCTGGCTAGAACACTGTAAGGGAATATGATTTACCATAGTATTCCATGACTCTTTCCCGTCATCTAATCCAACAGTGGAAAGACCAGACTCACTTTGGCTTGGCTTGATTCCCTGGAATGATGTCATTTCAAAATAGTTTTACAAAAATTTGGAAGGAAGAATGCTGCTCATTTCAGCAGTATATTGCTATGAACATCAAAAGTTGGATTTGCAAAGATTAGAAATTGGGTGAGTGCAGAGGTCTTAGATTTTTACAAAGTAAAATTGCAATTCATGTGAACAATTTTATCCCAAGTTTTATAACAAAACTAGAACGGCGAAGCCGCCATGGCTCGCTGTCGAAGGCGGAAAGGGAGGCTGAAGGTAGGGTTGGGGATGAGCATGATGGGGATCAGGATTCTCGTTGATGTGCCAGGGTGTGGGGGTCAGTTTTTAAATGCCAACATAAAAAGTCAACAGATGACCTAATAAATACTGTAGGTTAGCTGTCACTGCGTTATGGGGAAGTTTTCCATTGTAAGGGTAATTAGGACCCAGTTGTGGAGCCTTTTTGCAGCCCCCCCAGTGTCCTCTGGTCCCCATACATGTATTACCATGGGAGAACTCTTGTGTAGTCCCCTCAAATGCAGAACAAGAATGGGTATACATGTAAATGTAGACACAGCACCATCACCACATGCCCCAAACCTTACCCCATACCCGCCCCACCCCAACCCACACCCATCCCATCCCCACCCCATCTCCTACACATCCCAACCCCACCCAAACTCTAATCCCTATCTCCTTCCCCCTCCCCTGACCCAACCCCCTACACCCACCTACCCTATCCTCCCCCTACCCACCCTCACACATCCCCACCCTAACCCCTACTCCAATCCCTATATCCCGCCCACCCCATCCCCCTACCCAACCCGACCCATACATCCCCACCCGACCCCAACCCCTATATCCTGCCCCCTCCCCCACCCTCCCCTTATCCAACACCTACACCCACCTACGCGTCCCCACCCACCCACATCCCCACCCCAACCCCTACTCAAATCCCTATATCCCGCCCCCTCCTAAACCAACCCCTACACCCACCTACCCCATCCCCCCACCTGTCCCCACCCCACCCCTACTCATTCCCTATCCCACACAAACTCAACACCTACACCCACCTACACGTCCCCACCCACCCACATCCCCACCCCAACCCCTACTCCCTATATCCCGCCCCCTCCCCCTCCTAAACCAACCCCTACACCCACCTACCCCATCCTCCCCCTACCTGTCCCCACCCCACCCCTACTCATTCCCTACCCCACACAAACCCCTGCCCATCAACCCAAATCCCAACTCCAACCCCTATCCCCCACCCCACCCATCCCTACTCCAACCCCATAAAAATAAAAGATCAAACCAGAAGTTCATGCACATCCCCAAAATGCATAGCATACATGTTATACCATTATACATACATGTACATGTTTTACCGGTATACATGTACATGTAACAATTAAAAACTTTAACATTTCCTTGAATTGAAATTCCTCAATAAAATCACAAAATTCACTGCAATGATGATAGAACCAAAAACTTCAACATTTTTATCTGAACGCGGACGGCCGGACAGACGGACATCCCAGCCAGATGGACTTGCGGGGTACCTCCATTGTTTTCCCATTGTCCCTATTTTTAAAGATTTCGTTGCGGGGTACCCTTTTTTCTAAAGATTTTATTTGCTGGGTACCTCGAACAAAGGATGGGTACCCCACATGTGATCCACGGACGGACAGACGCCGGACGTCCGCCCGTACAGACGGAAGGAAATTGGTATTACATAGGCTTGCATCTGCTTCGCAGCTCGCCAATAAATCACAACACAAGTTATCACGTTGAAACCATGTTGTGAAATTGTGAAACATAACTGGTTATACAGAAAAGTATGTAAAGTTTAAGTTATAAAACTTTTGCCAACATTTGGGATCTCTTCCAGAACGTTATTCTTGAAAATGTTAATTCCTTTCATATTAATATTTTATTTCTAGTAATAAAGCATTAAGACGGGATATGAGTGAACACTGAAAGGGCGATAAGGCAAAACAAAAAATAGTCCTGCTCCCAGTTTCCCTACCTACCCTATTCTGACAGCCCCTACCCTAATTTTTTTTATGAGCAAAATTAGAAAAAAAAACACCCAAACCATCAATTACTACCTTTTACCCTTGACTACACGCAAATGCCTCCATATGATCGTACACAAAAAATTAGCCCCCAAAAATTCCCTACCTACGTACCCTATTTTTAAATGCCATGTAATCGGAAGCATTACATTTTTTTTGCCTAGTATATATAATGTTCCATCTTATGTGCAAGCACTCACCTTAAGATCCATTGTGCCCAATTCTGATGAACTTGTCATAGGACTGTGATCTCCTCTATTGACACACGCCTGGGGGAAAATAAAATGTACAAATTGTTAACAAAAGGCAAGAAGCCATTTACACTACGTAGACTGAGATAAGCTTCCAAAGTTTGGTCCATGTCAAAAATGTATATTTTGAATGGTTTCATTTTGTTCTGTTTTACCCCTCATACATTTTTTTCTTTTTTTTTTACCCCAAATGTGCTTCTGTCATCAGTCAATGTTCTAACACATCCAAAAAGTCACCCAAAGACTGGAATTGACGCTTGTGGAACTGGAATCAGCTACTTTAAGGAATTAATTCCTCGAAAAAGTTGAATTGCGATTCCAATTCCAAGTTTACAATTGATTCTTATCGATTCCAGCATGGAATTGCCAAAGCATAATTTAAGAAATTGACTGAAACTGTACATGAATAATACAGTGACAAATATACACTCCAAATGGATACTCGTACTCACTAATTGATGAAATTAAGACATCATTTCGTGGTTCTTTGCCACAGCTTCAAGTATTAATTGCAAACTTATTTGCCAGATACCGAATTGGTTTGGGCAAGCTGGCATCAAGGACATCCGGCTAACAGGCACAAACATATCAACCACACAATCAATCAATTCCCAGGTCCAATGTACACGTGTACACATCAAGTACCATTTGGCACCCAGGCCAATCAATCATTAATGAATGGGCACCCAGGCCCAGGAGTAATCATGCCAGAACCAAATTATCTGGTCAACATTTTGGGGACAGCCATGGTTGTGCTATGGAAGATAAAGCACACCCAAACCCCATGGGTACATAAGAGAGAGTGGCTGACCCCTTACAAAGTTCACATCACAGTGTATTATAACACACATCAATATCAGTTACTATATCATGTATGTATTAGGAGTTGGCTGTCTTTGAATCCTGTTAAAGATTAAAGATGCCACTTCAGAAACCCGCAAGAGAACTAGGTAGGAGCTGGGTTGGTGGTGGGGAGACTTGTCCAGCTTGTTCAAACAAAAAGCTGTGACAGAATGAGATACACATGTACATTTTCCCACCTAAACTAACACAATGTTCAAAAAGCTGTGCCCTGATTGGTCCAAAGTTGCATTTGCATATAATTTAGTGCTTCATTTCTGCACCTGATTGGTTAAGACTCTTGGCTGTGATTGGTCCAAACCATGAAAATTAGGGCTAGAACCCTGCTCAGGATCCAAACTCAAGTTTGCATGTGTTTCAATGGCAACAGAGGGTACAATTTTAGTTTTCTAACAGAAACACTTACACCTCAAATTATGAAGCTCATGAGTCAATATAAATGGCCAAACAGGGCAGTGTAAATTGTAAAATAAACCAAATTAAAACCATGAGTAGCAGAGTCAAAATACATGCATTGTGACAAAATCTCTTTTTGAAGAAAAGATTTCATATTGATACTCAACTCACTATGCATTGGCTACTTTCACACTCTTTCCTTTATCTCAAACTACAATTATTCAAGTAAGAGTTCCTACCAGTGATTTTCCCCGTTTCTTCTTTGCTGGCTGGCCAAGTGATTCAACAATTTGAAGTGAGTACAGCAACTTGTGGGTGTTGCTTACATCTAGCAGCTCTGGCCAGTTGGCTGTAAAAGCTGTCTGAATACTACCAGGTTCGTCTTCAGCAGTTGATATTTTGTCAGTTTCAATATCTGTATGGTCATCTTCGGATGACATGGCTGAATCCTGTGGAATGAAACACACCAAACAGTGCTTCTTACTATTTTGAAATGTTCATTGCTATGTGAGCTAAGGCAATTAATGTAAGGTTTTGGGTTATAATGTGCTATGCTAATAGATGATACCAATATCAGGCTATAGTATTATTTGATTTCATCTGTGATTCAGAAAAACTATGAACCCGTAAATGAAGGAACATTTTGTTTTTCTCATAATTTGAAACTTTGTATAAGTATCAAAATGAATGAATCCTGCAACTCTCTCAGTATGGCAATTGAAGGGGTCATAAAGGTCCACTTTAATCATTCAAATTCAAATCCAAGCCTAAAATTGGTAACAGCTCATAGGACAGCACACATATGTCTGACAGCAAAAATCATTCAGAGGGTTTTAAAGGGAATATACAACATTTGCAAACATCGAAAAATAAAACTACCAAGTTTTTGCGAAATACCTTAATAGGATGTTGGTAAATGACAGTCTAAAGCATCCTGTAAAATTATGGCACCTGGTATACTGTCATTTTCAAGAAAAGTGGTATTTTTGTATCAATTTCCAACGCTGATCGGCCGATCAGCGTTGGAAACAACTGGCTTTTTTTCAAATACTGGCCCCAATTGACCATTGCACTTGTTTGCAATCGATTACAAACCCATGAACGGGTACGAGCCAGCTAGACTGGTTCCCTGACCTTACAATTCCCCAATGTATGTTAACTGCTCTGTTTCTTCTTATATGGAGTCAGGGAACCAGACTACAGGAAAATGATCGTTTTTCTTGGTTTTAGTAGCATTTTCAAACCCAAAACCTCCAAAAAGTCAGTGTAACTATATTTGCTTTATATTTCCAACCCCCCAATTCCATCCATATCTGAAAATTACAGCAAAAGCAAATGATGTATATTCCCTTTAAGTATATCTTTAGAGAAGGGTTGGGTATACAAGACTTTTAGGGCATTCTTCAAGCTGGTATTAAGACAATGGAAGCCTTTTCGTCAATGGGATAAGGCCATTTATTTGCAAAATGTATGATGAATCTAAACATAAGTTTCTGTTTTAGTATAACTTGCGACATCCGAAAATGGTTCTCTTAAGTGGCACAGCTGGTATTTGTGCCTTCCAGCTGAAAAACTGCACACTTTTTGAAGCTAATTTTGTAGAAAACCGATAAAATTATGTTTTGGGCCACTGCTGTCACAACAATGACTCAACCGTGATGTGCTTGAACTTTGCATAATCTTGATAGCATGGGTAAACAAGGAAAAACTTTGGTGGTCCCAATTTTATACGCATTCGTGGTCTCCGAGGGTAAATGTACATTGCTTTGAGGAAACCCCCAAAATCCAGTGACTTCACCCTATTTGGGGACACAAATGAGTTCAAAACTCCTTGTTATTTTTGAGATAATAGTTCCTTTTTAATTAAAAATACTGCATGGGACCACAAGCTTGGATTTGAGTGGTAGATGAGCTTTCTGTCTTGAAAATTTGGCGCTATAGCCGTTTTGCTAACCCTACCTCTAAATCACTCAAATCAGCTGTATGGGGGGGGGGGGGGCGGCATAGCAAACCTATTGTGCATTTTATGATAAAAGCGCCGAATTTGGCACAGATATATATAAACCAATATCATATAAACAAATGTGGATTTTGGGGCATCGCAGATATGGCCCTTGACGGAGTTGGGAGCCATCATTTAAAAAGTGTGAGTAATGCTGAGTCAGCACTATTTTATAATGTATTTTGTCTTACGGTATGCAGGACAAAAGATATGTTTCTGCCCCTTTGTACATGGTCAGATGCGAAAAAGTCATAAAAAACACATTTTCTTTCAATTACTCTTTGAAAAAAATCCTTTAAAATGCCTGCCAGCTGTAGGTAGGCTATACCTGTATCGCACTGTAGTGTAGAGTACAGATGTACATGTAGTAAATTTCGCTAATAAAGTTGAGAATTTAGGATCTGACTCACTGAAACCCCCCCCCCCCCCCCCCCCCCCACTGTTAACAAGAAATCACCATCGCTGTATTTTGACATACATGTCTATATATACACATATTTATGTTAAAGTTTACAAATATGACCTTGTAATCTTTCTTTGCCGAATCTGGCTACAGAAAGTGCATTTGAAAAGTGCAACTCAGCAATACTTGTGGCACAAATCAAATCAATATTTTGTTGGGCAAATCAATATTTATTTTGTCAAACCCTTGTCAAACCCTAGTGGAAGGTCTTAGACATTGCCAGGACGTCATTTTGGACAAGTCAGAACTTCAATTCCAAACTTTATTAGCGAAATTCACTTCATGTACCTGAATATACATGTACATGTATGTACTCTACAGTACAGTACAGCACTAACCAAACAACAGCTGGCAGGCATTTCTAAGAATTTTTTCAGAATTTGAAAGAAAATGCATTATATATGCCTTTATTGCATCCAAAGGACAATGAAAACGGCAGAAAAATATTTTGTCCTGCATACCGCAAGGGTACATGCATTACAAAAGAGTGATGACTCAGCATAACCCAGCACCATACATGTATATGATGGCTCCCATCGCCGTCAAGGGCTAGATCTGCGATGCCCCACAATCCACATATGTTTATATGATATTGATCTATCTGCGTGCCAAATTTGCTTTTATCATAAATGCACAATAGGTTTGCTATGCCGCCCCCATACAGCCGATTTGAGTGATTAAGGGGTAGGATTAGCAAAAACGGCAATAGCTAGTCAATCTTCCAGACAGAAAGCTCATCTGACACTCAAATCTAAGCTTATGGTCTCAGGCAGTTTTTTAATTACAAAGGAAGTGTGTATCTAAAAAATAAATATGACTTTTGAACTCATTTGTGTCCCCAAATAGGGTGAAGTCACAGGATTTGGGGGGTGTCCTCAAAGCAATACGCCCTCGAATACCACAAATGCCAATAAACTTGGGAACAACCTTTTTTTTTTTTTTTAATTCCCATTTTTTTCAGGCAGAGCCATTTTTGTGAGAGCAGTGGCCCAAAATGTGATTTTATCTTTTTTTCCACAAAATCAGTTTCAAAATTAAAGGTTTTTTTTTCCAGCTGGAAGGCGCAAACACCGGCTGTGCCACTTAACTCTTTCAGCGCCAAAGTCGTACATGTACGAGGTATATTTGTTAGTTCGAAATTGCCAACCTCGTACATGTACAAGGTAACGTTCGTACTTAAAATCGCCAAACCTCGTACAGGTAGAGTAAGCATGTTATCACAAGGGGGCGCTCTCGCTCTTTCTAATAATATCATTTTCATTCAGGTACGACCTGTATTTATTTGTTTCATTCGAGTTCTTGCGAGAGGGCGCAGCACTGACACTTGTATTTTCTGCAAAAAGTGCGAAATTCCCCTCTGTGCTGGACTGTGTTTCAGGGTGTATCACTATGTACGTGACTACTATTGACTTTCCAATGTACCAAGAATACCAGAGAGCAACAACAACAAATTTAGTGAGTAAAACTTATTTACTTTTTCTTTTACAGAATTTTGAACAATTAAAAAAAAACGTTCAAAGTTGGGCACTTTAGGGTTAAACTTTTCAAATTTCGCGGGCACTGAAGGAGTTAAGAGCACCATTTTCGGATGTCCCAAGTTATACTACAACAGAAAATAATATTAACATTAATAATAAAATTTTCCAAATAAGTGGCTTTATCCCAGGAACTATTTGGCAAGAGACATGTGCAAATGTATAGGTACAGCATGTATAAGAGAGTCACACTAGTGGACTTTGAATTCTGTTGGTGAACTTGATAAAAAACAAAAGCATGAATTGTGCACACACCCTGTTTCAGATTGGGGTTCCAGATTTGCACCAAACCAACTCATTCCTGAGATCTGATTGAAGTACATAAAGTGGAGTGCCGTGGCCTCGTGGTTAAGGGCATTGAATTCGTGGTCTGCGGGTAATTCTGCGGGTTGTGGGTTCGAGTCCAGCCAGGGGTTATGGTGCCTGTGCCGTTGGGCAAGGCACTTTGTCACTCATTGCTTCTCTCCACCCAGGAGTAAATGGGTACCTGTGAGGGCAGAGATGGTTATGTGATTGATTTAGCTTGCTTGCGCCTAACAGGCAGCATCGAGCTGTATACTCCCCAGGGAGCTGAGATGGTATTTGGAATGTTTAATTGGCCCAATGATCAGGGGTAATAATAATACTGTAAGCGCTGTTATTTAGTTTACTAATAAGGGCGTTCTTAAATGCCGATTATTATTTTTATTATTATTATAAAGTATTTGATATTTAGAAAAGATTTAAGTGACTGTTGAAAGATCAACTGTTGCAGTTATATACAGAGCATCATGATATCAGAGGAAAAGTCAATGCATAAGCTTTGCCTGTCTGAAACCAAAGTTTACTTGGTTTGACCTGAGTCGCTTCCAATAGTTTTGGGTGCAGCGTGACTCTGCGGGAATGCTAGGATGATATAGGTGTAACATAACTACTTGCTGGATATGTAAGATAACCGTTTTACTACAGTATGTCAGCAGAGAAGCAACGTACTTGGAGTGTACAGTTGTATTTTTGATATATAATACATATCCATACCATTGGTGCAGTTAGCACTTTGAATTTGTTTAGCATGTCTGGGCTGGTTGGAAGAAGCATAAGAAGATGCCAGACATTGCGAGATAACATCTGAGTCCTACCAAGCAGATCCTGGGCAGCCTCTCCAGCCTTCAAAGAAAGAAAGAAAACCTGCTTAAATTTGTATTGCTTTGGAGGTCATTTAATTTAAAACGAGTCAGTAAAGTATCTTACAGAGAACTGGATAAATATTTCTTTATTTTACGAGAAACACTTCCACAATTTCTAGTTTCCAAGATACAGCCCCATACGTTCACAACAAGGTGTCAATGTGTCCATGCAGCATGCATAAAATGCAAATCAAAATTAAACATCTCGTGCACATAAGGACACAAGAGGAGTCCAAAATGCCACCAATTTGCTGCTGTCAGTTTACATGTAAATATACACCACAAACAGACAAATCTTTGCCTTATTATTTGCAAGAAGTAATGATTGTAAATTCTGTATTTCTTTAATGTTAACTTACATAATTGTCTACCAGGAGTTCATTGAGTTGTTGTAGTAGGTGAAAGAGGCAGCTAAAGTGAGGCTCTTGCAGTAGTAACATCATGGGAAGCTTAGCCTGTGGTGGAGGGGGTAGGCAAGAGGCTGGCTGGTCCATACCATCTCGTTTCCTTTCCCGACGAATGGCACCAAAGGACACAAACACAAGCTAAAAGGGACCATGACAAAAGGCAAAAACAACATTTAAAAAGCACATTAACATATACCAGGGTTCGCCATTAACTTTTTTTTCACTAGCCAACCAGACTAGTGAACCAGACTCTTATCTTACCTTCAAGCCATTTCACTAGTCCGCAATACAATGTTTAGTTTTGTGCACCAGAATGTCATAAACAACAATGTGCATACATGTATAACTTTATCCTGAGGCAATCTTGTCAGTGTTTTCAACAAACATATCTAATAAAAGTGAATTAAAACAGACACAAACTGATTAACTTTATTAATAAATTAAATAAAAATATTTACTAGTAAATTAAATCAACCTTAAAAAAACAATTAATTATTTTTTCAGTTTTTTTTTTTTTTTTTTTTTTTGGTGATTAGAATAGATGTATTCACATCAAGTTTTCATTTTCGGTCCCATTTTCATTTGTGACACAAAAGCTATCAAAACTAGACCCTCAAAAAAAGTTTTTTCTGAATCGGGGAAAAAAATAACATTCAATGACCGTGGGGGACAGTACCGAGCGATGTCCGCGCGCATGAACCGCCATAAAAACCAGCACGGCCATGCATTATCGGCACAAAACCAGCGTTATGACCTCGAAATACATACAGAAAACAGAAAACGCAGACACAGAAAAGACGGATCAGTGTGAATTAGGTCGCATAAATCTTCTTTCTCCACTGATGTTTTCGTGACATTTCTACGATATAAAATTCAACGAGATTACATATGTAAGCCAGGGATTTTCAACGAGCGCCGTACATGCAGTACTGACTGTATCCCGACGCATTCATGCCTGGCTTACTGCCAGAGTAAATAGAGGGCGCTTTGGTGACATTCATAAATAGGTCAGATGGTATACTGGAGAATACGTACGGAGTCTGTGTCCTGTACTTTTTTTTATGCTTTTACGTATACAAAATGCAGTATCAGTCCATGTTCTTCTGCTAGTGATTTCGGCGCAAGATTTGGCAACGCAACAGCATGAAACAAGCTGAATGCGCGTAAGTGTCAGATTATTTTTATTTCTAAGACCGGCTTTCTAAAAAATGTGGAAATCCGCAGAAACGCGAAAAAGTTTCATGCCTTATCTCAATAATTTTCACTCGCCAGGCAGTTACTTGGAGAATGGTTTTGACTAGCCCGCCACTGTTTTTACTCGCATTTAGCGAGGCCGTACCCTGCATAAACACAAATACATCAAATGCTCCATTATTCAGTGAACAAAGTCTCAGATGGAAAGTCCAAAAGTGTCCCCAAAGTTTGCCTCAGGAAAATACAATGATCCTTGGATCAGCCAGGAGGCTATTTGATTGAATTATGAATGAAAGCAGTCAGTGGTACTATAGAGCAACATTCAATTAGAAAACATCTGGTGTAATTTCACGTTAAATTAATATTTAAAAAATCTTTAAGTTACACACATGAATCTGTTGACCATTGCTTGCAAATACGCAAGACAAGACGACAGTGCATTAATCATTTATTTTAAAAGTCACCAAAACTGAAAACATTGAACCCACGTTAATCTTAAAATTAAACTAGTAGTCCACTTTGTTTACCTGTAAATCTGAGAATGCCATTTCTTTAAGGCTTTTCTCATCAAGGTCAGGGGTCAATTCGTGACCTACAGATATCATACGAACAGGCCTCTGAGCCTGAATTGTTGACCCTGATAGGGCACCAGCCAAACCAGAGAATCCTGCAGTAGTAGCTGTATTGTCACTCTCCTCTTGTTGCTGTTGTTGCTGCTGCAACTGTTGTTGTTGGAACTGTTCACTGATGTGTGTGACTTCTGCCCTCAAATCAGCAACCAGGTCTGATGAACTGAGCTCTACCGTAAACTACAAGAGAATAACATATACTACAGCTACTCTTAATTTCAACATCACATCCACATTTGTGTTCATTTCTGTTCTATTTTTTGTACTTTAGAAACTTTTAAATGTAACCACAAATTTACAGAAGTTAAGTCTGAAATTTTGTTCTATATGACTTTTAGATATTCCATGCGTTCAAATCCATTTTTCTAGTTGTAAAATCTGACTGACCATATTATCCACTCCAAAAAATTTTGTTTTGGTTTTTAATAAATGCGTCATTTCTGCAGGGTAGTGTATAATGCTCTGCCACCTCATCCCTGTTGTTGTTATATACAGATCATTGATCTCTACAAGGAAAATGAATGTACCTTTTCTGTTCGGTTAGCCAACTGGCACACCACTCTCAGTGTTTGAGAGTGTCCTTCCAGTGGGTGCCTTTTGTGACTTGAGATACCTCGGCCTTGTAGCTGCCACTGACGAAGGTGATAGGCATACCTTTCAACAGCAAAATACATGTATGTACATAATATAAAGAGTTTCAGACTATGATCCAAGAACTTTACGATTCCTTCAGAACTTTTGTTACAGTGGTTTTGCTTTATGCAACTGGGCAGTAACCAAAAAGGAGCAAATTCCAAGGTTTACAAGACTTTATACAGTGTTTTTCAATTTTTAATGTCATAGGTGTGAAGTGAAAAACGAGGAAATCAGCTGATCCGAGGGCAAGTTGCTTGTTTAATGTGACAACTTTTGAACAAATATAGCTAAATGTCTTCATATTCTGGGCGTCTTTTTTCGTTATGACTTGGAACGACAATCTGATAGTCATGGCCTCCCTTATTAATTCTGTTGTTTTCATGTTTTTGAGTATACGATGATTGGCCAAGTTTTTAAGTAGGTGTACAAGTGCCTATAGGGTGTGTATGAAATATTTGCATAGTTGACCCCCGAGTCAGAAAAATCAGGAAAATAATGCACTCATTCTACATCTGACCATTATAGACTTTACATGTGAAGTTTTACTGTGTTCATGCTGGTGTGTACAACTTGGTTGCAAATCAAGGTAAATATGTGTGTGAAGTTACTAGCGTTTCATTGAGCATAACTGTGTAGCATGCATACTGCTATATTGTATTTTGTACGGTGATAGCTAACAAAGACTGCAGTTGTAAACTGGCTACTTCAGGTACAAAGTGGATATTATTTCCATGGCTTGTCTGTTCATTGCACAGAGTTGAATTTATTATTATTTTTAATTCATGTTTGACTAAGAGTTCCAGACAGGTATGGTGGAATACAATTTGTTTTGTAAATAAAACCACAGAAATGAAATAAGGAAGTCCTTAAATTAGAGAAATGGTGAAAACAAAACAATATTCACAACTTTCCAAAGCAGGTAAGGGACCATAAATTCCACCTCATTTTGTTGAAGTAGAATATGTTTAAGACCAATGTTTACATCTCAGTAGTTATCTTTCCATTAGAAGAATAATATGCAACCAATAACAGAAAATGAGTGCAATATAAAATGATATAAAAATACATTACCTTCATATTTTTGACTTCAATAATTTTTAAAAAATCATTCTAACATTCTTAAAATTCAACATTTTTGTTATTCAAGTTTCAAACATATCCACACTTGAGGTAACCCAAACATTTCTTTTGCAATAATGGTTTGTTCAAATTGCTCGCAATTTTTGTTTTTAAGTATCAATATAATTATGCATTTTGATCAGTAGTGATAAAATTGTCTGCAAGAACTACTATACCTTTTTCTGAAGGCTTCTAAGTGAGTCTTGAGAAGAGTGAGTCCCCTTTGAAGGACCAAGAGGCTCGAGTCTTGAGCACTGTCTAGTTTTGCTGAGGCTTGGGATAAACTCTCCATGCATCGCTTGATAAACTCCTCCTCCTTCTCTAGGGAACCATTTCCAGCTGCAGACCAGTCAGGTGCAGGAAATCAAGTAATTATTATGTGTTATGCATTGAAGCAACTCCTAAAGACCAAACACTTCAATCAATTTAGACAAAGTATCAGAGAAAAGAAGGCAGATCATAGCCATTCCTCGAAAAAACCATGACCACCTGACCTATGTGTCATTAAACCATTGCTATGACGTCACACTATTGTTAAAAGTGTGGATTCGGAACCACGAATCTGTTACGCTGGTCACAAAGTGTGGATTCGGAACGAAGAATCTTTAGTAAAGTGTGGATTCGGAATTATGAATCCACACTTTGAACACGTCAGACAATTGTTCTCTATAATGAGCATTAATAGGACCATCTGCGTGAAAATTTCCTTTCGATATTACCAATGCATCTTCCCTGTCAGATTCTCCGCCGTCACTGCAAAACCTACTTCGAGTCAGAAAGAAATCATCGTCTGAACTATCAATTTGTCAACGGAAGGAGCCGGGACAAATGTTGCAACCAGACGCCACTTTTTTTTCCATATACAGGCATGAGAATGGACTGAGAAAAAAAACCCTGAAAATATAATGTACCAATACGAAGCGCAGCGAGCGAAGCGTAGCTGTCGCAGCTCACGGCCGGGGGTCCAGGGGCCCGCCTTAGGAAGCTCCTGGGTTTTAGCAATTGGAAGGGCAATTGGAAGCCATTCTGGAGTACCAATTTTTATAGAAACTAAAAATGTAAGAATTTTTACTAATAAACTTCTATATTCAGTTTACTACTAGTACTAGGCCCTACATACATGTATTTCAATAGTACATGTACATGTATGCACTTTCAGCTTGAAAATGACAACCTCAACCAACTTCATGGCTCATACCAAGTTACAATATGTATTTGAATATACAAACATTTTGTTCTGTATCTCAATGATTCACCATCTCAATACATGAAATGCTGACTTTACAACCAGTTTGTGGTGGACAGCCATGTTTTATTTTCATTTCAAAAACAAAACCAGCCATCTCTCTTTCCTACCTTATCAGCTCTGCTTTTAACTCTCTGATTCCATTTCACTTGCAATTTGCCGTAAATATAACACTTAACATAATAGTACTGTAATTTTCGGAATATAAGCCGCGGCTTATATCCTCGACCCTTCATAATCTGCGCAGGTAACGCTTGCAACGCGCGCGCGTTGTCACACACAAATGGAATGCGAGTGCGGAGAAATAGGACCGCGTAGCTTTAGGCGGTCTGCCGATACGTTGATTTTGCCCATAAAAATGTTTTCTGCGGCTAGTTATACGCAGGGCGGCTTATACGCCGAGCCTTGAAGAATAAAAATAAGACATGTGTACTTAATGTACTGGTATAAGAAAAGAGGTGTTGCTGAAATGAATTATCAATTAAGAAAGTCATTAACACACCGGAACTCAAAAGGTATCAAGCGGTAAAATGTACGGTGAAAGCTGTCTTCGACGCTTGCCACTAATCGTACGTGATATGGAGGAATCCTCCATGGTGATAGTGCAGCTGCATGATGCATGTGCTTTCCCCAGCGGACCACACCATTTGTGGTAATGAAGGGGTGTACTTTCTTGGGAACAATAATTACCAATATTTCCGCTGTTAAAAAAAATTAAAAAGACGACTAATACTTTTTATGGTGTTCAAAACATTTCTTTATTAAGTAATCAGTTGTTCAACGTCACAATATATATTTTTTTTCTTGAAATGTATTCAAGAAACGATGTAAAACTTAAAACAGGGACTAAATCACCCCTTACAAAATTAATGGATTCGTCCCTATAAATGTCAACTTCGTTTCCTACGGCACTAGAGGTTCTTTGGTTTTGACTAATAATTTTTGAAGAAAGTTACGAAACTTGAATTTTTAACGTTAATACTCGCTAGAAATTACAAATATTTGATAGTTTTTGCATGGTTTTTGAGGTAAAAACAGACATGTTCATTCTTAAGACAAAACAAATCAGCATCTGTTGCCACGAAAGCAAAATTTGTAGCACTCCAGTCAGACAACCATAGCTGACTGATGATGTTGGGTGATCAAATACTTGGCTCTGATTGGTCAATACGCGCTATCTAACTGGATACGCTGAGCTAACTGGATCATCGGGGAACGCTCCCATGTCGTATTCATTTGTGAATGCAAATGAATAGAACATTGCAATGAAAGAGTCCCGGGCGCGATGAAAAAATATTTTTCTGACTTCTGAAGTTCCAAGCACTCGAAATAACTTCTAATTATGAGGAAAATTCCAGGTCCTGACTGGAAATACATGTGTGACCCCTCACCCCCCACCCAATTTTATTTCAAATTCACATTGAAATCGGAGACCACAAATTTTGATGAAAAAAAACGGAATTCCGTTTAAAAACGGAGAATTCTCATGCCTGCATATATCATCTCAATGAAGGGCATTTAATGCAAAAATGATGATAAGACATGAATCTGGGACTGAGAAATATTTCCAATTTTGTTAGGAAATGCTTTTTAAAAAATCTTGACTCTCCATAGACTTTGTACACAATCGCAGAAGTGGCGTCAGGTTGCAACATTTATCCCAAGTCTTTTCATCTCCACTCACTGTTAATGCCAATACTTCTTTTGACGCAATGGTTTAAGTCGAAGAATACACTCGCAAGTGTGGATTCTTAATTTACGAATTCACTCGGCGCTTCGCGCCTCGTGAATTCTTAAATTACGAATCCACACTTTCTCGTGTATTCTCCTTAACATAAATCTGTAACTACAGTGGAATAAACTAGTGCTTCAGACAACCACCGAAACCGAACCAAAATTCACCGATCATAGCACACTTCTGAACCAAACCGAACCAAACTGAATTGTTCACTTTGGATGTTTGGAAACATGGTTTTTAGTGCCACATATTCTTTATATGTGCAATCAACATAATCAAAATTTGCACCATAAAATCATCAAATTTTTCTACTAATCAGAAGAAAACAATATTTTAGGCTGTCAGTACGGACTTAAAATGAAAGGAAATTCATTGCAGTCATAAAGTGCATTGTACAATGGCCACATAATCCTTGTTCCGATCCATGCTGTGTCACCGTGTGGTGGATCATGGACTGAGCGGCCAGATGCACGCACTGCCAGCAATTTGGGAAATTAAGCTACAAATCCAAGTTTCAATACTTAGAATTAAATTATACGCACATAAAAAAGAAAACTTCCAGTTTTGTGAAATTACCAGTTGAAATCGTCAATGTCGTTGCCGAGTTAGCTGGTTCATGGTTGTTATACGATTTTTTTGCTGGGAACCAGTCTACAGGTATGTGCTAAGTAAGATTTTGGAGGCCAAACACTTGCAGTTGACGTCGCGTCGCAATAGAAATAAAATGGTTCGGAATGCTTCATGCGCCCTCACTCACCATCGATGTGAAAGATGAAATACGAAAGGGGCACTTTTTGATAGTTTTGGCGTCAAAATGTGTTGAGATTTCAAACTTTGCATTTCGAGCACATAAAAAATATTATTAAAATATTTTTATTTGCACTGTATAGCAGCGGCAGTTTGGCCTGGCCAGATTTATTTTGGCATGTTACTGCGTCCTACAAAGGGCTCCTAAAACAGGTATATTATTCATGAAGACGACTAATAGGTACTTGTATACTCCCACAGAAATTCGTTTCGACGTTTTAATTTGCTGCCAAACCCGAACTCGAACCCGAACCCAACCAATGTTCAAATGACCAGAACTGAACCGGAGAACTCACTTGCAGGACTAGAATCAACAAAGGATACTACAACATACCATTGATGTAGTAGGTGTTGATATACTTGATTGCAGACAGACTGACATCCGTGTTCTTGGCTCTTAATGCAATTTTCCAGAGATGATCGATGCCAGGCATCTACAAAAAAAAGAATCTTTTTTTTTAAGGAAAGGTAACATTTTATGTAAAGGGCCTGTCACACTGTCACGTTCTGGCATGAAGTTTGTACCGCGACCAAGAAAAATGACTAAAACGCGATGGGAACGCAGATGACGGTTTGGGGACTCATTGATACTATGTGAGGACTTCAGAGGAACTCCAAGGACTTCGCTCAACACCAAACTGCCACATTTGTTTTGAACATGCACAAAACAAACGCCGGGCCTTGGTGTTTTGACCAGAACACGGTAAGGACTCTGCGCAAACTCCATGCGAACGGCAGTGACGTACTGGCAACACGCAGGCCGATGGGAGTGACGTCGTGAGAACCCCACGGGCGTGCATGCATCATGACTGCACGTCTCCTCTGTCTCTCTTGCGTCTATGCCGTTCAAAATGTGAAGACCACTGGCTGCTGACGTCACATGTACGTTTTCAGGTCGCATCAAGCACGCGATAAGGACTCCACGAACGTCGTATGAACTTATTGGACGCCATGAGGACGCAGCGAGGACGCAGAGGACGCCGCGCAGACTTCTAATTGGTCTTCAATGGAACTAATAGAGAACGCCGCAAGGACGCTATAGAACGCCACACGGACGTCTTAGACTTTCGGTGGACTTCAAAAAGACGCATTGCAAGCCACTGGCGCCATGAATCCTGCGTCTTCATGGCGTTTTGTTACATTTTTAAGAATTTTAACAATGCAATATGAACACCATGCATGGACGTGACAGTGTGACAGGGCCTTAAACAAATTCAAAATTCGACAGCATGAAAATCTGCTTATGTTTCCCTATGCATATTTGGTATTTTTATAATCTTAAGAGTCAACATATTACAAGTCTGGCAGAGCTTAAAGCCCGAGTCCATCATTTGCAGCTATCCAAAAAAGTAACTGGCGTAATTATTGTTGAAAAACGTACTGGTTGAAAAATAGTAAGGGGACTAAACTCCCTGTGAAATTATCCTTTCTGGCAAGCTCTCATTTTGAAGAAATCAACGAAAGAAGGCATTTCCAACGGTGCGTCTTAAGAAGCACTGTAGGAAAATTTAAATTAGTAGTTCGTTTTGTTATTCGGCGCAGCGCGCACAAGCATTGGAACGACGCACAGGCGCGCGCGGTTGCTATAATTCGTCGGATCAGTGCGCGACATTGCGTAAAGCTGCAATTCAAAACAATTCGAAACATGATTTAGCAAATTTTGATTTGAAATTGAGATCCTAGAATGCTGTTTTTCTCGGAATATAAAGCTGAAGCTGAGCTGAAACTTCATCAAGTAAGTTGTTCGGTATCCTTCATTAGATTTTGAACACTTTTGTTGCTTCAAACGAACAAAATGCACTAATTACAAATGATGGACTATAGATTTAAATTGGGCACGTACTTCCACAATAGTTCTGGCTTAATACCAGATTACTGAACAACTGAAAATATTAAAAACTGCATGTATAATACAACAGAGAAAGTAGACCCATATACAATTCATATTCAGCCTACAGACTTAACAAAGAGCAGCCTGACAGAGGAATACACGTATACAAACAGTACCTCTACAGGTGGGCTATCATAGGATGATGAGCTGGCTAGTCTGGCTAAGCTACACAGCTGCTGGAACAGATTCAACCCTGTCATACTGATACTTTCTGGTTCTAGCTGAGGCATCTGTACAAAACATGATACAAACATGAAGTCTGATATTATGTAGGTATACTATTATAACTACATTTATTGAATGTTAACTATACCATCAGATACAACAATCTTGCTCATAAAATGTGTGTGAAGCATAAGGTTTCATACCACAACATGATCGTATCTTAGCGAAGGCAACCAAATGGATCATTTCAATAGTCCTCATTTCACCACTCAACCATACCTTGTTGAAGAATATATGTTTGAAGGTTTCCAAGCCCAATGCATGCTGGTCCTTGTTGCCGGCCTGGTTCAGAAACCAACTCAAAGCTTCATCACCACATTCTGTGTCCGTGGCCAGACATGTCCAGAGTGTGTCAACTTGGTCCAGCGTTAATCCTTTCAAGTAATATACATTCAGCATTAAATTTTTCATCTTAAACTTAACTGTATCTCACCCTTTGAAGTACACAAATTCAAAAATACATGATGTATCAAAAGCTGGTGATAGTACTTGCTGGATGAAACCTTTGGCTTCAAGACATTTGCATGTTGTGTGCTTAGAAATATTTGCACCTGCAACCTACCTACCTACCACAACACAAAAGTAGCAAAACTGCAAGGTAACAGATGCTAACTTTACTTGAGAAGGGTCATAAGTAAAATTCATTTTGACCCATCTCTAAGTGATTTCTCATCATTTTGTTCTTGAGGAATACCAAGATAAGATTCCAACATGAATGTTTCTTGGGGTGATTACGGTTAGAAATCATTGTCAAAAATTATAGCAAGACAAAAGCCAATCTAGTGTAAAATGCCAATAGGTTGGCCGAGCAAGGGGTCCAGAAGCTCGCAGCATGACCTTTTACTCTCAGGCTGTATTGTGGAGTGTGTGCATGAAGCGACATCACATCAAAGGGCCCTCATTTGTCAGGAACAGCATAGGACATCTCAAGTGTTGAAAACAATTGCACTTACCAAAATAATACACCAAAAACTTGGGGTCTTATTATTTTCATACAGTTCAGAGGAATGTATATTTGTACAAAATATGTGTCAGTGTGAAATTCATTTCATGGGCCTTTCAAAAGAAGGGATGCACTTTAATCTTGACACTATGCAATATAAACACAAATATCAGAAGTAGATTATTATCAAAGGAATATATTTAAGAACATTCACATTATGGAAAATTTTGCACAGAGTGCAATTTTGACACAACTATGATAGCCTGGTGAGGAGAAAATGAAGTCGAGGGAATATCAAGCTGAATCATTTATATCTCCAAGCCAAACAGCCTGACAAGCATGTAACACAATAGAAATCAATGTATCACCGGAAACTACAGCTTAAAGATTGAATCAAAGTTGCACTTTAACAGACTACAACATTCTTGGCATATTTGTTAATAAAGTTGGTCACTTACTGAAATGATCTGGTGAGCCCAAAGTTGTAAATACACAAGTCAGGAATTGCAGTCTTGCCTGAACCTCTGCTGTATGAGTATACCTAGTGAATAAGTAACATTCCTAACCAATAAGACATTTGATTTTGGTAGTTTGAATGTGTGAAAGTTTGACATTAATTAAATCACTTTCTAAATATAGAGAATACACACAGTGTGTCTTTTTTTTTTTATTCTAACTAGGACTGTGGTTTTCTACCAATAAACAGTTGAATAAATAAAAAGAAAAAATTACACTGATATTCAACAGTTGTAAATTAGTCCTATATATTTCTTTGTCACAAGGATGACTCTTGTCATTACAGTTAAAGCTAGTAGTGGGGCAGATAGGGGAGATATTTGGGGGAATTGTGCCTTTGATGATACAATCATGGAATTTTGCACACAGTCTTAGTTTGTCTTAAATCCAGAGTCCATCATTTGCAGCCATCCAAAAAGTAACTTGCGTAATTATTGTCGAAAAATGCAGCTGAAGCTGAGCTGAAACTTTATCAGATTGGTTGTTCAGCATCCTTCTTCAGATATTGAGCACTTTTGTTGCTTTAAACGAACAAAATGCACAAATTACAAATGATGGACTATACCTTTAAGAAAGATATTTGGCTATAGGGCCATCACACATTTCTCCTTTGAAAAACTATAGGTAGAATAACAGGAAATTTTCAAAATGGTTACCATTGCTTGTTATTCTACCTATATATTTTTCAAAAGACAAATCTGCGATGGCCCTACAGCCAAATATCTTTCTCATGACATACTCTGACTGTGTGCCAAAATGCCATGCTTGTCTCATCAAAGGCACAATCCCATCACCTATCTGCCATACTATAAGCTTTGCCACAGCTTCAGGCAATATTTCCAGTAAGTATTCATTACTATGTCAAAAACTTATTGATGAAATACAGAAATAGATATTTAAGAGCAATTTTCATACACACACAAAAGCAGCATTCTGTTGGATAATACTCACAGAGTTCTTTCCTGTTGAACACAGCTCCTAACCTGACTGGTGTAATGGACGAGATTATTAAAAAACAGGTCCATCATATGAAGCTCTTCCTCTGCCCACCTACAACGTTCAAAACAAGACCATGCTTACTCAAACATACCAATTCTGTGGCACACATCAAATATTTAACTAGAAAGCACTCAGAGAGCACAAACCTCCGCCAAGGCTAAATAATTCAATGCCATATTGTCAGTACACCAAAATATTATACTTGCATAAATGGTGAAGAATCCTTTAAAAAAAATCCTGGATCCAGACCCAGATCCAGATAACTTCCAAAATCTAATCGATTTGTACTTGTACCAAGGACCATCCCCTAAAAAAAATTTCATGCAAATCCGTTCATAACTTTTTGAGTTATCTTGGTAACAGAAAACCAATGCCGATGAAAATATAACCTCCTTGGTGGAGGTAATAATCATGTTAACAAAAAGGACCTAAGGCCAAACAAAAAAAATGGTGTGTTTACGGTAACGGCCTGAAAAAAAATCCAGGTAGGTAGATAGGGAAACAATTTTATTTTGTAATTTTTTTTTCCATTTCAGTTCTGCATGCCCATGCGTGTTCTTTCGCAAAAAAATTGTATAAAACCACTATTCAAGCATTGAAGATATTCAATCAGTACATTTCAATCCAAATTAATTTGTATCGTCGGCCAGGGTTCTCCCCAGGATTTTTTCAAACATGTGGGGGAAGATTTGGTGTGATTCAACAACCCGAAAATGTTTGAACTTTAGAAGCTCTCTGGTGCATTTTAGAGCAAATCTGGGGGTCTTTATCTTAAGATTTGTCCTTGAAATTCAGAGGAGATCTTGTAGGTCACTAATATTTTTGTAATTAAAGAAAAAAAAATCAAAATTATTAATTTAAAAAAATTAACATTTCACAACCTGTGTTTCATTGCTTCCTAAATTAAGGTGGAGAAAAAAACAACTTTTGCTTCCGATTACATGCCTTTCAAAATAGCGTCAGTAGGTCGAAAAATTATTTCGCCAATTTTTTGAGGGTGCTGATTAATGGAGCATCATTCGTACTAATCATAGAGCAAGGAATCATGTTTATTTTGTGCCTGGACTATTTTCATTTGTGCCACGAAAGTTATCAAGACTGGCTATCAAAAGTGATTAAAACTTGCCTCACCTAATTAAAAATATATTTGAGGTCGGTGATTCCACTTTATGCTTAACATACATCACGGCAGCTGGCACCACCAACATTCCGCCTGGCTGGCCGAACATTGCGCAGTGCTCACGGCCCACGTGGCCGAAAATCTTGCACTACTGCAGAAACACGCTACAATGTTTCGCCACAAGTTCGAGCTTTGCAATCTCGTCATTTTAATGGAAAACACATACACAGAAAGTAAAGATCACGTTCTGTGAATTAATTCGCAGAAATTCTCTTTCTCCAGCAATGTTTGTTTGGTAATATTTTTACGATCCAACTTCGGCCCACTACATTATCATGCTGTATGATACGAAGTATGGACCGGAGAGAGGCAGTAGTCACTGGTTCCGGTCCTTCATCATAGCATTGATTCCGTTAGCTGGCGAAGGGAACCAGTGTACCATGCTGTATGTTAGCTGGGTGCTGCTGGTGGTCGGCAGAACACATCATCGTGTGCATTTTGATCACACATGCATCGGAAAAACAGGATTTTGGTCAAGATTTTGAAATAATGGCGTATGTAACGATCAAATTGTGCATTTTAATGGCGTGTATGATCATTATATTGTGCGTATCAGGGGCTAAAAAATGTGATCGGCATTTTTTTGTCGGCGTATCGGGCCGGCCGCAATTCCAGCGTATCGGGCCGATACGCAGTACGCACGTTTGTACGTGGGGAGAACCATGCCGTCTGTCGGCCAGCCAATAGTACCCCGATGCGTTTGTGCAAAAATAATCGTACTTCGTAGTTTGAGAATTCAAGTTTTGAGATCGTCGCGATTTTCGCACGTTTAACACAGGTATGTTTGTGTCAAATCATGGTCAGATTCAAGTGTGGAAAATGTTTTTTGTTCGTGGCAAATAATTAAAAGTACTTGAAATGTTTGAAATTTGTCAATTATCAACCTTCAAAATGGCAATAAAAAGTTTGAGGTCGGCAATTTGGCCGAAAAAATTCCAGGTCGGTCGGGTTACTGTATTAACACACCATTTTTTTGTTTGGCCTAAGACGACAAAAAACCTGCAAACATCAGTAAGCACAGCAATAGAATTCCAAATGACATCCAACATCAAACGCAATTTTCAGGATCAGTTACACATTAAAATTTGTGTAATGTTAGGTACATTCTTATTATGTTTCAAAAATTTGGCCGACATAAGCCCAAAATTCTTTGCTTTCAAGAAATTTTACAGAAAATGGTTGTAAAGTTAACATTTTTCATCTACCATCATATTTTATCATGCTCTGAACATTTCTCTTATCATTGACTTTTCATTTTGAAAACCTGACCATCTGTATCTACAAGTTTACAAGAATTGTGTACGAAAGTCAAGTCCACTATGCAGGTTGTCCTTAAAAATTAAGTATGCAAAAGCATTAAATACATTCACCCTATTTTACCGTCATAAATACCAGTGCACACAATGTGACTTGGCACAACTTTAACTTTTACATGTGGACAACTACATGTCCGTGACACTGGAATTGTCCATGTGCCCTATGTGATGGCAACTCATGCCAATCCAAACCTATGTCAATTTGTAAGCTACACATACTTCACTTTGCACATCTGGTTTTTTTTTTAAGACAATGACAATTTCTCATTGAATTTTTACCACTTGTTAACACGCCATACACTTACATGGTTATCCAATGGGTATTGTAATTGTTGCGATATTGCTGAAAGGACCCAAACAGCTTTGGCAAGAGACGTAGAGAAACCACTTCAGACCTGGGCATATCACAGAAGAAAACATATCACAATTCAGAGAGGCAGTAACTTTTAAGCCAATAATTATTATGTTTTGAACCAGTGGCTCATATTTCTAGAGTTATTAGAGCAGTTGTGGCACCTTAGAAACAGCTACTTTTTATACTCTAAAGAACTGAACGTACCAACTTTCCTAAATCTAACATTATAGAACCCATCATTGTTGCATACCAAATCAACTACATGTATTAATGTTTTCTCCTACTCAGATTTACTGTAAAACAATGTTTTGGTCAGAGATCAATAATTATCCTTTAACTGAATTACCACAATTTGCTAGAACTCAGAATTATTCAAGAAACTGAAATCATTATAAATCAAGCATTTTCTCTCCCTACCGTACTTGTAGTATTAGCATGTTTGCCTACAGTTTAAGAGAGCCTGACAGACAGGCGAAAAATCACTTTCCATGGTTGACTGTGATTAGTACTCCCCTAAGCTAGCTCATTGCTTGAATGATGAGGACTTCTGTACAACTATGGAGTAAATCATTGCTTCAGTTCACACACATGTATACATGTACGACTTCATCCTCACTGGCTCTTTGGGAGGACTGATAATACACTTTTGAATACAATAAGAGATGTAAATCCACTTGTGTTTCCATCTTTAACCTGAATTTCAACAAAGACAGTCTTCAAGATCTGATTACCTGTTGTTTTTCAGGTTTTCTAAGCAGCCTTCCACGAATTTCATGCGAATTTCCCGTTCTGGAAACCAGCATACGAGAGAACAAAGAAGTTTTTCAGTTTCAGCTGCAAGTCCCTCGCTCAGATGGATCTGAAAAGCAGCAACACAATGCAGGAAATTACTTTCAAATTGTGTAAGAATTCAACCTGATGCAGTCAGGCTTATAGTCTCCATGGAAACTAATCATAATACACAGGTGTGCACAGTGTATTTGCTGTATATTTGCTGTACATTTAGCAACAAATCTCACTTTATCATAATATAAAATATCCCTTCCGCGGTGCGCCCGCACAAAGGACAGGTTCTGTCATTCAATACATTGACAGGTCTACTCATGCATATTACAGAAGAACAAAGTCCTGTTCTCAGATGTGACATCAGCAAGTGGTCTATTGAACATTTCATCAAGAAAAGTGCCGTAATTTGCGGAATATAAGCAGTGGCTTATAGGTTGATTTTGCCCATGAAAATGGTTTAATGCGGCTTATACACAGGGCGGCTTATACGCCGAGCCTTGAAGAATACAAATGAGATTCAAATGTGTATTTAATGTTCTGGTATGAGAAAAGATCTGTGCAGTACATGTACGGTAGCAAAAGTGCGGCCGGTGTAGCGTGAATATCCGACTCCATGAAATATGGACTCGCTGGTAGTATTGCGCATGCTTAAGTACGATAATATGCTATTTTTAAGATCATAATAGGAGAGTGACCTCACACAATTAACCAATAATGGGGAAAAGGAGTCGGATTTTCATAGGAGTCGGATTTTCATATGACACCGGCCGTGCTGGATTGTGAGTGAAAGCTGTCTTTGATGGTGACCAGACCATACCTTCACATTGATGTGACATTACTAGACAACTGTGCTGCATGCATGCCCTGCCCCATGCACCACACACACTTGTGGACCACACCATTTGTGGTAATAAAGGGGTGTACTTTCTTGGGAACATTAATTACCAATATTTCCGCTGTTTAAAAAATACAGACAACTAATACTTTTTATGAAGTCCGAAACATTTCTTTATTCGACCAGCAGTTGTTCAATGTCGCAATATAATTTTTTTCTGGAAATGTATTCAAGAAACGATGTAAAACTCAAAACAAGGGCTAAATCACCCCTTACGAAATTAATGGATTCGTCCATAAAAATGTCTGCATCGTGTTGACTGTTTTCGAAGAAAGTCACAATCTAAAACTTGAATTTTTGACTTAACTACTCGTTAGTAATCACAACAATTTGATAAGTTTTGTTGTAAAAAAGGACCTGTTTATTCTCAGGACAAAACCAATCAGCATCTATTGTCACAAAGCAAGATTTGTAGTGCTCCAGTCAGACGACACATGGTATGTTGCATACTCTCTCAAGTGCTGCGGGAAAATGTTGTCATTCGCCGGTGCAGGCTGCCGGGCCATGCGCTAATTTTAAAGGCCGGCCGTGCCAGCCGGCAGCAATTTCCGGTGTTTTATTTCTCATCGTCAATTTCCATATTTTTTTAAGAGTATCTACCATAAATGTTTTGCTATAAACTTTTGTGGCCCTTTTTATAGCTTTCATAGTGTAAATGGAACTGGTCCAGAGCTTTTTGACTTTAGAATTTGGAGGCCTTACAAAATTGAAACCGCTGCGGTCGGTGCGGCTTATACGCCGGTGCGGCTATTAATTACGCCGACTTCAAATCTTTATTTGCAGATTTTTGCATGCTGCGGCTTATACTCCGCGCGGCCTATATTCCAAAAATTACGGAATGACAAATCAAGGTTTTTTAAAAATAAAGTTAAATTTGCATACGCCCTCCCCTTAACCCTAACTCCCTGGGTCGATTTACTAGGAACCTTCCTCATCCTTGCAAATCCCAACACCATATGGTAAACTATGCACATAAACAGTTGGATTCTGTTTATTTGTGGTATGTCTAAATCCCACCTAAAGCAAAGTCAGTTTACTAGTGCAGTACTCATCCCAACACATTCCAACAAACCCTGCTGTCGGAGTTTGGCTGGTTGGGGATCGTTAGGGTTAAGGAAGGTTTTTTCATGTACATGTTCATGCACATTGCACACGATCACGAGCTACACATTCACAGCTCAACTTTGAAACTTTTGACAAAAATCCTTTTTGAGCGACGGCTTTACTTCCATCAGGACATTTACCTTATTTCTACATTTTCCAAATTGCATTTTTTTTTTAATGTTGGCATACATGTATAATGTTCATCTGGAATATGTTCATACCAGGCTGTTGAACAATAAAAGGTTTGTTCATACCAGGCTGTTCATACCAATATGTTCATACCAGGCTGTTGAACAATAAAAGGTTTAATGCACAGAAATAGATCGTCCACATACATGTACATGTAATCTACATTATGCAAGTTGTCGGACCACAGATATTTCCAATTAACATGTATATTGACGTTGCTATTTTATCAAAATGAGTGAATTCATACCTGCTTGGAACTTAAAGAAAACTGTTCTGTATTTTTGGCAGAAATAATCAGCCTTGGTCATGTTGTTTTCTGTTGCCCCTATTGTTTTAGTGGTCTGACCGTGCACAACAAAGTGGCAAAGATTTCTTTTCCATTTAATTTTTTTCATATCAAAAGTTTTAAGTTTTCAACATCATTATTAGATATGACATTGCCGATATCTATGTCACATTCACACATCAATTTATAAAGTAATATCGAAATAGAGACAGAGCCTACATTTATAAATGTTTAAGAGCAAATGTGAGCCTCCTTACAGCATTTTCATCCTGCACTTGGTCCCAAAGCAATGTGTGGCCTTTCTTGCATACATCATCAAAGTTGAAATCTACAAATGGGGTTGCAAGATCCTCTTTCTCAGCATGATGAGAGCATGTACCTGTTATATGGACAAAACAATCAAGACAGGTTATCATCTCCCCTGAAAAGGCATTGCAGCTGATCTTCCTGGAATGTTTTATGTGAAACAAAATGAAGTCTGACTAATTATCAAATGCTGCCAAATGTATTAACCCTAACCCCCTACTGTACTGGACCACGTCTGCCAGAAATCATCAATCACACTGCTTCCAATGCATGCTTTGCTTTAGGCCTCCAGGCCCAAGTCTATCATACTCCATCAATATTTAGTCAAACCAGGCCTGCAGGACCAAGTCCCCAAAATCCACCCAAATGGCGGGATGGATTTTGATGGAGTTGGGGAGGTTAGGGTTAATCAAGGTAACTTGTAAAATTATTCATCACAGAAAGACAATGTGACTTTAAAGGAAAAGAAAGTATGTTTCTGAACACAGGTGCTTACTAGAGAGACGACTGCGATAGACAGGGCTAATATCTGGCAATTGATGATGTCTATGGCGATGTGTATGTTGGTGATGGTGTATGGAGCTTAGATGAGCACTCAGCTGAACTAGTTCATCTTCACAGGCTGAATCCTCCTCTTCCTCTTCCCCATCAAAATCTGCCATGTTCTTGTCAGATTTGGCACTGGCCTGAGAGCTACTGCAGGAGCCTTCCTCCTCAGCACTAATCAGTTCATCCATGATATTGCTGTGGGATAACAACAAATCTCATCAAGAAGCAACTCATGCATTTAAATTCAAAATATTGAATTAAATTTGTGATGGAGATTACACTCATTCTGTTTTGTTTTCCGTTGACCATGTATAGCAAAACTTTAAATTTCAAAAGTCCAGAAGTATTTCACATCCAGAAATGATACCCAATGTCAATTTTTTGGCCCCAAACATTTTGTTCCATCAAAGTTATCAAAACTGGCCTAATATAATACCAAAAAAACTAAAAAAAAGAAAAAGTATTACAGGCTGATGATATGGGCTAAAAACGAAGACAAACTCAAGTCATGAACGTACATCATGACATGCATGACTTACAATGCAAGTCATGTAGGGAAAATGGCCAACACCATCAACAGTACACAATATCTGCATGCGTGACCTCACATGCATGTGGACCAGCCACCACATGCCTGTATGGGCGGCAGCCATGCAGAAAGAACACATCATTACAATAATAGAAGTGAGAGGGATTAACTTGCAGCAATATTAACTATAATAAATTTTTCCCACAATGTTTGCAAGACCTTTTTTTTTACGTTGTCCAATTGGACCATGTACATACATTTAGTATCAACCTCGTTGCCTTCATGGGGGGTCCATTGCTGTAGACTGGTTCCCAATACTTACATTATTTTTCTTAATATTTGGTTGGAACCATTCTACCAGCACTGTATGCCTCATGTGCTGTCACCATGGCTATCAAAGGAAAACAAGCTGACCACATTTGGAATAAAAACCAAGCAGGCCTTTTGGTAATGATCCCAATAAAGCATTTTGCTGCCATATTATGGAAAATGGGATATCTGGATTGAAATTTAAGAATACGAGATGACTCTAATGGCTCAATGTCTCACCTTTGCACAGTGTGTCTGTGTGGCAAGTACCTTCTGCAGTCATATACTTCAGTTTCAAGGCCTCTATTCCTCACATAATAATCCTCAGCTTCTCTGGCTTCTTGAGGAAGCTGTCTATGGTCTGATTTAGGAGACGGTGGGATCACTCCTTCATGATGAGTCTGAGTCCTTCCAAGCTCCTTAGCATCTTCTGTCTCTTTCTGACCTTGCACTTCCTCCTGTCCGTCATCCTGTACCTTCTCTTCCAGATTTCCCACCAGAAGCTGCTTCTTTATCCGTTGCTGCGGCCGCACTGTAGCTTGAAAAAAGTGTCTATGCTGGATTCCTTCACTCTCCTCTGATGATGCACTGTCACTAATGTCCCCACCCTGAAGGCACTGGCGTAACTGGCTCTGATGTTCAAGCAAGGTGGATCGGTGCCTATCAGAGCAGCAGGAATGCCTAATTCCTGACTTTTCCTCGTCTTCGTCCTCTTCACTCTGCATTTCTGCATTACTTTCCTCACTGACATCTTCATACTCACTTCCAAGTTGTGTACCATGCTCCTCACTCTCTTCAGTGACATCACTATCACTGTCTGAGTTCTCTGGACTTGTCACCATGGCCTCATTCTCTGAATCAATATTATCCGAGTCATGTTCTGTTACTGAACTTTCTGATCCATCTTCAGCTAGTCTTGGTTTCAGCAGCCTTTTGCGTCGATGAATGGCTACTGCATGGATTGTTTTCTGTGAATGGGTTCCAGATGTGGGTTCATCACTGATTTCTTGCCTTGGTTTCCCTTCATGTGTGTCTGATTCTTTCTTAGTCGTGCGATGAGGTTCAACCTTGTTGGCATCACCCTGAAAAATATAATTCATAAATACCTAAGGCAGTTTACCCATTCCTATTGGTCAAGAGCCCGTCACGTGGCTAGTTTACGGTTGATAAACACCAGCTGGCTGGCCTTAAACACTTTTCCAGAGTCACATGAAATTTTGGACTCCTATGAAATCCGGTGCCAATACCGTTTTATTGGTTGAACGTTCACAATCCTCACGTAGGCATGCGCAATACTACCTGTGAGTCAGTATTTCAAAGTCCTAAATTTGAACTGCACCAGCACAAATGCGTTCTGTGCCACATCATGTAGTACGCGCAACGTGTGCGCCAATCTCCATATAAGGAGTTGTTTACCTCTTGATTTTTGATTTTTTGACCGTAAAGGTATTTATGAATGGGAATAAATATGTCCTTGGTTCGTATTAAACACTATGTTTAAGACCGGTGGGAGTCTGGATGCTGGTAATTAATCACCACCCAGACTCCAACCGGTCTTAAACATAGTGTTTTAAACCGGCCAAGCACACATTTATTCCCTTATTTAAGACTCAAAATATATCAAGACCAGGCCAACAATAAATGTTGTTCATTCAAAAAAAATATTAGTGTGTGTATATGAAATGGGAGGTAAACTAGTCAAGACCTTTATCAAGGAACAACCAGAAGCTCAAGGCTGCCAGCCCAATTGGCAATCACATTCTTTGGACTGACATTACTCACATATTTGCCATTACTATTCATCCCTGTTGTTGTTGAAAAACTATCAGCGAGGTAAGGCCAAATAAAAAAACAAACATGTTTAGCGTCCTGCCATTTTTTCTTTTTCTTTTTCCCTCTCCAAAATGGCCACCCGACCGGGCTATTTTTCAAGATGGCTGCCAGCTTTTTTTTAAAATGGCCGCCACTTGGACTCAGGAATGACATACCAGCTTTATATGGGCTAGATGCAACAGACAAAGAGGCCAAAATGATGTCACTGTTTAAAATTTATCATTTTTTTCGTTTTTTTTAAAGGAGGCGGCTTCCAAAAGGAGGTGGGCGGGGACGCTAAACATGTTTGTTTTTTTATTTGGCCTAAAAAGAGCTGAAGTATAGATCACATTTGTAGTTACACTTTCAAAATCCCATATCGGATAATGATCTTCTGATGACTAGCACAAACAATTTCAATGTTTGTAAAATGTATTGATACTTCCCAGTATTAACATTTCTGCCAAGAACAGATCAACTACAATGTGAAACTGTGACAATTAAAGGCAAAGTATGCTGAATTTAAGTCTTCCGTATTATTGTTATTAAAGATAGTTTATCAGAAATTGTATTTTGGTCAGCATTGGGATCTAGCCTACCTCTTGATTACGACTGCAGTTTGATGGCTGATCTTCTGTTACACTTGGTGTAGTTTCCTCAGCGTCATCATTTTCTTCCTCAAGCTCATAGATCTCAACCATGCGGCTGTTATTACTATTCATTACACCAAGCTGACCTAGGGCAAAAACATTCCACTCAAAATTAACTCAATAATAGAAAATCAGGGTATAAAAAAAATGATTTTAATCCCTCTGTACATTAAAACTGCTTGCATAATTGTTTATCTTCCATACAAAAATACACAGTTGTGCCTTTCTTAATGTCATAAAAAGTTGTTAAGTTCATGACTATTTCAAAGTTCATGACTATTTCATTGATCTGACCTGACAATCATATTTAACTTCAAGGACGGAAATGCACTGCTTACTTAAAATGACTGACGAAATGGCCCATAAGCTTTATTGGTAAACACATAAACTGACCAATTGACTGAATGTTACCTTTATCTGGGCCCATTTCTAGACTGCTCCTCAATAGAGGAAACTCATGTTGGGAGTGTCTAACATCTGGCCTCAGAAGAGTAGTGGCACCCACTGCACTACTGGACAGTGCACTTGTCCATATACATTTGGTTATCACCTGAGACAAGTACAAGGTCTGGAAAAAAAAATCACATCTAACATTAATGTCCAGTGCATAAACCCTTCACAGTACTTCCACAAGATTATACTTGCACATCTCTTGGGGACACTACTGAGAGTATTTACATCTGTTACCAGCCACTTCCAGCTAGGATATATGAAATTAAATGCAGTAAATATGTGAAGTGAAACCCAGCCTTTTAATCCCTTATGGATGTCAGTTGGTTTCTGCTCCAGGGCCTGACAAATTTGACAAGTGAAAGACGGCCAAATGCACAAAACGATTGCAATAACACATTGCAATATTATACATGTGTACATATATTGTATGTCTACTTTGAACTTAAAATTCATACATTCGTGTATCAAGCTACATTTAGCATGGTGATTGCCCTGCAGCATTGCTTACACAAATTGCCTGTGAAGGGATGGAAAGCCTGAATTTGTTTCTCCAAAACATGAGAAAGCCTGAATTCAGGCTATAGCCTGAAAACTGGCATCCTTGCGGGGCCTTAACAATTAAGCAAGCCCATCCCACCTGTTCAGTGTGTTCTGAAGGGTGTAACCGTGACACCAGTTTCAGCAGATGGAAGAGTGGGCCAGCTTCAAGATGCTTGATCAGATGAGGGAAGAGATCATGAACATAGCGGCCAGTGTGCTTGAGTTGAGTAGCTGCCCAGATGACATCAATGTGTTTAGTAGTTAAGGCACCCTCAGCTGCCAGGAAGTTCAGTATGATCTGGCACTGCTTGATGATCTTTTTTAACATCAAAATATTGAAAGGTATTTATAAAAAGTATTACAATAAACATATTTTAATGTTCCATAATCCATTAAAGACAGCAAGACAGGAAATTCAGAGTTTCCATCACCCATTCAAATGTGAGGCAGCCCATTCAAATGTGAGGTGTTTACATAGATGATCTGATACACCGTACCCTCTGGAGACGTGTGTACAATAGGGAACAAAAGATTGTATACGTCTCCACAGGGCAATTTCTATAAATAAATATTTATCCACAAGGTTTTCACGAAATAGATATATGGATTTTTCTCAAAAACTAGGAATTTCCAAGCTATGTTGATCTGTCGCAAGTGGAAAAGTTTTAGAAAAGGGATATCAAGTTCAAATTTCAGCCACTTAAAGTACACTTTCAAACTCGAAAACTTTACCACACGAGAACAAAGGAGGACACACACATGCAACATCATCGGTGAATCGAGGACAGAAACCGAATCGAGGACTCCTCGGTTGGAAAACGTGTACAAAACCAATGAGAGCTGTTGCGAAAAAATTGACCCCCCATTGTCCCTTATCCTCATTCCTTTGTTTGTACTTTAACTTTTTAGCAATAGCTCTCATTGGTTTTGTACACAAATTTTAATCTTGGACGTTCGGTCAATCGTGGACGTATTGTGAAGGATAACAAGATCATTGTGGGATGCAAGCACATGGAGTAACAATAGGGATGATAGCCCCTAAGTGTTTAAAAATCAATCTGCCCCATAAGGAAAATGCTATGGAGGTTGAGATTTCAATAGAAATAGAGAGGAACAAAAGAAGGGAACAATGATCTTCCCAAACAAGTCAGTCATTGTCTAAATGTACCCAACAAACAAAAGAAATTCTACAGAAGAGGGATAAAAGGGGCCAAGCAGGCATCTCGCCCAGCAAATCTGAAATGCCTTGTATTTCAAAAGAGGGAAATGTATGCATTTTTCAATAAATGCAAATACATTTTCAGGTGAAAAATAAATCTCTGATCGAACTAACCAGCTTTCAATGTGGCTTATTTGATGGTTATAAATAAAAAAAGCCATCAAATATTCCTTTTTATGATTTAAAAAAAAAATTTTTTAATTTGTTTTGCCATTTGAATTATTCATCGACATCATTGTTTCTTAGTGTTTTCTTGCTTACTTTAAATAAAAATGAAGTACATGTATTCATGAATGCATAACACACTGCAAAAATATAACCTTGTGTGTGTCTTACAGCTACAGCCGAGATGAAAAAACTGCACACATTTCTTATGGCCTTCTATTATTAAAATCAAGAGGATTATCCGAAAGGCAGACAGGTTTCATATATTGGCTTTACCTCAAGATGCATGTTTGGTCCAAATAGATGCTCTACTACTTCTTTCTCCAGCAGCCAGGCAGTAAGTTGGGATCCAACACTGCAATAAATGATGTGTTTAATAATATGATGGACTTGAAACACATGGACTAGTACAAAAAGTCTGACGTAGAAATTTGTAATAAAACAGGAACTTAATATCAACGCAAACTGCATTCCATGTTGATTGCTTACAAGCAAAGCACCCTTTTATTTCTGAACATTTGCTTCCACGCTGCTCTTTACTTTACATCACTTATTTGCCAGATGGTACAGATCAGCAACTAGCTTGTGAATGTCAATGGGTACCATGATGTAGGTCACACAGATGCTACAATGGTATTGTGTAGTCTGTTTTGTGGGCCGTGTGGAAAGAAGGGTTAGTCTTACACATAAGTGGTACTCCTCCCAACCCTCATCTCCTTCAAATCTAACCTTCAACCCCCCCCCCAAAAAAAGGGGGAGGGATCAGAAAATGTCTTACTTACTTGTCTATGTCTGCCACTGATTCGTTATTGCAAACTTCATTGAACATGTGAATCTGGCTCTGAGAAAAGGATGACGATTAAAGCAGATGTTATTCATAGAGCTGTTTCTTCCTGATGTTTGTGTGAAATTAAAGATTTGTATCGTGTAAACTCCTACAAACAATGCGTTAGTTATTACACTGATGTTTTAAATTGTAATTTACAGCTTCGTTATAATGTACAAGGATAAAATAAAAGTAATGGAGATGCAACTCAATGTTGTCAATGACTTTAATATACAAATACAGGGCGAGTCAAAAAACTGCAATGATGCAAAGGAGCCATCTCTTTTTTTCAAAACCGAGTTGAAGTTTTGAACATTTTAAACGTTGTAAGAATGTCATTTTCATTAGTAACCTTGTGTGAAAAAAATGAAGTTAATGTCAATTACTGTTTGCCTTTTGTGAACCTTTTTACTGCGGTACCCAAGGTACGTTTTTGTCCATGAAGCATCAGAATTTGGCATAAGAGCGGTCACAGAAAAGACATTATAGACAACACAGATTTAAAACTGACTGAACCTTAGCTCAAGCTTTATTTATCTGTTTCACTTCTTTATGTTTATGCAAAGTTTCTCTGGGCTATACTATAGTTACTGTGTCCTTGGCAATCCCGCAAGGCAATGCATGTCTCAGCTGTATAACCTCATGGAAAGAATGGCTCTGGAGGACACATTTTGTGGTTTTATGCAAGTTTTAGATACCTCGTGGACTAAAATGTAAATCGGGCACCGCAGTAAAAAGGTTCACAAAAGACCAACGGTAAATGCAATTAACTTCATTTTTCCCCCACAAAGTTACTAATGAATATGTCATTTAAAAAGTTCAACACCTCAACTTGGTTTTGAAAAAAGGATGGCTCCTTTGCATCATTGCAGTTTTTTTTACTCACCCTGTACAACCTAGATACATAATAAAAATGTACCTAAGACTTTTCCCATGTTGTATGTGTACTCTAATCAGACTAAATTACCGTGATTTGACTCAGTCCAGCTAGCCTCATGGTCAATGTAGATGACATGAAGTACTTGAGAGCTAACTCTAGACTGTCCCTATCAAAGGATAACGGTGCTTCCATGGGCTCTTTGATAGCACTCCACATCATATCAGCCATGCTGCGAGCACTGGCACGTCGTAATTCCTTGTCTGGCAGCCGGCACAGGTATCTGTTGTGGACATACCAAGAATGCATGAGAACTAAGGATACTCTTCATTAGGCCAAAGAAAAATTAAACTTTGTCTTTTGGGCTAAATAAAGTATAAACATGCGCCAACTGAGATTTTTCTTGTTTGTTTAAAGGGGAAAAAAGAAATGGTTGTTAACAATGTTATTCTTTTTAATTAATTACACTACACATAAATAGTTTGAAAGGAGAACAAAAAGTGCTGTAGGTGAACCATCAAACCAAACTAAAATATACAGAACATGGGACTTCCAAGCCGAGCCAAACCAAACCAAATTCAGTTGTTCAGTTTAGCATGTTCAGCACACGCTGACTTATTGCTCTTAATACATTTGATGACACTATAATACAATGTTTGGGGCAAGATGGTTACCTGTTCCCTTATCTTTTGATGTCCGGGGGAAAAAATGGGGCTTCTGTTAGTGCACATATTAGGTATAGTGACAGTATAATTCATTACTACTGGTAATTGTCATTTCTTCACTAAATAGTGCAGATTTTTCAGGTTTCATTATACCAAGTACATCTGTATCAAATAAGGGCTCACAAACCATTGAGTTTGTGACAGATCAACCCATCTGAACAGTGCAAGATGTTTTGCAGATATGTACAAAAACCAGACAGGAAAAATCCATCAAGGAAAACTATCATGCGCTGTATGACAAACGTTTAACCAATCCAAGACAACACCGAAGGAATTGCACAGATTTCACATTCAGATCAAGAACAATCACAAATGTGTGTTTGGCCCAAAACAAATTCAGCTTGCTGTAAATATTTCAGCATCTGGACAAGGGCTTCAAAGATAGAATGCACATTCAAAGAGAACAATCCTTGTGAAAGCTTGCAGCCTAGTAGCAGTCTGGGTCAGCATCTACAGACAGAGGGTCTACAACTGGGTAATGCTTACTAACCAATAACAGGTTAGAAAGAAGTTGTATTCCTATAGTAATTGCTTTGATGTTCCAAAAACAAATGTCCAAACATGGCAAACCCTAACCAACCTAAAGGCCTAAGGATAGCGCTGAAAGCAAACCCTCTCACTTAAATGTAACCTGACCGTTAGATTTCGAAATTCATATCTGATACTGGTGATCCAAAAAAGAAAATCAGACTTAGTACATTTTGCCTTTATATTCCACGCATAAAGTTTCCTGACAGCAAAATAATATGCAGCATTCTTAATCAGTAGCATTCAACAAATTAGCAAATATGGAGGAATACTAATCGACAAAGAAAATTTTGTAGTATACAAAAAATTGTCATTTAGTCATCAAATATTAAAGCCTTCCATACAGGTACAGGCATGGCATTGTTAATGAATGGTTCAATTTAACATATAGGCCTACATATGTACACGTTAAATGAAAATCAATTCAGTCAAGGGATTCCAAAGAACTGAAATTGATTTCTTGTCAGTTTGAACTCCCCAAATGATATTTTATAAATGAGTTTGATGGTTTAAGTGAGTCAGCAAACACATGTGCATGTGTTGCTTAATCAAGTCTCAAAATTCCACCCATTTATTATCTGAAGTTAACACTACTGAATGAACAAAACAGGATGAGCAAGCTGAGACAGCCTACCTTATAACATGTGTTCTCAATGGGGCAACAAACTGCATGACAGCATGGAGATGTAACCACAGGCGAAGCTGTTAAAAAAATTTGGTATTATTGACACACATGTATTTATTCCAGGTTAGGGATAATATACCAAATAGACCATATATCTGGTTATCAAAGCCATAAATTATGCATTCTGATATATCATACAATAAATTGTGAACTAACTTACATTTGCCACAATGGCAATGATTGCATGGGCAAGAGAGAACGGTAGAGAGTCAGGGGTTGCTGCCTCAAAGCACTGACGAATGACTGCCAGACCATTACTATCACAGAAAAAGCAGACATTTCGCAGTAGGTGGATAGGTACGTCAAGATCCTGAATTGAGTCAATAAAAAGAGAATGTCCAATTTAAAAATGTATTTTGTATCACATTTGTACATCACAAAAATACTCTACATCACAATTTTGACCCATGAGTGTTGTATTATAAAGGAAAAAGAGGCAAGCTGCCCCACACTTTACTGCCCCACAATATACTGACTGTGCTCTTCAACCAATTCTATTTTTGCTCTAAATGAATCTCGACCTTATACATGGTTTATTGTTACACAAAAACTTTTTGGGGGGTTCTTTTTTGTTCTTTTGGGGTTTCTGCAACCCTCTGAAAACACCTTTAAGTTTTGCTTACTGTATCGCACAACCATATCGGCCCTGTGAGTAGATATTTGTACCTGTCCCCACACTATCCATTCTAAGAGGAGGGTTTGAACCAGTCTACCCTGTGAAACACTATTTTTGTCAAATTTGCCAGAATGCATACAACTCAAAATTTGTGAGGCAATTATACTTATATATGCACTTCATAACTAAATGGAAGCCATAACTTTTGTATTGGTAAAAAAATACCAATTTAGAAACATTATCTATTCTGGGGGTGAAATAGCACAGAAACTGCATTTGAGATTAACCCTAACCCTCCTCCAACCTCCAAAATCCTCCAGATGGTTTTGGAGGATTTTGATGGATTGAGGCTGAATGGCAAGAAAGTGTCGGTTGATTTGGGCAATGCGTTGTGTCAAGTTCGTAAGCTGTACCCAGCAGTTTATGTTCAGTTATGCATAATAGAGACCTGTAAATATTATGCTCAATATCATCCGCACTGCTTCTGAATGTTGTCAGCATTACCTCAACCTATTAACAGTGACTGTTAATTGGGAATTGGTCACCCCTCCACTAAACAACTTCAAGAAATAACTGATGATCTTGGAGGATTGAGGCTGAATCCAATTGTTACAAATGTGCAAGGTGGCAATTGGAGGATTTTGCAGGATTGAGGAAAGCCTTTCGCCAAGTCCACCGTGGCTTAACTTGCTGGCATTAGACAAGCGATTGGAGCGCAAGACCAAACACGCGCAGCTGTAAGCCACGATTGCTTTGGCGAAAGGCTAGATTAAGGATGGTTCCTAGCCACAAACGCCTAGGGGGTTAGGGTTAAGAGTAAGACATTAGATTGGAAGGTTTGCAACAAATTCTATTTGAAAATATAAGAACATCCAACAAAATTCCTTAATTAATGGGCATGTTATTTTACATATATAACATGTCATTTTGTTAAATGTCTTGACACTGAATTGCAAAAACGGATGTCAAACATGTTTGTTGAATATCTGGGTTTGATCGGGCAATTATATTTGTGCACTGCAACGTGGTACCTTTTTTAAAAGGCAAAAAACGGTATCAGTGAAAAGCCATTTAATTATGCTTCTGGGGTTTTTAATTCAATTAGAAAATAATGCAGTTTGAAATTTTATATTGAAGAAGCTACATGTAGGCTTAGCACAAATCCTGCAATGTTTTGAATGGTGGTTTAAAAACATTCATTTCACAGGCTATCAACCAATACGAATAGTTAAACAGTCTAAGGTATTTTGAATGCCGTGTTAAAGTAAGTTATGCTATTTGTTAACTTACGTTCATGTCACAGTAATTGCCTAAGGCCTCTGCCTCCTGACAAGATGTTTCCTGCTGAGGAAAAAAACAACAGGAAAAGAGAAGTTAAAGTACATCCTACATGTAAATGCCCTGCCTGCTCTCAAAATTTAGTCAACTATTATGATGTAACGAAGGACATTGAGATGATGCAGATGAAAGAGCAAGAGGAAACAAACAATGTCTTTGGATAAAGATAATCTTTAGAAGCTTACATGGTACATGTATTACATGGTATCAAATTTAATACACATGTATGCATACATGCATGAACAAGCAACTGTTGTAGGCAAAACACTACATGTACATAACAGTATTCAGAAGGAATCGCCTGATTATACCACAAGAAGACTTTCTACATTTCTCTGATTATGAAACAAAATATGAATGAGACAGAGATACATGTACATATACATGGGAGGAATCTTACCTCTGCTAAGCTATGATAATACTGCTTGTGTGCTGCATACATGGGGAAATTCATTTGGAACACTTTGGCCACAAACTGAAGTAACTTTTCTTCCTCCTCTAAATTCCAGACCTCGGCACATGTCTCCTTGTTTTCAACGTTTCCTTTTTCCTCCTCTTCTTCCTTCTTTGTTGGGTTTGCCTCGTCATCGAAGATCTGGTCTTGTTTGTTTATTCTTGAAGCACTTTCGTTGTTTGTACTACTGTTTGCATCTGTTGACACTACAGAATGGTCTTGAGTCACTTTCTGATGCTCCGGTGATGGGTTCCTTGATTCCACTTCTGCTTTCTGTCTAGTGACTTCTTCTGTAAGTTTAGCCTCTTTTGGTTTCTCCTCAGACTCTTGAACAGACACTTCCTTATCTGGTATCTCGCTGTCACCAACATCACCAAGTGGATGTGTAGGGTTAGCAATGATGTTGATTGCAAAACGCAAAATCAGCTGAACAAGATTATTGAGCCTCTCAAAATTCTTGTAGTCCTTGAAGAGACAACTACACTGCCTATGGACAAAATGACAACATGAAACAAATTATGCAAATCTTTCTTCATATTAACATTTATGTTTTACTGACCTTGACTTTTCAACCCAACCAATGCAGGTTGGGTCAATTATCCAAAATAAATCACAGGCAATCTGGCAATGCTATCCTTATGTAGATACTGCATGGTTTTGAAGATGTAAGTACTGGGATGTAAATGGGTTCCGATTGGGAAGGAAGCAATGGGCGGCACAGCCTCCCGTCCCCCAAGATTTTTTTTTTTTTCAGTCCGAAAAAATAATCACAGTGCTCAGCAACATGAGAAACATTTCACATTTACAAATCAACAAAACATGGGCCTAAAGGTATTGAGAAATCGCAATGAGCTTCCCACGTGAGTTGGCAAGTCAGCCATGTCCAGAAAATGGGTCGCCAAACAACAGCGGACCACAAACGTCCGATAAAGATAATCTTAATCAAAATGACAGCAGCAACATAAAAAAACATTTCACATTTACCAATCAGTAAAACATGGGCGTTAAAGAATTGAAGGAAACAATCAAAAAGATCTCCCCTGGGCCCCAGAGGGACAGGGACACCTCGTGTCGATGTCTTGCACGCGTATGTACAGGGCCAGAACGTGTATGGCATCCTGATTGGCCAATGAATGCACTATTATGGAGTGAAATAAAAACCCACTAACTAATAGCAACTAATAGCTTCCAAAAGTTATCGCGAAAGACTGCATTATTCTGGTCTGGACCGTATGACACCAATATTATATGTGATATTAGAAAAGTCTGAAATCTTGTTATTGCTTGACAATGTTTTGGTGGAAAGCATGTGTATAATCATACACCAGCTTCCTCCCTGTACATAAGAACAGACTTAATCCACAACCCAACAACCAAGACTCTCTGAGTAGTAAATGTTTCTATAGGCATTTACTACAGCACAGACATTTACTATTCAGATCATTATGTGGTTTGTAGTGTACATGTAGTGAGACATGATCACTGATGTGAATTACTCTACATAGTGTGGCTTCCTAAATCCACAATACTTGCACTTCAATCCACTTGAATTAACACTGCATCAACAATCCAGTATATACCCGAGTGTTACCACACAGAATGACGATGCATGAAGATATATTGTACTTACCTCTGACCCCATATTTGTGAGAACTCCAGCAGGATCCAAACATCTTTTTTCCTGACATCAAATTTTTCACCAGCCCCACATGTTTCAATATCTGAAATCAAGCAGTAAAACTTATGGAACACCAACAAATGTTTTTTCCATAAACAAATGTCGACTAAAAACGATGTTAAAACATTGTGCGGTTATAGTCAATCCACAGTAAATGCTTACTTCAAAGTTTTGTCATGATGACATCATTATGTTCATTTTTGTGGAAATTTCCCAATTCTTTTCCAAGAGCTGCCATTCGTTTGTAGACACATTAATTCCTGATTATTTTTTATGGAAAAGGAATGAATGACGTCATGCAGAGTGAGCCAATGCTGATGTGATCCTGAAGGACAAGTCTGTGAAGTGATGAGTCTTTCAAGTTGGAGTGAGGTGAAATCATTTCCACACTTGTGCATATCGATCATATCTACCCTTCATGATTGGTCAGAATACATGCAGGTGACTTCTCTACTGTTGTTTCGAATGCAGAATTGTATTTACAGGCAGGAGCCAATCTACATAATCGATATTCACACACGTGGCAACGGTTTTGCACTCGATCTCAAAAGATGGTGTCCGCGACCAATGACCATTGTTAATACTTGTTCTTCGGGACATCAGTACTGGGCACATTCCACATTACGTCACTGCTTTAACCATTCAAACAAATCTGGAATTAACGTGTCTACTAGCAAACGGCAGCTTAGGAAAACAACGGGAAAGATTCCAGTCCTCTCACCTCGCTGTGCTACGAGATTAATTAATTATGTGAGACTCAAAGAGGAAAATGAGACGTACGTAATTAATTAATCTCGTAGCGAGGCACGGTGAGAGGACTGGAAACTTGTCTAAAACGTTGTCAATTTGGCTGCGACATGAAACAGCCGTCGATCAATCAGGCGAAACAAGAACCATCTAATCGTATGCGGGCATGTGTTCTACAGCGTTCTGCAGAGCTAACATGTACACGGCGGGCTCCTATCATTTTGCGCGTACAGGATTCGGGGTACCAGAGACCCGTGTGATAAGATCAAAAGTTGTAAATGTTCGGATCGGCTCCATAATTCTCTCTCCAAAAAGTCACATTTATTTGGAATGCCGACTTTTACGCCGATTGGAATATTCACTGTATTATTGACGTGTATAGTACTTAGAAAATGTAGAAAATTTGGAACACGTTGAATTTTTTTATAATTACACACATACGCATGGCGTTGTTATTGACGCCACGTTCACAGGTCTAATGCTGGCCTAACGTTAGGCCTAATTTCGCTCGCGCATGCGACAACTCGGCGGCCGCCTTGACGACCAGGATAAGCAAACCTGTCTGCCTGATAACAATGCACGTAACTGCGAATGGTTTTTCCCACTAAGCTTGGAATTCTTCAAATTTTATGGTGTAAATTGGCAATTTTTTGGATATAAATGATTGATAGGGAAATGATACACTATTGAACTATATTCTGGAATCCTATAAAAAAAATAACACACGTTGTTAAAATGTTGTTAGCATATATTGAAATGAACGCATGGTGACTTGCAAGCATAAAAGTTTTCGATTATCATGCATGCTCAGCAACATGTGTTCTTTTTGCCCCGTGAACAAGATGGCGCATATTACCGTGAAAGTGCTTATTCATTGTGCGCCCCAGACTTCGATAAGGTCAAGGTCAACGATAAGGCTTATTAAGTTATTTGAAGCGATCCGGAATTAGGAAAAAAATCTGGAACTAGGAAAACGACTGTCAGACTGTAGCCTGTAGGTCTACTTAGTCTAGCCCTAGTCTATGGCCCTCACTGGAGTAGACTCTGCATGCTGGGCCATACGTACATTGCTTCCCAAGGTTGAAGATTTGAAAATTTCACCTTCAATTCGGGAAACATCCTCGTCGCACGCGCCGTGTTTGAGGCTGCCATTTTGAATTCAGGAAAAATTGACTTGGGCATGGCTCCTGGCTACACTGTTTCCTGGCTAGCATCAGATGGACCAATCACAGGGCACTTTGATTGGTCAACGAGGAGACGCTCAATCGAGACGCCATGTGATTGGCCCATTGAGGCGACCAATCGAGGCGACCAATCGAAGCGCCCTGTGATTGCTCTGTCTGATGCTAGCCATGAGCTAGTCTGGTTCCCTATTGTTGCCACTGTCCTTCTGACTCAAATATTTTTAGGGGGCCCGGGAAACAGTCTAGCCAGGCAGGAGCCATGCACTTAAGTCATTTTTCCTGAATTCAAAATGGCAGCCTCAAACACGGCGCGTGCGACGAGGATGTTTCTCGAATTGAAGGTGAAATTTCTCTTTTCTTCCCAAAGATAGGCCTATGTGAACCTAACCACCACCATTTGTATTTTCAATTCCCACTGAAGCCTACAGGGGTGCATCAGGTTGAACTGAGGGCGCCCTGAGTGGTCAGACGTGTATTCGAGATCGTCTTAGATTCGTACCAGAAAATTCAAGATTTGAGGAGAGAAGAGGACCAAAAAGGTTGGTGTAGTGTACTATTAGTGCTTTACCTAGACCCCATATTTTAACAATGGTTCGTACATCGCGGATAGCCTCTGGAACTGCTGAAAATGCTGAAAAATCAGGTGGCCATCATGGCCATGGCAAGACCAAAGTCAAGAAATCCAAGATGGCGGCCGATGTAAACAATGCTACCGCCAGTACCGGTGGGAGTCCCGAGGGCCACACATTTAAGACTGATAGTGAGTCTGATCCTCAAAATAAACCAAAGACCACCCAGGCAGAAGGTAACATAGCAAGTTGTCTACATATTGCATGTCAAAAAGAGATTGTTGAAGATGAAAATGCCATACAGTGTAACAAGTGTGGAAGATGGATTCATCAAGTTTGTTCAGGCTTCAACATGACAGAGTTCAAGACATTGACAAAAAAGAACAAGGACAACCTCCTATGGATCTGTGACGCGTGCCTCCCTGTGGTCACATGTTTCCTACAAGATAGATCACCTTTGATGTCACCAAGATCAAGACAAAGCAGTATGGACATGAATCAAAAGTTGGACCCAGTGATTGAGGGTTTCATGCGACTTGAGAAAGCCATGGTCACCGAAGAAAACAGAATGGAAGACCTGATTGAAGAGAAAGTATTTGAACGAACAAAAACAGAGGGAAGATAGACAGAGTAATCTAATATTCCATAACATTCCAGAGTCCGAAAGTGATGACATAGATGACAAGAAAGTCACATGATGTGGATCAAGTTAAAAATATCTTGGGTGACCTTGAGCTAGATTACACCGAGGTATTGCAACCAACCCGGCTAGGCAAGAGAGTGACTACCGCAGAAGGACGAGGAAAACCTAGATTGCTGAGAGTTACAGTCAGTAATGGAAAAGTGAAGAAACTAGCACTAACCAAGGCCAGAAAACTGAAGACAAGTGATAATAAGTCATGGAACAAAGTATTCATTACTCCAGATTTGACCTACAAAGAGAGGGAGGAGAACAGGAAATTACGTGCAGAGTTGGCTGCCAGAAGAGAAAGGGGAGAGAATGACATCGTCATCCGCAATGGAAGAATTGTGAGGAGTGACCAATCCTTTCGTGGGCAGCCATCTGAAAGACGGAGAGACATCACACCGTCTACAGAAAATTAATCAGCAATCAAGTCATCATGAGGAATGTACATACAAAAAGAGCACCATTGCACCTATTGCACGGACCTGCACTACAGAACCTAAAAGCCATAGGTCTGATTCAATTGCTGATGCAAAGAAGCACAGCAATAACAAAGAGCACACAACACAGTCCAATAGAAATAGACCCAAGGATGCTACCAGGAGTAGACCAATCCCAGATGTCACATCAAGCAGAGGTGACAGGTCTAAAGGCCTTCGAGAAAAGACAGCCCACAGCACATTCCATATCAACGTAAGAAATGCACATAGCACCGTGCACGATGCACTTGATGAGGCAACGCAGCCTGAAAGTACAGGTACCAAAGAGCCTGAAAGCACAGGGGGTAAGGAGGATATACAAAACATTGTATGTGGCATAAGATGTTATTACACAAATGCCAATAGTGTAATAAACAAAAGACATGAACTAGAAGCAAATATTGAGATTTATAACACCTCACCCGCAGATTCTGTGTCTTGATTGGCCGAGAGCGAGTCACATGACACTTTCTATTTTTGCTATCTTTCTGTGCACGGCCAAAAGTACTATACCCGTAGCAACGAAAGTACTATAACATTAGCAACCAAAGTACTATTTCCACGGCGCAGTATTTGTGTGCAAAATAATGCATGCTGGTGTGCGCGTTGCGCGTAGCACGTAGCGCGTTCCAAAGAGAGCGCGCCACAGAGTTGGGTTCAAACATTTCGCAAAGGGGTAGTTTGGAAGAGAGAAATACATTTTCCACCAATTTTGTATTGAAATTGAAGTTTATTTCAACTGTGTTCAGATTTAAATAATTTAATATATTAAAACCAAGCAGAATCTGTGGGTGAAGTGTTATAAAACAAATATTGAATGCTTTATCTCGTGGTGAAGTAAAACTAGCCTCCCTCGGTGATCCATGGAGCATTCTATTTTCCCTCGGCTTTGCCTCGGGAAAATAGAATGTCCATGGATCACCTTGGGAGGCTAGTTTTACTACACCACTCGAAGCATTCAATATTTGTATACTACCAACCAAAGGTCATGGGAATTGTAGAGTCGTGGTGCAATAGCAGCATACTAGATAGTGAAATAACACTTGAAGGATACAATCTGTTCAGGAAAGATAAAGAAGGAGGAAATGGAGTAGGAGGTGGAGTCTTGTTGTGCATTCACAAATCCCTTGATGCGGCACAGTGTTACAAATTGGAAGAGATTGAGATGGAAACATCGATATGGTGCAAGGTAAAGCTCAGTGAGAAGGAGAATCTGCTAGTGGTGTTAGTGTACAGAAGCCCAAACAGTACCAACCAAAACAATGAAGCATTGAGGCAACAGCTACTGGTGATGGAATCCATTCCTCATATTACTCACAAGCTAGTCTTTGGAGACTTTAACTATCCAGGAATAAACTGGACCACTAACACCGTCAATG